TCACAGACATGCATTGCAAATCCTTCTAGCTACAGCACTTTTCAGAAGAATTTTAAGTGCCTGCTTAAGATGGCCTTTGGCGGAAAGTCTTCGAATTAGATGAAATCTTATTATTTTGCTGATACTGGTCTTTGTCCCCCATGACATGCTTGCAGAGAAGCTGGTGAAATGTGGTCTGGATGAGGTAACCGTTAGGACTGAGGGGTCTTAGTAGACCACAAGTTTAACACGAGTCAATAGTGTGATGCAGCAGCCAAAAAAAGCTAATGCTATTCTAGGCTACATCAACAAAAGTATAGTGTCCTGATCAAGGGAAGCAGCAGTACTGCTCTATTCTGCCTTGGTCAGACCACACCTGGAATACCGTGTCCTATTTGGGTGCCACAATTTAAGGATTTTGCCAAGCTGGAGCATGTGCAGAGGAGGATAACCAAGAGTCTGGAAACCAAGTTTTATGAGGAATGGTTGAGGGAGTTGGATATTTTTAGCCTGGAAAAGAGGAGACCAAGATATGCTAGCCATCTTCAAACATCTCAAGGGCTGTCACATGGAGCAAGCTTGTTTTCTCCTGCTCCGGAGGATAGGATTCGATCCAATGGCTTCAAGTTACAAGAAAGGAGATTTCGACAGGAAGAACTTTCTGACAGAGCTGTTCAACAGTGAAATGGGCTCCCGCGGGAGATTATGGAGTCTTCTTCCTTGGAGGTTTTTAAGCAAAGGTTGGATGGCCATTTGCCATGGATGCTTTAGTTCAGATTCCTGCTTTGCAGACAATTGGATTAGACGACTCTCTGGGTCCCTTCAACTTTACATTCTAGGATTTGTGATCCACTGAGTCTTTGGGGTGGGACAGGCCACACATCTAAATAGCATAAATAGTGCTAGTGACACCATTTACTCTTTTGTGCAACCTCTACTTATTCCATACTGAGATATATATTTTTTGTAATGGGAGGGGCATTTTCCACTTCACTTAATATGCTAAGTACACAGTTTTCTCTCTTTTCCCATCACACTTAAACTAAAGCTGTATTTCTATAGCTTTCACAGTGCAAGAGTTCTTATGTATTTGTGTAAGAACGCAGTCTGTTATACAAGTAAAACTGGATGTACATACCTTAACTCACAACTGCTTGGCATCCATAAAGTTTAAATGACCATGACTTTTGTCTGAGTGAGCTATACCCATAGATGTTCCACCCATAATTCTTTACTCCTCTATTTCCAACTTCAAACACCCATGCTCCCCATAAAAAAAAATCTCTCTGATCACCTTACACATAATCTCTGAACAACCTTGATCTTATTTCACATAAAGAACACGTTCTTACCTGTTTCTTCCTTGTCATCTGGTTTTTGTGTCCTCCAAACATGTTGAGGTTTTAACACACACGGAGATCTGACCTGACTTGATGTGCTGGCAGATTTGCTCCATCAGCAAAAATAAATAAATAAAATAAAAAAATCCACCAGTGGAATTCCAAAGCTGTGAATATTCAAAACCATATTGCTAAACAAGTATTTTTGAACCAAAAACAAAATTCCAGGCATCGTAGAGACAAGACAGCACAGCATCTTGTGATGAGATAGTCAAAAGATAACACTTTTCTGAAGAATCAGACAGACCATGGAACTTGAAGAAAGGGAAAACTCAGGTCAGCTCAAACTTTTTCCATCTAGTTTCCTAATTTGATTTAAGCAGGTGGTACCCTAACAAGCAATAATAGTCATTTGTGCTGCAACATATTTGCCTGCAATGCCATTCTAGTGTTGCTCCAACGTCTCAATTTTAAAAGGTGCACTTTTTATGGTTTAGTCTGATCCACTGCATTCAATGAACTGGGCAGTGCAATCCTATGAATATTTCTCTTCAACATCTCAATTTTAAAAAGTGCACTTTAAAAAAAAATGGCTGAGTCTGAACCACTGCATTCAATGAACTGGGCAGTGCAATCCTATGAATATTTTTACAGAATTAAATCCCGCTGTGCCCAGTGGAGTTTACCTCCAGGTAAGTGTGCAGAAGAATGTCACCTTAACCCTAACTTACTCACATGAGGAAAGGATAAATGTATTGGGGGAATTTAGTGAAAAAACAAAGGGCCCACCCACACTTTCGTTTGACCCAGGTCATCATCATATTCTGTGTCAATCTCTTATGCCAGGTCTGAGAGCTTTCCCCCTCACACTTCTTGCTCCAGTTAAAACCTGATGTTTACCACTGAATTGGGTTTGACGAGATCCCCGCTTCCTAAACTGCTGTGAAAATACGATTCCTCATACTTTCCCTCGAACTGTGTTTGGAGGCCATTTGATCTCACCTCCTTTATTTGCTGCCTACCCCTCAAGGATCATTTCCAGTTTCTGAGCATTGCACTTCCAGTTCTCAGCATGGCTGACCTGACCCGCATTCTTGCAGGTTCCATCTTTTTTTCTAAATCCCCTCTAGTTTAGTGCGCACATGAAATTATTGATCGTATGATATACGCACAAAACACACCTGCCCATCTTCACAATTTGCTGACTCTCTGCCATGGGTGGGTGGAGCTGAAGTTGGAGACAACACCAAAAGCAGACTACTTGCTTACAAGAAGAATGACCTGGAAAACATGGGGTTTCAGGGGTTTCTCTCAGAGTAAAACCCAAGGCAAAAATCACCCGGTCCCAGACCAAACTGAAAACAAGGCAAGGATATGCGGACTTAAGTGGGTGGAACCCAAGAGGCTTCTTGAAAAATTGGTGATTTTGAATTTCACTTGTTATTTTCGTTAGTGTTATGCAAAGGCATACTAATGTCACAAGCAGACAGAGAGACAGAAGTACTTTCCTGTTATCAGACCAGAACCTGCTGCCAACCAGTTTTGGCTGGTCCTGAATTCTAGTATTATGAGAGGGGCAGAAAAACACCTATCCGCATTGGGCTACCAGTTAAAAAGCTGGTGGCCTTTGCTATAGAGACCACCATGGACAAAGATGGCTCCTAAGCTGCATAACTGTTCCTTCAGTTGATATGTACAAGAATATTTGCTCCATTTATTGCTTTAGGCCCTAATTCAGGCCTTCATTTTCCCCCATTCCATATTAGGAAATCTAAAAATGGCTATACCTTTCCCCACCTTTGACAGAAATGGATATATTATGGGCAAATAGGTCCAGGATTGTTTTTGGTTTGGCTTCATTCAGCTTGGGACTGGGCATCTTTAAAATGTATTCTTTAAAACATAACCACATATAGCTTTTAATTTTGCGGGAAGTACTTAATGAAATTTGCAAGCATATTAGACCCACCTGAAGGGGGTGAATCCTGCCAAAATTCAGGAGGGCGGCTGTAGTGATTTTCCTGCATGGGCAGCCTGTACTGTTTTGGACTGGAGAAAAAATGAACCCCACTTGAAATTGATGGGACTTAAGTTACAGCACAATCCTAACTGTATCTAGTGAGAAATAAGTTCTATTGCATGCAAGGGAACTTACTCTCAGGCAGGGGTGCTAACTTGCATGGGGCAGGGGGGAAGCGCCACCCTGCATAATTGCTCACACGATGTGGGGCATGGACACCATTTGAATGACAATGCTCATCAACTTTGGGAGGGGGGGCAAACATTTTATTAGTGGGGGCTGAAAGGACCTCGGCCCCTAGGAGTTGGCTCCTATGCTCTCAGGTAAGCGGTGCTGCCTTAGACAACGATTGAAATCACATTGGTTTCAGTGGCTGTATTGTATGAGACTAAGGCTGCAAACTTCTTAGCTGGGAGTAAGCCCCATTGAATTCCACAGGACCTACTTCTGAACAGATATGAACAGGACTGAGTTCTAAGCCTGGATTCAAGTCATTCTTCTCCCCATGGCCCTCGACCGCACAAGGCATCTACAATTTGAAGTGCTCATGCATTAGACTCTCTCCTCTGTCCTCTGCAAAAGAAAAAAAAAATCAGACTAGCTTAACAAAAGCAAGAGACTTTCTAGAAAACTGTGTACAAGCATACACACGAAATGATGTGTAACACAGGAGAGAGACTTTCGACTGAGTCATAAAGGAGTCTCACCACAACAATTATTTATGTACTGTCTGATTTCATGGCCAGTGATGTGTTTGAGCATAATTTCAGGTATCTGACTCAGTAGGAGTTATGCAGGCGAAATCCATTCTCTTGTATATGTCACACATGAAGGAAAATAATAACAGGACTATTAAAGCAGCTGGAAAAACAGACGAATACAGAAAACATTTGCTCAAATAGGCTTCGTAACAACTACCCAATTTTATAGCTTATTAGAAAACATTATTTGGCATGGTCCCATTGCAGGTGAGAAAACAGGACCTTTAAACATGACTGTATCATTTAAGAAAATGTATTTAGAGGGACGGTATTTAAACAGAAATTCAACAGTGACATCATGTGGTGATACTTCAGTTGATTGTGACACAGGGAAGGTATCTTCCTCCTACTAACTGTAGCTTCCATGCTCTTCTAAAGGCAGTTAATAAGCATTGCCAAGTTCCTGCAGAACCCTTACTCGAGAGTAAGGCTCACTGAACATAGCAAGACTTCTAATTAAAGGCACATATGGCTAGGTTGCATTTTGCCTCAAAATTGGCTCACAGCGTGATTAGAAATAATTTATATAGACCACCTTTCATTGCAAAAGTAATGGTCTGTAGGAAGAATCCAAGTGCTTAGCTTAGACATTGCTTTATGCAAATCACATCATATTGTGAGTACTCAGGGAAATAAGTGAGTCCTTATTGGTGAAATAAACTTCAATTGGCTAAACTGTGAAGAGCTATAGGAGATGAATTTTGTTCCATGATATTAAGACTGTGTTTATAGTATGACATTTACCTAATCCATGTTTAGCTATTTTTGATCCTGAAGACAAAAAGGATGGCAAATTAGCAAGCCCTACAAATTCAAACTTGAGCCTATTATTTCTGCTTGAGATTAAACTGCAGGCTTCACAAAAAACACATTAAATTCAGCAAATAAACTTTCAACAGATTCGAGCACACAGGAATGTAAAACTACTTTATTGGTCACAGCATAGAACATTTCAGCTCAATAAATACTGATCCCCAACACAGACATCATTTATGACAAGGACAAAGTAGGTCCCTGAAGAGTGTTTTGGAATGGTGTGGAGAGGTGTTACTCCAAGATGCATCCTGTAAACTGGGGTCAATTGTTTTTCTTGGGCATTGCTGCATTGAAGAGCACATAAAGGAGATAGCCTGTTCCTGAAGAGAAGACACACAACATTAGGTCAGATCAAGCACAAATGCTTTAGATGATGGCAATTTATTAGCATAAGCTCTCTTTTTTTTAAAGTATTCATGCCACTCTTTTGCTCTAATCTTATTAGACTGACAGAAAATGACACAATATATGTTAAGTTTCTTCAGGCTAAAAGGAGCCCGTTTTCCCATTCCTTTTATATCGCCAGACCAATTAAGTACATAAGGGGAGGATTATGACATTTCTGAGCACAATTCAAAGTGTTGCTGATGACCGTTAAAGCCCTAAATGACCTTGGCCCTGTATACCTGAAGGAGCGTCTTCAACCCCAGCGTTCAGCCCGGACACTGAGATCCAGCACTGAGGGTTCCTTCACTTAGAGAAGTGAAGCTACAGAGAACCAGGCAGAGGGTCTTTTCTCTAGTAGCACCCATCCTGTAGAACACACTCCCATCAGATGTCAAAGAGATGAATAACTTTATGTATAACCTTCATAAGACATCTGAAGGCAGCCCTGTACAGGGAAGTTTCTTAAGGTTTAATGCTTTATTATGTTGTCATATATGTTGAAAACCGCCCAAATGGCTTGGGCAACCCAGTCAGATGGGTGAGGTACAAATAAATTATTATTATTAGGCAAAACTCTAAAAATGCCGTAAGTTTTATGATAAAAATTGCCATCTTAAACTCTTGAGCTTTCAGAAATTCTGGTAAATTAAAGTGCTTCCAGCATGCTGTTTTCAATACAGGGATCGGGAACCTGGCCAAGGTCAATGATTACTGAAGCTGTAGTCCAACAACATATGGAGGGGCACAGGTCCCCCATCATTTTCCTGGCAGCTGCATTTTAACCTGAGCTTCCATTCAGAAGTTTCTGCCTCATGTTTTTGGGCTTTAAAAAGGTTCCCAACAAATGATTGTAAAGACTGCATTCTCAAAGGTGTCAGAAACCCACTCAGTCAAATAGCTAAGTAAAGTAGGCATTATGGGAAAGTGGCATAGGAAAACTTGCAAGCTTGAATGTAAACGCTCATCCAAATTTGCCTACTGAACAGAGTGGGGATCTGGGTTCCTTTAAGACAGAGCTCTTACAGACTCAAGTGATGTTCACAACAGAAAGAGGAGAAAGTAATGTGGAGAATATTCACAAACAGCAGTCTGGTATCTCTTGTGCTTTTATACTGGTTTTCCTAAGCATGTTTTTAATAACACGGTAACATACAGCACAGAATTTCCAAGTTCCCAAGTTCCTGTTTTAGATTTATGCAGAGGAGTGGTACTTTCTCTCTTAGAAATATGAACACATAACCAGAGACATCTATGACAGCTCTGCTGCTTCTCTGTTAAAGTCTTACCAAAAACGGAAAGGATCATGGTGGTTCGATACAGCATTGCATCCATTGTTCCACCTTTGAGGTACACTGGAATGCCATTATCTTCCTAATAACAACGACAAAGATGCAGAATTCATGAGTTAAGACTCTTCTCTTTTAGGATTGATTTTTTAAAATTGAAACCTATTCTGCTAGAGTTACAATGTTAGAAAGCTAACTCCGGCTCTGTTTACTCAAGTCCAGGCAAAAAGTACAAAAAGTTATTTCCTGCATAGTTGCCAGTTATTCAAGGCTAAATACAGTAATTTGGAACATCTACCTGATATTGAAAGTTCACCAATACTGAAACAGCCCTCTGTTGAAAGCATGCTACCATATACTGTAAAAAGAGACTCTACTGCTCAGCTATATATGTCATATGAGCAGTAGGGCTGTATAACCAGCTCAACATCACAATAAACCAATATATAATGATGTCTGAAATAAGGATAGAACCATGTGAAGCAAATGGGCTAAGGTCCTGGGAACTGCTACCTAGACAGAGAAAGGTGGGGAGGAAGAAGCAGCCAAACCTTGTGTTGATTCCTGGATGGGGTAGAGTGGAGGTGGAAAGCAGAAGAGGGGAACCCCCACATCCGTATTCTCCTAAGGATAAGCCTTATACCCTAAATATTTCTGGGGGTGGGGAGAGATACATTACTTCCTCAGCCCAGGCAGGCTAAAATGAGCTGCAAGGAAGCAACCAGAGAGGAAAGGCAAGGAGTGGAAGAATAAATCAACCAGCTCTAACAAGCAGCCTATTTGCAGCCCATTCCTATGCTTGTTTACTTAAACATCCCACCAAGTTCAATAAAACTCATGTCCCAAGTATGCATACACAGGACTGCAGCCTAAATTTAGAGTGTATTGGGACACCGTTCAACTGATTAGTTACAATATTCTTTTTATTGACCCTAGTCAAATATGATCAAACTTTCTAAAGGGTCAAGAATGCCCTTATGTAAGTGGCAATACATTGAGTGCAGAACTGGTTAATCAACCAGCAACCGTGAAAGCAAGGAACTGTTCCCTCCTCAACCCTTATCAGAGCTTGTGTCACTCACAGATCTCTCATTCAGCCACTATGAGGGTATGCTCCAGTCAAACTGTCCCAACCCTATCTACTCTGTGGAAAATGTTTGGTGCTGGCTCCTGCTCAGTGGGGTTGGTTGTTTTGTGAGCATGTGAGTTTAGGTGCACCTACTGTGTTTCATAAATGCTATTAACTGTTGTAAGAACTCAAATCAGAAAACAGGCTATAAATCTACTGAATAAATTTTAGGAGCAGGTATCACCTGCATTCTCTCTATAAAGAATTTTTGTCCTCATCCTTTCCAGTTAAGCAACAGGTCCTGGTTCCCTGGCCATTTGCTAAACTGCTGGCATCTCTAAATGGGAGCACAACAGTAAAGAGGAAACACAAAGCATGTGCATACATAATCATAAATTAGGGTCAGCAAATTAGCTAGAGTCAATAAGGATTGAGTCAGCAGCCTACATAGTGCAGGGAATGTGAGCACTGTAGCACAGGACAGCAGCAGTGCAGTGAACCTCAGCACTGTGGACGAAGGCATGTATGCACACTGCAATATACTGCCTTAAAGGGTCATGGAAGACACCATTTCAGAGACAATGGTGACACTACTTACTTGTGGTTCTGATTTTCCAGTTAACACACAGATCAGCCAGCAAGATTAGAGACCAACTTTCTCCCTCTCAGTTAAATGACCACCTGTCACTGCCCAAGGCCACTTTTCAGGCAGTGCAAAGTCTGTGGGGCCACTGCCACCCTCAGGGAGCAAGTAAAGAAATCAGCCAGCAGATTCCACAATGGCCACAAGGAAAGGAAGAACCCGTTTTATCAAGGCATACCACTCTTTACTTAATCCTTCTGCAAAAGTTTAGCCACATTTCACATGCCAAGGGAGATGACATTCAGTGTGAAATTTGCTGTTCTTTTGCAAAGACTGAGAGAGGGACTAGACTCTGAAGTCTTCTAGAATAAAATAATGAAGGAAAATACTTTTTTGTAATTAGCATGCTTTGCTAGGGTTTTACTGGTTAGGGGGTTGATCAAATAACTTATTCCTTTAAAATTCTTGATCAATTTTTGACTAGTCAAATGCCAACACAATGTACCCACCACTTTTGAAAAGATGTCCCATTTTGAACTACTCAACTTAGATGGGCTGATGCTTTAGTGGGCATGGCTTGGGATGCAGGGGGAGGGGGCCAAGAAAAACTATTTTATGAAAAGTATTTGATTATTAACATTAAGGACAACACAGCTGAAACCACAACTTTGGAAAAACCAAGTCATGAATCAGACTACCTAGATGATAAAACAAACTATCAAGTAAAAATATTACAGCACATTTTTTACTCATAGCAAGCAGAATAGTGTCTTCTTACATTAGGGATAGAAATCTGTAGCCATCCAGATTCCTGCCCACCCTGACCATCAGTCATGCCATCTGGAGGGCTGCAGGTTCCCCACCTCTACCCTGTACTGTTCAGCATGACAACCGAGAATGATCAAAGACTGTTAGTACAGCTGTCTATAGAACACACAAAAAGGTTTGAGTTCTAACTTATGATACCCAGCACCACATAGATTATTTATTAACTAGTCACAATTTGCTAGCCAGGTAGGACATTGCCTATATTTTTTAAGATACTCCCAGAAGCTAAAATTCTGATTTGTCTTCAACAGCTATTGCTGTATCTTTCACATGTAACTTAATTGCATTCGTAAGCATAAATTCATTCATACAAGCATGCTATTGGATTTCAGATAATTTAGCACTACTGAGAAAATAAGCAGCTATCACACAGCAATCAGACTGTGTGGTCTTAAAAGATCAAAAAAAGAAAGATGGCTTGGACGCTAAATGCCATTAGTGGTGCTACGTAAAGTATATTCATCGTAAAAAAAAAATCATATATATATTTATATAGATAGATAAAAACAATATTAAGAGGTTCCATTACATTGTCATTTGTTCTCAAAGTATGCATGCAACCATACCTGGAAATGTTTCTGTAATTCCGGAACCTTGTTTGTAACCTGCCTGCGGGAGGCAGTGCTTATGGATTTCTGAGAAATTTGCCGAAGAGTCTGCAAAACAAACAAAAAATATTTCTTTTTAAATTATTATTAGAAGTAGTGCTTCTTTTGTTAAGGGTACACTCATATGCACAATTACTTGGGAAGCAAGTAAACTAAACACTAGTGGTTTAGACCAAAGGTAGTTAGTGACCACACTAGTGTACACAGAATGATAATCACAGTTTTCTCTGAAACGAAAATGTTAGATATAGCTTAATGAGGCAAGCCTACTTCAGACTATGGCTAACAACCCTAGCTAGTTTTAATAAGCCATACTTAACACTATAATTTTTGTTCTGAACCTACCAAACTGTAGTTAGTTAAGAATGAAAGGAAGTGTTTGATCTTATATGTCAGTGCTGGATGTGGGGAGTGTATTGTTCAAGGGCTTGCTTACATAAAGCTTAATCATGTTTTGCTATTATGTGTAAAAACAGCTATTCTTGTATATATTTAACCTGTGCTGACCATTGCTGCCTCTTTCATTGCATGGCCATTAGGCCCCACTGTTTCACCCCACATTTCTACCAACTGAAAATACAGTAAATCTACATAAATCTGATGAAAGGCACACAAGCTTGTGTCACATGCCTCTTTAAGATACCAACAAAAAACCTGTTGCTTCTGCCAAAAGCTAACAGCTACTTTGTTGAAATCCTGCTTTTCCCAACCCAATTTCCCCTTCTTAATCTGCACCATGTAAAAAAGGAAGTTGGTGCACCAAGTGAACAATACCCAAACCACCAAACTGGGAGACCATAGACCAACACCTATCTTTGAAAATCAAAGGACTTTGACATGGCAAACATTACCAACCAATGAAAATATAAAGTAAAATACATTGGCTTGGATCCCAATATGTGAACTTAAGACCCATGGAAATAAAATGCCTCATCTCCTCCTGGAAGCCACCTTAGCCCACCAACGCCTCCCCAGATGCCCTCTCCTCCATTAATGTGTGACAGCACCGTGGAGGAAATAACTGCCCCAAATTGGGCAGACTTCTGAAACCTGATATTGGCAAATTTCCCCTTCAACCCATCCTCCATGGCACCCTCCCCAGCCTTCTTAAAAGAGGTTTTCCAGATCCCGCCCCCTGACCATTTACAAGGCCCAAACCAGTCACAATATGACCCCCCCGACCCCTCCCAAACCCCGATACCTTAACTCAAGTATGGTTCCTTTTTAAATAGGCGTAGTTTAGTTTTAAGCAGCCATTTCGACAAACAAAAATACTATTTTATTATAGCTGTTTTTGTGGGAATTGCTGAGGGTGCGGGGTTCACTTTTGCTGCATATTTGCTACGCTGTGTTTTCATTTTTCGCTTTTAACACTGCGTGGAATTTGCAACCTTGAAAAAGGCAGTTCACAACCGCAGGAAATGCAATAAAAGGGGCCTCCCTTCACTCGTCTATCTCGCTGCTTCCGCGGCTACTTTCCCAACAGCAAAAGCCACCCAAGTCACAGGCCAGACCCTCCTCCTCCTCCTCCTCCTCCGGCCATACCAAAAGGTTCCGAAGCATCTTGGCAGCTCTTCCTCTTCACCTTCCTCCTCGTCTACGCCGTCGCCTTCAACGCAGGAACAAGGGCACCGGAAACAGGAAGCGAGACGCCGCCTGACGTCACAATCCCTAGGCGACCATGGCGACCGGCGCGCGCATGCAAAGCGAGAGCTTCCGGTATTAATCAACAAGCCGTCGTTCCAGTCTTTCTAGCCGTTGGCACCTCTATGGTTAAATATTATTTTTTTAAAAAAATCTCCATAGCGGCGAAAGGCAGATCAGTTTGAGATCGGAAGTATCATATATAACCAGGACGGGTGCCGTCTTTATTTGTAAAGTCTATGAACCCTCTTGTCATTGAGAGACAGAGAGAGCGGGACTTCCTCTTAAGCTGCGGAGTCGTGAGCCAGAGGGAAACCTAGAGCGCCACAAGCGGGCTGGCGGGTGAACTGCAGTGTCCCGCCGCCTTGCTTGATTTACCCGGCTCCTAAGCGCATCCCTGGGCAGGGCAGCCAGGTTCTCCCGAAGCCGGGAGGGAGGCGCTTTTGAAGAGAAGGGTCAGGTTCAACTGCAAAAAGATGCCGGCCCAACTCTCCTCCCCTCCCGGTCCCCCCTTCTTCAGGACTTGGCCAGAAAATGGCTATGCCCCCCTTTCCCCTCTTGAGTAGCTGTTTTATAGGGATAGGGTGGGTATAGCGTTCTTCCCTAGCACGTTTGTTAAAGAGAGGTTTGGCTTTCCTTTTAAAAACACTGCACAGAAGTTGCAACCTTTCAAGGGCGGTTATTATAATTCCCATAAATGCAAGAAAACGGCCACCGCCCCTTAAACCTTCCGCAGCATCCCCACCCGCAAGCGCCGCTTGACTGATGGAAACTGACGAGGCGAAGGTCTTGCTTTGTAGCTGCCGCTGCTGGTTCCTCTGCTGATTTGCTGCCTGGCGGGCAACTTTTAAGGGTGCAAGAAGAGCCCCGAGAAGGAGGTGGATGGGCAGAATTCAGCTGGATAATTTGCAGTTTGGGGACAAATTGTGAAATTCTTCTGGCCTGCCACAGGTTCAGCTACAGGGAGATTGCTCCAGGCAAACCAAGCAGCTAACTGGCTGGCTCAGATGCAGGCGATTGCTCCCAAGAAGAGGACATTGAACACACAGAACTTCCACTTCAGACTACTGGATAGTTCCAGTGCACCCTCACTGGAAAATTTCTAAGCCCAGAGTGTTTTTCAATAAGCAACTAGAGAGGGCAATTGTTTGAGGCACTTCACATTATCTCAGTAATTGTTAGCAACCCCTTATTCTACTTTTGCCATTGCCCACACCAGAGTCACATAACTTTCCATCCTTATTTGGTTTGTGGAATCCTACAGCCTAAGACGGTGAAGGGGAACTAGCAACCTTCCAGCAATTGGGAAACTGTTGTTTCCTATTTATGATCTGTACACCACCCACCTTACAATGGGGCCTGGGCAGTTAACAATACAGTGGTACCTCGGGTTAAGAACTTAATTCGTTCCGGAGGTCCATCTTAACCTGCAACTGTTCTTAACCTTAAGCACCACTTTAGCTAATGGGGCCTCCCGTGCTGCCGCCGCGCGATTTCTGTTCTCATCCTGAAGCAAAATTCTTAACCTGAGGTACTGTTTCTGGGTTAGCGGAGTCTGTAACCTTGAAGCGTATGTAACCCGAGGTAACACTGTAAAGGATAAATAAAAAAACAATAAACAAGGGCACTAAAATTAAAGTGTAAAATAACCAAAGTATAAAAACCAATAATTGAGATTTTGCTGCAGCTGGCTTTAACAAAGAAAACATTAGCACGCTAAAGACTACAGCACCTATCATCCCTGGCCATGCTAGCTGGGACAGATGGGAGTTGAAATTCAACATCTGGAGAACCACAGTCTCCTTTAGCCTAGAAGAATGACATTGTTTGACTTAGTTTGAGCAATTTCTTGTATGGAACTATTTCTTGTATGGAACTTTAGATAAAAGTGTTTCCTTGTTCTAGCTTCTTTCCTCTGGGGTTTACATTCCCAAATGACCTACTAGTAGATGCAACATCTGACCAGCTCTCAGTCTTCAGAAGAGTCTACTTTTGCACCTGACCTGGTGCCAGTGGTTTGGCGCTGCCTGAGAGCCCCAAGCTTGGCAGCAATGGCAGTGGTTGGCTGCCATTTTAAATGATCCAAAATGCAATGCCCCATTTCATATATATATAAAATTAAAACAGTGGGCAGCCACCGCAGATGAGATACATACTTGGCTCCTATTCAAAAGCAACACTGATGTGCACCTATCACTGCCTACAAAAGAGGGCAGCAAGTTGCCACTGCTGTCATGTCAAAAGGTAAGTGTAGTCACGTTAGAAGGGTTATATATTGGGGCCCATAATTCCTAGGCAAGTTGGAGATGCATTATTACGTAGACTTGGAACATGAGGGCTTAGAGCCATATTTGTGTGAGTAGGTGCAACTCTCACTTCAACTTACTCCTTGGAAGAATGTCCAAATCCATCCATCTTTCTTGCTTTCTTTCTTTACTTACTTACTTACTCACTCACTCGCTTATTTAGGATTGTCTCTCCCGAGCCTGAGGGGGAGAAAGTGGGGAGGCTGTAGTGGGATGAAGAAAAGAGGCAGCCACCATCATGTTGGACCCATATAATCAGGGCTGTTATTTGTTATATCTTTGTCATCATGCAAGTTTGACAAGGTTTGTTGCTGTTTAATTTTAGTTCAGCAATGCTCAAAGAAGAGGCCTTACAATGGCATAGTTTCCTGGAACTTACTACTAGTTATTTGCATGACAAATTGTCCCTAATGACTGTTAACAAGCATCATTACTAACACAACTTGAAATACATTTTGAATGTTGTGACATTACACTACCATTAGTGTAAACAAAACAGGCGATATGATCCTTTTACTGGGGTTAAACTCCCGCCAATAAAAATATATAACCTCATTGGTGGGTTTATTTTCCCATATCCTGTTATATGAATATGCTAGTTACTGTTATGAATCTTTTTTCATATTACTATTTTCCTAAGTAATGCTTGGTATGAAGAAATTAGTAGACTTTTAAAAACTGACTTCTCCCAGCAAATGCAAATTGCTTCTAGTTATCACTCACATGCTGTCTGATGCGCTATTCAGCATAATAAATTCACCTTTGTACTTTTATTTTTTTGCTCTGACCATTAAATTATTTCTGATATAAAAATGAAAATTACTTTTGTAGGTCTGGTAGTTTTATTTTGACTTCACAGAACATTTTAGGGTTTCAATGGATGTTAATTTAGAATGAAATGGAAAGGAAACTGATTCTCTGAAGAGAATCCAGGAACACTTGCTATAATGATTATCTTCATGATTTGAAGACAACAGCCTGCCTTTCATTAGGGCATAAGCAGTGCCTTTAGGACCCATGTGCTGACTGTACAGTTCTCATGAGTAACACATTTATGCACAACGGTAGCTAAGAACACCTGGAGTTGTGGTTAGTACCAACTGCAGACATGGTGAAAAATTCACAGCATAGAAATAGGAAGAAGAAACCAGGGCTAATCATTTGTTAGCAACAACATTGTACACCTCAGGGAGAGGGGGGCAGCCACATGCAGTTGAAGATAGGCAACTCTTAATTGCATTTTTCCTTCTAAGGTACTTGCTTAAAAACAGCCAAACAATGGAGCCAATTAGATCAGCAGCCAATTAGAACTCTTAAAAATCTTTACTTAACAGTTGACTCAAATTACAAAGAACAAAATCAACTAGTACCTTGGTCTCTAAAATAATCATATCTCACATTGCTTCATTCAAGCCTTTTGTCTTGATTTCCATCCACTAAAATCCCAAAACCTTTCAGATGAAAGTATGAGGAACTTACCAATTCAAGCAGCTGCGTCTGTTTCAAATGAACAAAGGTAATCCTAAATTAACCTCAGTCTCTATTAAAACTAGAGCAGGGAACTTGTTATTCATCTTTTCTACAGAAGGTACAACAAATTAGAATGACAGCTCTTACGTAATTTGCTGCTTTAAAGACACCAGTGCCACAACACTAACAGACTTTCGAGCTTAAATGTTAATTAAGCCCATAGTCTGCAACAGAGTTACTGGAAGTTGGGTTTCTGGATTGTCTTCTAAGTTTTTTCTTCCCCATATGTGAAGCAAACACAAGACTCGGAAAGAAGTCAGTATTATACTGCAGTTACTTGCCATGAACAGCAGTGCTTTGTGTTGGAGCAAGATTAAATGCTGGATAGCAGGAAATTTGGAAAGAAATCATTTGACTAACTGCTGAGCAATATTTCTGTGACAAGAACAATATCCTGCTTGTGCAACACACAGTAATTCTGCTCTGTAAAAGACTAACTGGATAACCCAAGTTAAATCTGCTTTAACAGTGGCATGTGATTAAACAGGAAGCAGGTGACAAAGTACACCAGTCATGGAGAAACAGATGCCAAATCACCGTACCTGTTTAACCAAGCCCTGTTCTTGTTGGACAGGTGACAGCAGAAGAACCCTAACCCTTCCCAGCTTTGTCTAGGAATAACTCTCAGGAGGTGGCTGTAGTCAGATGTAGTCAACATGAAATAGGAAAGTCAGCTGCTAGCAAATTCGTTCCAATGAGGTTTTTCTTTGCCAAATTTAGCAGTTCATCTTACAGCCTTGTTCTAGCGCTAAAAAGCTCTTCATCTATATTCCAAACCACTTTATGTATAATATGTCTCAGAATTTGCCTTCCTGGAACTGTAGAGTTGGAAGGGACCATAAGGATCATCTAGTCCACCCCCAACACAGGAATCTTTTTGCCCAGCGTGGGACTAAACCCACGACCCTGAGATTAAGCATCTCCTGCACTACCAACTGAGCTACCCCAGGTGAGCTTTGCCATTGCTATTATTACTGGGTTAAGCCAGCCAGTAGCTTTTCCGTAGGGATGTTTGAGACAGCTGCAGATTTTGACAGGTACAGAAAAGGATCACTGGAGTTAGGCATGATCCAACACTGAAGCTGAGATTATATTAACATGACAGCAAGTTTTAAGGCACTGGGGTAAACTGGTGCAAACTGGGTAGACACGCTCTGTCTACATCACTGTTTTCAAGGAGAACAGACCTGAGATACAGCTTAGAGTCAGGTTTTCTGAAGGATTGTCTTTCATACATACCTCTCTGGACCTTCAGATGTTTACCAGAGGCCCTTCTCCAGCACCTCCCATCAAATGAGGTGAGGCAGGTATCTACCAAGGAGATACCCTTTTTGGTGGTGGCAGCCCCAGGTATGGAATGCTCTCACTAGCAAGGTTGTCTAATGCCTGCACCAAATTATTTGCAGTGCCAGATGACCTTTTTATTTTCCCAAGCTTTTTAGGACTATGTTTGTTCCAAGGGCTAAAATAAACCAATTGTCAGCTGTTTTTAAAACTCATTTTTAGAAGGAATTATGCTGCTTGCATTGATTTTTAAGTGGTAATTTGTATTGATCTCACTGTTCTAACTTTGGATTGTTAAATGTTTTTAATGGGCAGAGGGTAAACAATGTTGAGGAGATGGTTGATGGGCAAGTAGCAAATGCTTAAATAAATAAAATAGGTATCTCATTAAGGAGTGTTGAGTTTGGAACAGGGAAAACCCCTCTGGTTAAAAAAGTCTCAGATAGCTTTTCATAATGTGATCTAAATCAACGGAATTCAAGGGTGTTTTAGTTCTACTGGTTCAGATTAAACCAATTCATATTAAATCCCTACTGTAATTGGAATGCATGTTCTAGACAGTTAAGTTTATAGGCAGCCACTGCCAAGTATTTACAGCAAATCTGGCATTCAATTTGCACATTATAGCAAACATACAAGTCAGGTGTATGTAAGATTCAATTTGGCAAGGAAGTGTGTGTATTGAAGGAAAGAAGTAGTGTAAACTAAAACAACTGACTGTACATTTATTTGTGAGTCACTTGGTTTTCTAGGAAATGAATTCTACTGTGCCTCCAATTGAGTGATCTCAGCTTTCAAAATCCTTCTACAGAATAATTTCCGCATTTAACATTCCTGTATTTTTTCTGGTTCCCAAAAGGATCAAAGGCATGAGGTTTTTGTATTATCCCTTTTCAAGTCCTCTTGAAAGTTTTCATGACTGCCACTCAAAACTGAGACACTTCTGCTAAAAGATTGTTTCATAAAACAAATGACAGCATTTATTCAATAGCAAATATTCAGATTGACAAATCAGTTTCACGTAAAACAACTTCCATATACATAGCAATTTAATAATTTAAGATCAACGGGCTGGGTTCTTACAATCCGGAAAGACTTCAGTGAAAATTTGCAAGAAGGGGACGTCCCCCACACCCCACCGCAAGCAAGCTGTAACAGACTTGCATGACACTTCAAGTTTCTTTCGCTGACCCTCAAGTACTTGAATTCAGGAGCTCAAGCACCTTCTGAATGAAATTTAATGCTTCTTCCCCAATTAGGAATGTTAAACGGGGTCGAACCCTTGCTTTTAACCAGAGATGGACATTTCTGTACCGATACAGACAGCTGTTCCTGCCTTTGAGACAGAAGCTCTTCATTTCTGTAGGAGCCACGCTAACAGTTTTGGACCACACAAGGTGCTGGGCACAGAACACAGCTGCACGCAGAAGAATTTAAAGCAAGACTTGCATAGGCAGCAGTTGTTTCCGTGTGGGGAAAAAGCGGCTTTAATGTAATGAGGAAGCCTTTTGCTGCTGCACACGTTCACATGGCAAGCACACCTGTTGGAACATACGGCGAAGCTTGAACGTGAAGCTGGGCTCAGAGAACAAATTGCACAGGTTGAATACAGCAAACATTTCAGCCGCGAACACAAAAGCCCATGCGCACCATGCGTGACCAAAAAAACCAAACAACAAACCAGGCAGGCCTCTTCTCCTTCCAAAAGCACCAGCACACCTGACATCCATGAAACGTGAAGCTACTCTATCCTAAACACGTTCTCGCCAGGCAGTCTATACACAGTATGGACATGTTACAAAGCACACAAGCAGCAGATGCATTAGGTGAGGAAAGACTAAATGCGCATCATGGCACCTGTCCAGCCAGAGGCCAAGCCTCAAAAAGTCCTCTAGGCAGCACTGTTTTACATAGGTAACTTTTTTATAGCCATTATCTTCAAGTTAATCCACCGTAAGGGGAAACAAAAGGCTTCATATATACTTATGCATTCTGTGTCAGAAGCAACTTTTTTTATATATATACCAGGGATAGAGCTTTCCAAAGCTGTGTCCGCTCTGGACTGGCCTTGATGCACATGCAGTACATGTGGTTTGGAGAGGCGGGATTAATTGGGAATGTCTGCGCTGTTGTTCCGGTTCCCGTACTTGTGATGAATGATTAGCAGCACTACTCCGAGGAAAAAGCAAATGGAGCCGACGGTGATGTAGGCGATTCCCAGAAACGGATTCTTGCCCCCCATCCACGAAATGGTGCTCAAGATCATCCGTTTTCGCCCGTCAAAGCTATGCACAGGATAATCTGATTCGGGTATAGGAAAAACATTCGCCAACAATGACTGGCTGGCGTCACAGTGCTAACAAGAAAGCTTCGTATCGGCACAAAGGAAGGAGATTGCGTTACTTAAAAACAAACAGCAAGTGTTCTGAAGAACATGCTGTATCGTAGTCAAGGCTTGATAGCCAGGGGACACTTTATTACTCGAAATATGAGCCAATCAAAAAAAAAAACCTGGGAAGCAAATTACTCAGAGACAAGGCTACTGGCTGAATAAGTTTCAAGACAAGGAAACCAACGGGCAGAGGGGGCTACCAAAGATGTAGATAATATCCGAACCATGACTATTATTAAAGCAGCAATGAAGCTATGTGTCTCTTTACTTTTGAAGGTTTTTTATTGCTGTTGTTTTTTGCATGAAGATAGATGGCCAGACCTCCTATTCCAAAAGCCACATGCAGAATTTATCAAAGAAAACCCCCATGGGTTTTGACTTGGTAGGAAACCAGCCCAAGAACCAGTAATTAGCTACTCAGTACACCCACCCTTCTCCATTCCATAGCCTTGTACTATTCAGCCATAGCTTACCTGCTAAAACTGCATCAGCACCACCACTGGGCTGAGCAAAACCTTAGAGCTCTCTCCTCCTCACCAGGTCATGCTGTCCCTCCAAATACCTCTCAAACACCCCTCCTCATCCAGTCAGCCTAAATATCAAAGTGTTCCTTTTCCTACAAGCCAAAAAGGTCACCACCTTCTATTCCACCTCTGCATGAGCTGCAAATGCTGAGGAAAGAGCAAATTTTGCTACTCAAAAGTCCGGAACACCAGCATTGCAGAATTAAGTAACAGTGGCAAAGAGTGAATGAAGCTGACACAAAGAATAGCAGGCCTCAGTAAGTTGGCCCCTTTGCCCTACCGAGGACCCTGTTTTCTACTCCAGGAGAGGGTGTTGAGAAGCAGAAGTCTGCCATGGAGATCCCCCCCAAAAGGACCTTATGTTTGACCTAATTCTTGGTAAATATCACAAGGTGTGAGAATTATACACAGCAACTGCATTCTATTTGGGGTGTGTCGAAAACTATATTCCCTTGGGGGGGGGGATGGGACCAGAAGTAAAAAAAGTGAGTGCAGGGGGCACATCCTTCTCTCCCCTCTCCACGCAGGATGCCAAGGCAGGGACAGGTGCTTCTGGCCAGAGGTCTGAACTGATTACTTGCAGGGGATGTCTGACATGAAGGCAAGGGCCACAGATCAGCCAACCCAACAGTCAATGCACCTTTTAAAAATAATAATAAGCAGACTGAGACAATTTTGTGCATGCTCCTACTGTGACCTTTGTAGATTTTTCATTCAGCCCTAAAATGATTCTTATCAGCCTGCTATGCTACCAACAGTTACCTATTTAATGACTTCAAGGTTTACAAGAAAATTCAATAAAAGACGATTACAGTGGTACCGCACTGCACGTCTGCGCAGGTTGTGATTTGCCGCTTCCGCGCGTGACGTCATTTTGAGCTTCCGCGCGTTCCGTTACTTCCGGGTCGCTGCGGAGCGTAACCCAAAAGCGCTCAACCTGAAGCAACTTCAACCTGAGATATGACTGTACAAGGTTTACTGACTGCAATTTCTTAGACCTTTTAATAAAAGGATACTGTATTCTATTTCCAAGGAATAATTCCCAGCTGGTAGAGTAGGCCGTAAGTTATCTGGTCTCTCTATAAGGCGATATAGCTTCCGAAATGTAGGCAGCGCTGCAGTACGCATCCACACAATGAAGTCTTCATTGATGAATCCATTGTTGTCTGCATCCTTGTCTAGCTCATACACTGGTTTGGGCCAGTTGACAGGTTTTGCTGTGCCTTAAAAACAAAAATGCAAAGCACTAATATGAGATTATGATTTTTATTAGAAAACATGCATCTTGGGGAACACAGCCAAGCAATCAAACGCAAGCATAGTTGCTAAGAAATAATTTGGGAGTGGGGTTGAGAGAGACAAGAGGCATGAATATATTAGCAGAACAAGAAGAAAGCTAGTAACAAACTGTTTGAATAGAAATTTTGGACATTTGGAAGGAGAGAGAATCAAGCAAAGCAAACCCATAAATGAGCTAGCACACAAGAATGTACATCTAACTTTTGTTTACAGTTTCCCCAACAACTTGTACTAATCAATACAGTGTATCCCATTCAAAACATTACAGATAACTCACAACTTAGATGCATTTAATTTGCGTGCCTTCAGCTTTACGAGCTCAGGAAATTTTCTTTTAAAAATTAAGAAGGGGCAGAAAGGGGACCATCACCTGGAGGAAAAAAGACTTTGGCAATCCCACCCACAACTGAACCTAATGTGTTTTGACTATCTGCAATTTTGGCTTTATGCTCTATTCTTGGATTGTAACCCCCACATAAACTGAGAATTGGCTCGTTTATTATTTTTCTGGAAAAATAATTCAATTTCTACTTCAGCCTCCACAATACCTTCCCAGGAAGGTCTTGATCCAGATTGGAGTCTTTATGTTCTCTCATACATGGGTCAATTCATTGTGTTATCATTTTACCTTGGAAAAGTATTGCCAGATCCTTTGTAGGTCCAGTAGGATTCCTGAATTTCACATTTTTGTCTGTCCACCAAGCAATGCCTTGTTTAGTCAAAGGAATACGTATATATTTGGTTTCATTACGGTCAATACGAAACAGTGTCAACGTATCTAGAAGGAAACACAAATAGACGTGCATCACTTTCAAGGTTCATTTTCACATTCCATGCCTGCTGTATCCAAAAGCTTCAATGCATCATATACAAGACCTAAGTATTCAGATAAGACATCAAATTCTGCATGTAGATGCTATTTCAAGGTGCATAAGCACAGAATATATAACTTTGTAAAACAACAACAACAACAAGCAATGGCATGTCTTTATTTACACATAGGCACACACTCATAACTTAAAGCTAATATAGACTGTCAGCCCAGTCTAAAGGCCCTCCCTCATCATGGGCTGCTGACGTGTCCCAGAAGCCTCAGTGTGACACATAACTGAGCCAACTGGTTTACTGAAATTAGCATGGCAGCCATTTTTAGGAAGCTGCCTTATAGCAAGTCAGAGCATTGGTCCAGCTAGCTCAGCACTGTCTGCGGTGATTGGCAGCAGCACTCTAGGGCTTCGGTCAGGAGCCTTACCCAACCCAACCTGGAGGTGTCAGGCACTGGACCTGGGATAAGGCGCATGGAGCTATGACCGCTCCTGCCATAAGATGTGTAAACGCTTAAGAAATCTAACTGCTGTGGACAAGGCTTCTAGGAGTACTACTGGATTGGGGGAATGTACAGTGCTCCCTTCAGGTGCATCTATGTGCATACAATGTTGATAGAAAGTGTGACAGCGTAATAGATATCTCCTTGCTTTTATTCAAAATCCAACACAAAAGCATACCATTAAACATGCTGTTGGCAATAGCGCCACAAGGAGCAATAGGCTTGTCCCCGCTGGTGCGGTAAGGCTCACATTCCTTACTGGGGTGCTAATTGGTAAAAAAGAAAAGAAAAGTCAGTCTTGATTACACACTAGTCAGAACTATAATCGACACATCAGGCTGCCTAACCGATACCACAACAACCCTTCCTCCTACTTTCCTTTGCAGAAAAATAAAATAAAAAATACGGTTTCAAGTTACAGGACGAAATGCTTTGGCAAACACGCCAAAAACTATAAAGCATTCAGTCAGCAGTTGCCTGCAATTAACGCTACAAGTCCCAGTTCTGCAAGATAAATAAAGTTACAAAAGAGAAAGCCAATATGCTGCATTAGGGTTTCATCGTTGGTGATTTAAGGATAGAACTGGAAGGAAGACTAGGAAGGGTATTGTAATAGGGAAGGCAAGCTTTTTGTGTTTTTATATTGTAAACTGCCCTGTGATCCTTGGATGCAAGGTGGAAAGAAATTAATGTAACCACAGTTGGGCACACTACTAGTATATCAAACACTGTAAAAGCTGAACAATGTTTACATTTTCAGTGAATTCACATCTTGCTGCTTGACTACTAGTAACCAAAATAATGATTACAGAGATAATGACCAATTTTAATTCGAGCTATTTGCTTCTAGTAAATAAGAGAAAACAGACATTTATCTTCTAATCTGAGAATGTAATCTCTCTGAATTGTGGCTGTAACATGACATCTTAAAAGAAGGTGCTCCACTTCTAAACACACCCAAAGCACACACAGCCCACATCGGCTTCAGTCTGCATGGCAGAATGAGGTTATGCAAGTGCATTGTTCCCCCCTTTGCCTAATCTTTTTATAGCTATCTAATCACATGTAATTCTTGCCCTGTGAAGGACACATTGAGTAGCCTACAATCTCATCACAGTTAGAGAGAGAGAGAGAGAGAGAGAGAGAGAGAGTTGACACTCTCCCAAGTGTCCTTTGCTGAAGCTACTCACTACCAAGAAGGAAGAATAGTATCTGGACACTCATTAAAAAATAGCACTATTTCCTGCCCACACCCAGCAAGCAATTTCTTTATTTGGACATTTGTATCTTGCCTAGCTATGATAAACATCAATCACAAGACAATATATAAATAAAACTTTAAAAACTAACATTCAAACGGTAGTAAAACAAACTATCCACTCTGAAAATCTTTAAAGTAGATATAAAATTCTTATAGCCAACTGCTTCTATAAATCTATCATCAGCTTATTGAATAAAAAAACAGCTTGGACAGTCAGCGAGGCTTAGAATGCTCCCGTTTCCTTTTCATCAGATGCCAAAGGAAACAAGGAGTTACAGTAGCAGCCAGCCTTAGCACCCAGCGGTAAGAGGTTCTCTCAAGCACACTCCAAGAAAGAGTGCATGGAAATACTTTCAAAGACCAATAAGGAAAAGCTTGCCCAATAAGAAGCTAACAGGGTATGCCTCAAGATAGAGGGAGTCTGGATTGCTGTAATTAATGTGAAAGTAAGCGCTCTGAAGTAGTTTCTACACATCAGGTATAGTATACTAGGCAACAGACAGATACAGCGCCCCAAAACAGCCTAACTTGTTATTTAAGGTCAACTGAAAATGATTTTTAAAAATCTTAAGGGTTCAATTGAACACACAGGGATGATTCCCATCATATGGATTCTTAGTGGAAGGGGGCTCTCTCCCCCTGCCCACAGTCCAAGATTTTACTGGAGAGCACAGGAGTGAATGACGATGTTGCCTTCCATCAGCTTTTTCCCCACCTGCAGCTCTTAAGCTTTCTCAGTGATATAAGCGGGACTTTGTGCAGGCTTATTTAACACACATAGAGAGAGGGAACGGATGGTGGACAGGAGTCAAATAGCGAAGCCTACGTAGCATTCAATTATGACAACATAAAAAAGACACCAAATGACAATCTGTGCATTTTCCCTTTAACATTTAAAAAGCTATTGTGTTTTATGTATCAGAAGCCAGGAACGATGTCATTATATGCAAAGAGTTTCACTTACATGTAAAGAATTGTTATCTCCATTTAGCTGGCTGTCATCCCGAGACTTCACATAGCGACGATGGTTTTGGTAAAAGTTGGACAGTCCATAGTACATAAACACGTTGCTCTGCAATACACAAATTAAGATGCTTCACCAATGTGCACAGTTAATGGTGGCTTCAGATGAAAGAAAAAGCCTTTTTCAAATGCTACAACAAATATCTGGTTGCGGGAGGAGATTGTGGGACAGGATTACACCTTCAATTTTGTAGAGCAGAGGTTTTCAACCTTTCCGAGTCCACAGCTCCCTTAACCAACTACTTGCTTTCTGCAGCACCCCCTGTGGGACTCAGGAGCCCAGTTATATCACCCCTTGCCTGCAGAGCTGGCAGCTTCTCACACTTTTTTGAAACACCTTCCTTTGTAGAGTGTTCCCTCAGCCTCCTCTCCTCTCCTTGGGAGTCCTCTGGGCAGCAGCTGGTGCTGTCCCTGGTCTCTGAGCTGCCCCCACCCAAAAAGTGGTGCTTCCCAGAGGCACCATTTGCCTGCAGAGCTTATAGCCAGGGCTGCTGCACTAAACAGCTGTGCAAGCCTTTGGGAGGCAGAGACGTGAGAGGGCATCAGAGGGAGGGAAAGAAAGAAGGACAGAGGCCAGTGTTGCCTGACCATCATTCAAGGCACCCCAGGGTGCCACAGCACCCTGGCTGAAAACTACTGCCTTACAGCAAGTTTTGTTAATAATGCTGTATCCTGTACATTCCAGTACCACTGCAGTATGTCCACTGGTTTATTTGATTTTGAATTTCTTCTTACTACTAAACCAGCTGTTGAGATTTTTTCCAAAGCATTCTCATTTACCATGAATAGTATTTAACTAAGTTTTACTCAGAGCAGAAAGTGAAATTAAGGAACCTAACTTAGCCATGGTCCTCAAATTCAATGGGACTCCCGTGAGTAAAACTTAGCTGAATACCACCCAAAACCCTTAGGATGTCATTCATTCATATATATTCATATATATATAGTCTTGCATATAGTCTGCAATGTGGAAAGAGGCCGGTATGAAAGAATTCCAGTTAAGAGTTGTACATGAGCACAGACAGTCAAACAGTTATTTTGCCATATATACACACATTTAAGGTAACATACCTCAAATGGCTGATCCAGTGTAAAGTGTATGATGCACGTGCAAGAAGGTGTATTGTTCCAGGACACATTTAAACACTTGTTGCAGGGACTACCTGGCTCTGTTCCTGTATAATCAATCTGCAGAGAAAGGACAGATAAAAATAAAAATAAAAAGAAGAAAAAAGTTTACTATAAAATACAAGAGCACCAAACCACAAACATAAAGCTGATTCACTGCTGAAGCCAAAGTTGTTGACTACGGTAATCAGTAGATAATGCGTCAAATGTGGATCATGTTTTGAGGGCTGGCTATGCAGACATTTTATGGTGGTGGCATCTAGGCCATAGCACACTTGAAGGCACTACAATAAACTATCTAAGTTTCTACATGACCAAACTGCAGAAGTCCAGAGAGATGCCTGCTTTGAGCCAACCCCACACTTTAGATTTCTATGAGAAAGCAAGGTTTATATGCTGTAAAATAAATAAGAAAATGTAGGTGTTTTATATCTATCTATCTGGTCCTGGGAATGCCACAAAGTTATTGGCAGGAACTTCAATAGCTGCCCAGTTTGGGGAAGAAAGCTTAGCTGGCACTTCACAATGGGATGATCTTTGGTGCAGTTCACTGCCTCTTGTCTAAATCTTCAAAACAGTTCCACATTTTAAGTGGAATAACTCCCAGACCTCGTGACTTTACAGGAGCACCTGAGCTTGAGGGAAAAGATGTGGAACAAGTTGCCCACTCCTGGCTTAAAGAAGTCTCATTTTCACGCTTATCCCAAGATGCTTCTCTATGGGAAGCCGACACACCTGCAGTCTTGGAAGTACTGACAAAATCTCACCATTTGATAATTTATTTAAAATGAAAGCTTCACTTTTGTTTTCTGGTGTGGATATCAGGGCTACATTATTAGTGGAAAATAAGGAACTACACAAACAAGTTTTACCAAAAGAGGACAATATAAAACAGCAAGTCAATGGTACTTCCTAGTTTTGTCCTTAACACCTTAAACTCTTAAAATATTTGCAGTGGGTTTTTAATATTTTCAGAAACATTGACAGATACTCTGCTTAAATGATGATACTAAGAGAGGGGAGAAAACCTGTGCTGTACTGGACACAAGATTATGGTCCATTATATTTTTGTCCTAAAGCAAATCTAAAACAAGGTCTCATTTTAGTAACTGTACTGGAGCTAGCAACATCTCAATATTGACAGATTTGCTTTGTATCCTTAAACATGGAAACAAAGGTGCTTATTTTTAGAAAGCTATTAACAGCACACAGTGAGTAAGGGAGGACATTAAGTACATGTCAACCTTGTCTTTGGTTTTAAAGAAGTTCAGAGTTTAAAGATGAATATATTCCTTAATTAGAGACCAATACAGAGTATTTGTTCAGGACTACCATTATGAACTTACATCACATGAGATCTGTCCCCTATTTGTTTTCTATATATGTATTCAGTTTGAAGCAAAACAACTGTGTATTTAGTCCTAAAGAATAGTAAATTTACAAAAAAGAATTTTGAGACTGTTGTTCCATAGTCTCTCTTAACACACAAACCATCAATGTATACCATAGCAATGCTCCCCCTTTAAATGTTTGTTTGCCACAGCAATAATGTATGCTTGCTGCAGCAACAACAAAAAAGCACATTTAGCAATGTATCCAGGTTTTGGCCCAAGCTATAAAGACTAGATTAATTACAATACTTGAAGTCTGCACTGACAGAAAACTACCCCTACATCTGTGTATCTTTTTCTTCAACTTTGGCATATTCATTATGGGCTGTATCATGCACTGCACATGTCAACTACCTTTCCCTATCCCTGTGCACAGCTCAAATCTGCTCCAGAAGGTCTCTTGGCCTTCAGAAGCAGATTTTGAGGATACTTGGAGTGGGGTGGGGAGGTTGCAGGGAAGAATGCCATTATACAAGTAAGCATGTCTAGAATCACACCTGAACTGCCCCTCATACCAAAGGAATTTTGTTTAAATCCACTTCCCCATCTTATGATAAAGGATTCTTTTTTGGGGGAGTCACTTGAAAGTAAACCACCTTTTTTTTTTTTGCAACAATCCAATCGAAAACAGAACCAATAGTACCTTCACCCCACCCTCCTCCGGACCATGTATTTTTAGCTCATGAAGCATTCTCCATCATCCATTTTTTTTCAAGCAATATGCCAAGTTTGGTTTTAAGAGTCTTGCTTCCCTTTCCTGAACATTTCTTGCATTTCAAGTCACCTTCGCAATTCTAAAAGTAGAAGCGTTGGTGCCCATTTTGCGGCAAGGCCACTTCCCCTAAGCTCTACATTTTCCCATGAATTGCTACAGGCAGGAAATACTGGAGATGGGATGAAATGCATCCAAATCAAGAGCCACTGCAAGATACAAAGCAAGCCGCTGGGTGGAGTGGAGTTTGCCCAAGGGCTAATTTCTCAAGACACTGCTGTCCATTTGAGGCCCACAACAAGACTCTCAAATCAGAATACCAGAGAACTAATTAACATTACTGTGTGCAGCCAGAGAAGTATGTACCTGTCAATGCCTTTCTCAGGCTGCAATTATGTCAGTGTACAGAAATAATGCTGGGTGCATAGGGGCTAACCTGCCTAATTGCTGTACCCACTGACATAGTAACACACACAGAAAACTAGGGGTGGAAGAAGTAGGAAGAACTGCAACTGTTTGTGAGTTCTTAAGATGATCAAACAGAATGATGCAGTTGTCGTTACTATACACTGATCAGCTACATCGAAGACAAAATAAGTCTCCTATAGGTTTCTATGCCTGTTGAATAGAATCAGGAGGTATTTGCCAAGACATTCATTGTGCATTTCTCCTTGAATTATACCTACACACACAACCCAAATAAAAAGGTGGGGAAGCCCTGCACCCATTATCGTAATACGTAAAAGGTTTTGTGCGGGTCTAGGACACAGTTCTGGTCAGCTGTCTGCATCTGGCCCACAATATTTCAGCTTTATTGGGGCCAAAGGTGCGGCTTTGTGGTTTGGACAGGAACATATGAATAGTCCTGCTGGATCAGGCCAAAGGCCCATCTAGTCCAACATCCTCTTTTCGTAATGGCCAACTAGATGCCTACAAGAAGTCCAAAAGCAGGACGTGACCACAACAGTATACTACCTCCGACGGTGGAGGGAGAACATAGCCAAAGTTGCTAGTAGCAACTACCCTCCATGATTTGTTGAATCTTCTCTTCAAGCCATCACTACATCTTGTGGCAGCACTACATCCCATATCTTGTGGGAGCAAATTCTATAGCTTAACTTTGCACTCTTGGGTGTCTATTTGTGGGGGGCAAACCTTCCTTCTCAACTTGCATCAAAATACAAAGAGGATTTGTCTTAAGTGGCCCTTAAGAGTGGCTTTAATTCCTCTTGATTTTACCCCCCCCTTATTTCAAAGAGTGCACTCTCCTGATATCAGTTCTTTTGCACTGTTGGTTTTACCCACTCACCCCTTTGTCCTCTCACAGCCAGGCCTTATTTCTCCGTATTCATCCCTGCATTTCCCAATGTTTTTTCCCAGTCCCTGGCTACTTCTTGCTTCTCTTCTCCCCCCATCTCCCACACACATCTTCAGTACTTCCTTCTCGCTTAACCTGCACCATCTTCCTCCTGCATCAGCCAAGCTTTATCTACAACAGAGCTTGCCAAATCAGCATTTCAAAACACCAGGAACTTGGCAGTAAATGGCAAAGCCAGAGCTTAACCAAAATGAAATGACATAGAATGAACACAATAATGCATTTAAACATTAAAAAGTAGGAAAAATACTCAGTGAACTTTACTCAAGACACAACAGTCTCCACCAAAATATACTTAAAGTGTACACGCAGACTCCAAAAATAATGACCACTCACAACTTAATAGCAGCTGGTGCAGGAAAAATAAAGTAGGAAAAACACCGAAGTTAATAACCCAGGGCTTGGCGAACCTGTGGCACCTGTTGTCAGACTCCAGCTCTCACCAGCCCTAGCCAACATAGCCAATGGTGAGAGATGCTGGGAGCTGTAGTACATCAACATCTGGTGAGTCACAGGTTCCTTACCTCTGTGATAAACCGAGAACCAAGTACAGTGCTTACTAGTCTTTCAGACAACAACTGGCAACAAACTGTAGGAGGTGTAGGGAGTCTTTGGCCCTCCAGATGTTGCTGAACTATAATGCCCATCATCCCTGACCACTGGTCATGCTTGCTGGGGCTGATCATAGTTCAGCAACTTCTGCAAGATCAAAGATTCCCCTGTCTGGGGAAAAGGCAGGGGGGAAAACAACTGCTCCTTTATACAAAGTTAAGATCCAATTGCAGAAGCAGTTTTTATTTTCTCGTTTTGCATTCTATTTAATACACCAGTTATGTACATTGTTGCTCATTTCTATTTGTATGCATTTTGTCCATCTTAAATATGCGCTTTATGGAAACACTTCTGTTCTTTTGCATCCCTTGGATCAATTACATTTTGGTAATAGTCTCTGAAACTCCAATATGTTTTCTTAAACCAGAACTGCAAACAATGGTTACAAACTATCCAACTTGACCATCAAAGACCCATTTTCCTTTGAAACTCTTCTTCAGAGTAACAGCCGGGGGCGGGGGCAGTACAACCATAACAGTTTTTATGGAATTTTATGGAGGTTCCCTGTTCCACAGGAAGTTGCTATAGTTGAAAGTTCCTATACACCTCACACACTTCTCAAACCCATAAAACAACTAGGAGCCACGAATTAGACAGGCCTTAGGTTGTTAGTAAAGGCTTTATTTGTGTAAGTGTTCCCCACACGCCTCTTTGTGTTTAGCGTACACATGCGCTGACCCATGCCCATGTAATATAAAACTCATCAGTGCCCAAGGTGCTTGCACTGCTAGTGTGCCAACACATCACAGGTGTGGAACAGAACACATGATATGCCTGCCCAGGTAACGGCTTTACCTACACCCTGGACAAGTCAGCCCAAAATGACAGAAAACGTGAACCGGCCCCAAGTTCCCACAGACACTGCAGCCACAAATCAGGCACCACCCGGAGGTTCTTGTCTACAATATTTGGGCGCTGACAGAAGCTGTATCCCAACACCACCCAGAGACCACCAGGTTGGAGACAGATGCGCTACCTGGTGCCCTCGCCATCCTCAAATTCTCTGCATCATCACCACAAGCGCTTATTATTTCTTTCAAGGTGCTTGACGGTGCCAGACCTGTGATGATGAAAAAAACTGCCCTATCCAGTTGGACGGCATATTTCTTCCACGTCGAAAGGGATAAAGTTGAAAGACATTTAAAGGATTTTTCTTTTCTTTTTAAGGCTTCTATGTAAGCCCAAATCAAAGTGTGTTCGTTTCCTTGTTGCCATGCCACTCACTGGCTTATAATGTTCCACCCACGGCGCTTGCTCCCAAGATGTGGGGGGCTGCCCCCTTCCCCCTCTGACAAGGGGGGGCGTGCCCCCAAAAGTGGGGTAACCCCCCTCATTGCCTGCCCCCCCGCCCCCGCCTACCTCGTACTCGCGGATGTTGTTGGAGGTGACGAAGATGCCGATGCCGATGGGGATGAAGATGAGGCCGATGACGAAGAAGGCGGGCAGGACGGTGCCGGCCGTGAGGATGGGCTGCCAGGCCGGCAGGCGCTGCTGCTTGAAGGCGGTGTTGTCGGGCTTTCGGCTCTTGACTCCGGCCCCACCGGCCACGCTGACCCCGACCCCGGCTCCCCCCACGCCGCTGCTCCCGGGAACCTGCCCGTCCACCTCCTCCTTCGCGTTGAAGTTCATCGCCATGGAGAGTCCGGGCTTCTGGGTCGAGCGCTAAAGGGAGGCGAGGAGGAGGCGGCAGGAACTGGCACTACGGAACCACCACTCGCTCGGTATAAGAGCAGCTCGCACTGCGCTTGCGCAAGCACGCCGACGACGTCAAAGCAAAGTGGGGAGGGGTGGAATTCCGAACGCCGCGGCCGCCGCCGCCAGCGACTCCTTCTGGGCATGCCCTCTCCCGCATCGCCCGCACGAAGGCTCCCTGCGCATGCGCGAACTTGCGCGTAACTCTCGACTCCGGAACGGAGTCTGGTTCCAGCTGCTTCTCCGCCCGGGTCTTGATAGGGTTAAAGAACCAGTGGGAGCGGCTTAGCAAGTCGGACGGCCGGGAGCGATGGCGGAGACACGCATGCGTAGTAAGCAGCGACTGGGTGGAAAAAAGGAGCGGACCCGCATGGAGCGTAATTGTGCTTGAGGATCATAGTGCGCAAGCAGAAACGCCTTGTTTGCATCAATAGTGTTGTTTGTAGTTTGCTTTTAACTCTTTTGGATAGTTTTACATTATTTTATCGACTATTTTTCAAATTGAATAAAAGTATGATTACTGTGTCGTGTAAGTGATCTATGTAGGAAGCATATATTAATAATAACATATTGGAAATATAAAATGAAGCCTTCGGGGGTTAGGAGGGAATAGTGAGTGTGGAGAAGCCATCTTGTCAGTCATCTTGTCGCTAGCCGGTATCTGTCACCTTTTAAATTTCACTAACTTTTGGCGAACGGAGATCAGTGCAGCAGATTTCAAAAAGCCACGGGATAAAAGAATACAGCTGCTTAAATAGAAAGGCATGGCAAAACCCCATAAAAGAGGGGAGTGAATGGCCCTTCCAAACAGCGTTGGGGCGGTCATAGAGAAGGACCTGATTGTAGAAACACTTGACTTTAAGATCTTGGAAATATAGGTCTGATGATGCAAAACAAGCTATCAGACGGTATACACTCCACAGATGTAGAAATGTATGAAGAACCTGGTGTTTTAGCCTGGATAGCTCAGTTGGTTAGAGTGTGGTGCTGATAACGCCAAGGTTGTAGCTTCGATCCCCGTATTATTTATACTCCGCTCATCTGGTTGGGTTTCCCCAGCCACTCTGGGCGGCTGCATATTCTATCATCTCAGGGTCCCTTCCAACACCGCAGTTCTGTGATCCTATGCTTATCACTTTGGAATGAACTGAAGTTAGGCAAAATTTATCAGGACAGATTTATGGCACCCATGGAAGGCTGGATTTATCTTGGTTATGAAGCATGAATTGGTGCAGAACATACTGTAATACAGTTCTTTTTTAATCAATGCTCCCGATACATCTTAATGACAGAGAAAATAATGTGATGAGGAGCAGCCTTTCCCAACAAACCACTCAACATTTGAGAGACCTCCCTTTATGCTTGACTGTGTTTGTAGATTGAAATATATTACTCTAGGATTCTCCCACACCAGAATATATCCGGTACGTAAAACAACCATTTAGACACAACTCCAAATGAATCAATTTGTTAACATGCAGCCATTCAGTAAAGAACAGGAAATGTTTCTACTCAAACTAGCGACTCAACATACCTATCTACTTCCTCTGTCTTGACCACAGTCTTTCTTTTTCAACCTCGTCCATTCCCTCTAACTCCTCTCAACTCCTCTCTCTAATTCAGGGGTGGGAAACTTGTGGCATTCAGATATTGTTGGACTACAACTTCCATTACCCCTGACCATTGGCCTCCCTGGCTGGGGCTGAGGGGAGCTAGAGTCCCATAGGCCAACCCCACCCCAACCCCTCTCTCATTCTAATTTCTGTCCTCTTCTCTTAATTTACTGTGTTGCAGTGAATTTGCTTTTCTATCATGCTGAACTTTGCAGAGAGAAAGAACAAAGGTGCTTTCCACCCCAAGTCTCCTTTGTCTATTTTCATCTCCCCCACTACAGGTGAAGCACATGCAGTTTAACTGATGCAGGACAAGGAAAGCATTCCTCCTCAATTTCCTTTGTATCTTATTTCTAAAATGGATTCAGAGGCACTTTATTGGAAATCAGTAAAGCCATAACACCAGCTTTTTTGAAAGGATGGAAAGTTACACTGGCCTTCCACATCTGATTAGAGTCTTCAACTATCTTGCGTCATACCGTATAAAATTAGGGCTGTTTCCAACGCGAGACGTTATAGATAACCCCAAGCCGCGCTCACTGTAAGATGCTGGTCAACGTCACCAAATAATAACCAGATAGGAATCTGTTTCACTAACACCTCGCACAGCCTGAAGAAAAAACGCTTATCTTGGTGATGAAATAGGCATGCACGTGTCCTTGTTAAAGTGACCCTTATCAGCATCTTAGGGCACAGGTGCCTTAAGGCACACTATGGGGAGAAAGACCATCACAGTATAGCTGCTGTCCATGGGCTAAGTTGGGATATACAGCTCAGTCCACATCCTCCCTCAGCATTATAGTTCAGGGAATGGCACTAGCTCATTGGCTCCAGGTGTAAACACACTGCTGTTAGAATATTTGTGCTTTGTTATCTTTTCAGGAAAATATTGTGGGACAAGAAGAAGACACCATTAATAAAAATCCAAAGCAACTGAATCACAGGGATGGAGGGACTATGAATGTGTGGACAAGAATAGCAGTTATTGCCTCAGCATCAAAAGATTACTGGAAAACAAAGTGTACACGCAAAGAGATTGTTTTTAATGTTTATGATTTTCAAAGGAACAGAAAATTACAAACAACTCGTTATGTACAAATCCAAACACTTCTGAAGTCTACCTGGAACCTGAAGTAGGAATTTCAAGGCAGGCAGGTTGGATTATTTATCTCACTAGGAAGTTGAATTCTACAACAAACTTGCCTGTTGTCCTCCTCCTAGCTTGTCCTTTTTCTTTAGGGGGAACTAAGTCTTCCTCGTTTCATTGGCATTTACTTTCACAGACGTTAACTACAGGGCCACTGACTTCACATATTATATATCTAAAAAAATTTTAGGTGTACACCTAAGAATGTGAAGTGTGAATCATATTGTCACACAGCTGCACTCAAGCAGCCAATCATGATTGGCTGCAGCTCCTTTTCAAATGTACACTTGCTGGCAAACTTGGGTTTCCTGCTGCTTAAATATTACCTGTTGGGTACTTTGCAGAAATATCCTGGCAACGTACTTGTACCGCAATTCAATTCCATCTCTTTGTATGATCTAACGTACAGTACACCTCAGTGTCTGCCCTCATACCATTTCTCCATGTCTGGAAAATTTTGTTCATCGTGGTGAGCTCCTTTCCCTTTCCTTGCATTTTATAAATGAACAAAAGTCCTTCTTCGCCACAAACTTCCTCCTACTTCCTTTTTTCCCTCATGTCGTCGCAGCTTCTATCCCTTGATGTCAACAGGTAACCTTTCTTTACCCTCATTCACTACTGCTTTTATCAAAACCTTTCCCTCCCCTTTTGCTTACACCCTCTCTCCCTTGCTAACACAGTGTCTAGCTCTCCATGCTGGCTGGTACCATGAGAGGGGTTGATGGTTGCCAAATATGAATTATACCAACTGCCCTAACCTTGCTAGTACATCTGGAGTAGCACTGATTAGCACACAATGGAGGAATACCCCCCCAGCTGTTTGTGAGTACCACATGCACCAGTTCAATGTGCCTTACACTACCCAAGCTGTTCTTTCTAGAAGCCCCTAAATCACATGTCTTCTGTGTTCTGCACTACGGGTGCAAAATACCTGTAGTATTGATACCCATCTGTTCAAATACTCTTTCTATCAACACACTCCTTATTGCAGCTATATACAATTTCACATTCATTATACAGCATCATAGAAAGTCTGCAAATATGGGAACAATTTGAAACCAGAACTATTTTTAGAAGTAGTTTAATAATATAGGGTTTATCTCTCGGTGGAAAGGCATGTTTAAAGATGGATCATTAAAAAAAAGAAAAATGCAGATACCACAGGATCTCCATGCAATTCCCACAATGTTTCACCAGTGTTGTTGACTCAGAAAAACTGTACTAATTTTGTGTTCCATCTAGAATATAGTATTGAGGTATAGAGGAGCACAGTCAAATAAGGCTAGGTTTTATGCTCCCAAATTGTGTGCTGCAAACTTGTGATTCAACTGGTGAAGCAGTTGGTCAATGATCTGCAGCCTGATACAATGCAGAGTTAGGTGTGCTTGAGCGCAGTGAAATTAAAAGGCTTTGGGTGCACAGGATTAACCGGATCAGTGTTTGGTTCACAAGGAAACAAGCATAAAAACCAATGTGAATGATCAGTAAGTTTCAGTATTAGCACCCTTTTCTAACACTAGGGTTAGAATTGGAACACCATATTACTGTTGCACACTTGTGAAAATTTATTTGTTACAGTGTAATTAAAAACGAACCTTTTTGGTACAGACATATGTAAAAACACACAGTATATGAGCATGGCATAATAGAAATCAGCGTACAACATTTTAAAACAATTCTTCAGTCTAATACTGTTTCAAGGCTTTGGTTTGTTGGTGTTCAGTTTTGTATTAAAACCACAGCACAGTGCAAAAACAAAAACAAAAAATTACTATAATACTATCCCACAGAGCAGTCTTTAGGGCAATTAATCTCACAGTCACATTATGGCTAGGAAATGTGGCAAAGTTTTCTAAAAGGTGCCATTATTGAGGTCAAGTCAACATCTTTATAAACTCCAATAAAAAATATACAAACCGGCACTCTGAAATCTTTGACAGTGTATTCTACTACCAAATGTGCCGCAGACCAGCAAAGTCAGATTTGGCAAAAAAACAAAAACAAAAAAACAAAAAAACAAAAAAACCCCAACAACCACAAAATGTCTTTCATTACAAATTGTATTATAAAAATAAATTACGTAGGAAACACCAAACAAAAAGCACACATGATTCAAAGGCTTTGCAAAATTAAAGAGTAAAATTGGCACAGAAGATGTTCTCTTTCCACTAATTTCCAAAGATCAAACTTTTTTTAATGGATCTGCACACACAAAAAGCCAGATTCTGATGGAAGGAATAAAATACTTCCACAAGCAATCAGTAGCAGGGAAGATCACAGGGAATGAGGTGGCGCTTCAGCAGTGATCCAACCAAGTGGTGTGGAGGAGAAGTGCAAGTATATAGGATGGAGCTTGCATGGCATCTCATCTTGAGTTCATGCGTAACTGATGGATGATGATGCTCTCTAAAGGGGAAAAGAAACATAGCAAAGCATAGGCTGTTACCATGAGAATACATGAAAGGTCTATCAGGACCCACACTGTTAAATCTTTAATCCCATCAACAGCTTAGCTACATTACAGAAACTTCAAAGTGCCACTTCAAACAAGAAAGACAGAACAGAACTACTCATATCAAGATGGCCAAAGAAGAGATTAGAATTAGCAGTATAACTGAGGGCACTCTACCCCCATCTACAATACATTTTGGAAAGCTGTTTGCTTGCCATGCTGTTGGATGCCTCTTAAGATATCGCAAACAAATTTTGCACAATGTTCCTTGAGATCAAGGAACAGGTTTTTGCCTACGTTTGGATTCAACTGGACGCCATTTTGAATCAAGACGATCAAGACTGAACCTTTCAAAACTGCATGGATTTCAACCACTAATTTCAAAGCCACACTGATTTAATTGATTTCTTAGAATTCCTGAGCACTGCTGGGTATGCGGCTGCTTGTCATATGTAAATGGAAGGAGCATAATCCAGTCCACTCATTCTCAAGAGTATCTCTGCAGAGCACTGTACAGCTCTCCCTCCTCTCTCCACCATCTGTGCACTCAACCAGTGAGGGAGCCAATTAATATGAACTGAAGGTTCCCATATCCCCAGCCATCTGTTCCCTTTACTCAGCATAAGTTCCTCATGGTCACATGCAAATTGCATTGGGCAAAGGACAAACCTCCCATCCTTCCAATGATCCCTTGTACCAGTTTTACCACATAGGAAATGGGAGTAGGAAACAGCTCTACTGAGACTTAACTGGGATCCTCCATATTTAGGCACCACACCTAGAGAGGATGGGGTCATGTCTTTAGCTTTTAAAATAAATTTTAATTCAGAAATTCATACAATTTCAGATCTTATTTACATCACAGATATAAAGCCCCTTTCTCACATTAAAGTGAAAACACTTTCTGTTGTGGACATCTTGAAAGCAGAGTCCAATCCATTAACACATCGATTTTCTTCGAAATTATTAATTGTGCTGCTCAAAAATGCCAATAATTGCCATCTACTCCTGAGCTTCAGAAATCATCTTTTGCCACCAGCAGGCTAATATTACTTGTAGTGGGAGTTACATAAAAAGGAAACACTTCCTTTTCCTTAGTAACTAACTATAGCTTGGTTAAAAGAAACACTCCTGTATCTAAAAGTAGTTATTTAAAAAATATTATCTTACACATTCTCTTTTCCCAGTATGCTTCCACTTTGAGACCTCCTCTCTTATCTTTTTAAAAAGCAAACAAACCTCTGCTTCAAATACTTCCAGCACTACTTACTTAGTTGGAAGTGTACTATCCCTATATCATAACATTTCTTTTAATTACACTTAGGTCCTACTGATATTTAACATGAAAGATTAGCTGTGACCAACATGAAGTCCCATTGAAATAAATGAGAACTAATATTGGGTGCAATCTTGTATCCACTTACCTGGGCGTAAGCTCCCTTAAATTCAATGGTACTTACTTCTGAGTAATGAAAACTGCATTGTCCATCAGGTTCCAACCCATATAGTTTTCTTTTTAAAAACTGAGCAGGGACTGAGAGTTTGGTCCTTTCTGCAGTTCCAAACTGCAGTTGGTAATAGCAAATTTAAGGTTTTCCAACTTGTGTCTTTCTACAAGATAATTAGCTTTATCATGATGCTATATACAGTTTCGATTGGAGGGAGTTTAGTTCTCTATATGGTATATTTTCTTCTGTATAACTTTTTTTAAAGCTAATTCAAATATATTAAGTCATCTGTGCGTTCTAGTGTAGGTCTCTCTCCATAAGAAGGGAGATATTTTATTGGATGCAAAGAAGACTATAAAAGGGATGATAGAAATTGACTGCTTCAAAACAGTGAATAAGCCAAAAACAAATTTCAAGTTCTACGAGCCTTCTACAGAAAAAACTATTTAGTACCAAATATAGCCACAGGGTACGGATATTTGAACAGGCACGACAGATTCTGATCCTTAAGTACTAGGAAAGTAAGCCCCGTTAAACAGAGGAGACATCTGAATAAACATGCAGAGTTTTGGTTCTTTAGATCAAAGTCAAGAAGCTTCATAAAACCAGACACATGTATCTGAATATTTCTCCTTTTCAGGTAGCTACATTTGATGCTAAATATTCCACTGAACAAAGGCTCTATAACCTGAAATACTCAAGAAATCAAATTATAGGGATGCATTGATAGTCCCCATTCTGTTCATTGTTTCCCCTAGTTTAATTTTGAGAACTTATTAAACTGATTTGCAAATGTATAAATTTGCAGGCATTTATGGCTTGCATATAATCCTTGCATATAATCTTCTTATTTACTTATTTTTTTAAAAACAAGCTACCTTTGTGCACAAGCCAAAACGTGTATTAGTTAAATCACAGTAACAACAGAAATAAATAAATAAACCAATCATGGTCTTTAAAAGAATGAGCTATTCTAGAATACTATCACTAGATGGCACTACTCTAATTTAACTTAAACAGCAATTGGTCCCTAGCATGCCTGGAAATAGCCATAAAAAATCATGAAGGTTATTTACCAGGTTGCCATTACTGAGTGTTTTGAAAAAAGGAACCTACAATGTATACCCGTATTTGCTCTTTTATAACAGATACAATAGCACACAATTGTTCAGTATCCAATTATAATAAGTAATAGCCTTGAGATCACACACAATAAGGCTCATACTGAACAGTTTGCATAAGGCTTAAGTATCATTAAATCCTAGTGATTAAATTATAATTTTAAATTAGTTCCCTTTACAACTGAGACTATTGTGTGCAAAAGGCGATATCTTTGTAGGGCCCTGTGACAAAATGCATAATATTTTGGCTGCCACTCAGTTTGTTTAACTAAAATCCTTATCTGACTAGAACCTTTGTAGAGCATATCTCCCTCCACCCTTCCTGTAAACAGGTGAAATTAAATCCAAATGAACTGCTATTTGGCTTTGTAAATTGTTGACTACTACTCATTTGGAAATTTTATGTAGCCCCAAAACTGAACATAGATCAAACAGTAAGATGATTTTAAAATGAAGTCAACTTTTACAAGTGCAAACTATTCGCTCAAGCTCTTCTTAAAGATCAGTCAAGATTAAGGGATTCACACTGATCTGGGAAAGAAAGGACATTATTCCCAATGAAAATAAGCCCGAAAAGAAGATCCAGCTGCCAGCAAATGACAGCTCCAATCAAACCCAGGAACATCAGCAGCAGATAAGCAATAAAAAGCATTTAAATAACCCTTACTGTAGTAGCCTGTGCTACAAGCCAGTTAAAACACAGGAGCGTGTTAGTTTACAATGCAAGTGTGATGTCCTTACATTGTAATCAAAATGACCCCAAAATCTGATAATCTCAAAAGAGTACCTCAGCGGATGAGCAATGTATTTAGTCCATCACCAATACCCACACGGAGAGCCTCAAGTTAATATAAGGCACTGAGAGTACTGAAGTAACAGCAATAGCTGCAAAAATGATCTATGCTACTGCAGCAGCAGCAAGAAGTTTAATTGTATCAATGGACAGTGTCCGGTGACCAAATTTCCATTTAAAGCAGTCTGATTTTGCTCAGATGGCTCTTGCACACACGTACCAGTTTATGTAATCCTGAAAGCAGAAATAATATGCATTGTTTTGGCACCCAGTGAAATATTTAGTGATTGCATGCTCAGTTTCCTCCTCCTTATGCGGGCAGGCTTTTCTGTACATGAAATCATGCAATCTTCCCTCCTCAAAGCAGGAGAATAGCTTTCTCCTATTTGCACAGCACCACCATAGGCTGTGCAGGAGCAGTGAATATAGGTGGTTAAGAAGCAAAGTCATGGAAGAATAGTGTTCAGGCTTCTCAGCCTGGCACGATCTGGTCCTTTATAATCAGCATCACTCTTTCTCTAACAGGGATGGGGAACCTGCCAACTGCCAGATATTATTGGACTATAACTCCCATCACCTCGACCGCTGGCCATGCTAGTTGGGACTGATGGGGAGTCCAACATCATCTGGTGGGCCACAAGGTCTCTGCTCTTGCTTCATGAAAAGTCAGCTCCCACACTGTGTCAACGTGCAAGCCAGAAACAGATCCTAGGAGTGGCGACATGGATAGAAACTTTTCAAATGACTGGGTGTAGGAAGCAGGGTTTAGTCACCACCTGAATGCACTTCTTTCCTATTTCCCATGTAAGTGAATGGCTGCCATTCACTCCTATGGATAAAGAAAAGCTTTGCTTGAGCTTAACACTGCCTGGGACAGGATGTGTCACTGTAATATACAAGCCACATATACCTGACTCATTCTAATAAGGGGAATTTTGCTGCTGATGTAGGTAAAAGCCTGCTCCTGGATTCTTTCACTCTGTCACACTTTATTTTCTGAACCAGAAACAAACATGAAGGTGGGAGGAGAGGGGAAGATGGAGGTAGAAGTGAGTTATTCCCCCCCCCCTTCTTTTGGAGGAGGAGGAGGAGGAGGAGGAGGAAGGATTGCACTAATCATTTGTACACACTTTGTCATTCCTTCCATTCATTGCATTAAGAAAATTCTGGCATAAAGCAGCATTCTCTCTGCTCCTGGCTGGAAAGACAGAAAAGCAGCTGGCTCTGCCACAGCCTTACCACAGAAGGGAAAAGTGGAAAGCATTGTTAAGTCAGCTATTGTGTGCACCCGTGAGGAGGGAAGGCAGGAAAAAGAGAGAGAAAACCTCCTCCAAGCTTGGCACTTGGTTGGCGCTGGCTAAGACAGGTTGTGTCATTGTAATATACAAGCCTCACATCCCTCACTCCTTCTCATAACGGGCATTTGCTATTGATGTAGGTAAAAGCTAGAGAAGTAAACCGAAATGTCAGCGAAGATCTGTGGCACCTCAAAGACAAAAAAAAAAGCCCCAAACATTTATTGTGGCATAAGCTTTTTGTAGATCAGAGCACAATTTGATGAAGTAGTGTCTGCCTGGCCCCATGAAAGCGTCCACCATGGATAAAGGTGCCTCGGGGCTGCAACAAACTAATCCAGCTACCCACCTGGAATCTGAAATGCCAGCAAAACACTGCAGCCCATAAACACACTAATGAAGAAGAAAATTATGTTCCACTAGATAGGGATGAGGGACCTGTAGCCTTCCAGATGTTGTCAGACTACAACTGCCATAACCTTGGCCTATTCCCCATGCTGGTTGGGGAGTGGGGAGTTCACCAACATCTGGAGAGGAGAGCCTTGCACTGTCCTTGCACTAGAGTTGTTGTGCAATACTTGTGGCTCTTAGCAGACCAAGGTATAGTTAATGACATGATTTGACCTACAATTCATTCCTGCATTCATATTTTACTTACAGCCATTGATGGCAGTCTTCCTTTTATAGACTTCTAACTCAGACTACTTTTAAACTACACAATCTTTCTGCAGTTCAGTTTCGTCTCCTAATGGACAAATCCATTCACTCTGCTTTAAGCACTTCATCCTTTTTATTGTCACTGATTGCACAGAGGTCCTTTTTGGTACTGTGCATACTTTCCCCCTTTCCTCCAGAATGGAGCCATTGAGGAATTTGTTGCTGAATTTCCGCAGGTCATTCAACTAGATCGTTACAAAACAAAAAGGAAGAAAAGAAAGGGGAAAGTGCAGCTTGGCAGAAGATTTTGCATGTCACGTCACCTCTGCCAGAGGTTAAAGGTTTTGGTTGTAGCTGTTTACTTCCTTCAACAGAAATGCTCATAAACAGTTGGGGTTCTAATAGACAAACACAGTTATAATGGCAGCCAGTCATATTCACACGAAATTCCACTCTCAAAGCATGCTTTCAGAATAAAAAGCAAAGCACTCCAATGCAGGCAGAAGACACACAGTTTGACCAGATGTCCCTAAGTCCAGGTGTTGACAAGATAAATACAGGTGTGATCTTGAGGCTCAAACATATTCATTGTTTTAGATATCATCTCTCTCTCTAAGTAAAGTCTGCCCGCAGGACCTCTCTCTTGCCCCTGCCAACATGCTGACATTAGGACCATCCCAGATCAAAAGGTAGAAGGCATAAATATAAGGTTGTTCACTTGTTGCACATTTTAACCATTGGTCATTGGCATGAACAAGAATGATTTAATTGATTTTGTTGAGGCTTCAGTTAGGTCCAACCTGAGTTTGGGAATAAAAAGATCTGCAAGATCAAAAACCCTAATGATCTACACCTAGAATACACTCCTAACCCTTCCTGCAGTGCAGGAATGATACCTGTTGTATTTAAATGAGGAACTTGTATGTTGCCTGTTGCTATCTCAGAACAGTTTGAACTAGATAGATGTGGCTTTGAAAAGGAGCAGCAGTAAAGTGCTCAACTTTACTGGCAAACTACTGACTAAAATGATCATGCGCAGCAAAATAAGGGGGACAAGGTCAGCTGCTTGAAAGAGGTAAATCTAAACAGCAGTCCCATTTTAGAACTTGCTGAACTAGACCATTTTTAAAAAAGAAAGGGGGGTTTCTTTTTTTACTCAGCAGAGAGGAAAGGAAGAGGGGATTATTACATTCAATAGGTAAGACATGCATGCATTAGTAGAAGTGACAGCTTCAGCAGACTTAATTAGTATGTGCAAACACTAACAACTAAACAGGACAGGGGGCTTATTTCCATGGTAGCAGTAAAACCTGCAGAACATACCCCCTTAGCCACTGCCCTCAGCCCTTCCCCCCACCAAGGGAGGCAGAGCTACTGGCTGAAGACTTCTTCAGTTCTATTTTCATAGACTGAGTCTCGGCTCGAGGCTCGAATTTGGTCTGATTTCCTGATCCTGGGGCTGTCACTACTGGCTTCCCGGCTTTCATACCTTTAGATACAGGGATTCGGGTGGGTGTAGGTCTCTGGGATAACCCATCCTGTCCCGTCTGCAAGACAAGGAAAAAAATAAAATAACAGTGGAATAAAGACAGATTTTGATCAAGTTTCCTGTTTGTGCCCTGGGTGTCATCTGAGATGCCTTCTGTGAGGAAAAGGAGAGAACAGTAATCCTCCTAGTATCTCTTTTTTAAAATATATATATAATTTTTATTAAGTTTTCTATATTTCACTACATCTAAAAAAAATTTTATATCCATAAATTAAAGCACTGCTTAAATAAAGCATCAACTTCCTTTCCTCCCTCTGACAGACTTCCACACACCATTACCAATACCTAAATCCACTTTTTTACCCTATATCAATCTTTTTGCAATCACCTTCTTATATGTAAATCAGCTCCTTAATTTCCCATTATCAAACATTTCAACTCAAACCTACAAGCGTTTTCAACTGTTTACAGTTTTCTTTCATATAAAGTAAAAATTTGCCCTAGTCTTTTTATAATCCTCCTAGTATCTCAGTGCTCGAAGGACAGGGAGAAACACATGGACTCACCACCCACTGCCAGGGCTGGAGTCAGATGCACATCAGCATGAAGAAGCAGAGTAAGTTGCCAGAGTGTTAACTCTTTATTCAAGGAAATGGCATACAACTCAGCAACCCTTGCCCCTACAGAGCAGTTGCCAGGACTGAAGGTCCCTGCCGTCCACCCTTTCTATGGCTCCTCCTCTCCCAGATGTTTCCCAAGGAGTCTCAGAATAGGCAACAGGGTGTGTGGGTGTGTGAAGATTAGAGTTTTAAAGGGATATATGCTAAGTGCTATGCCCTAAAAAGCAAGCATAGGAAACCTCTGGCCCATCAGTTCTTTTTATATAGCCCACAGTGCTTCCCCTAAGACAGGTATCCCCAAATTCAGCCCTTCAGCTGTTTTGGGACTACAACTCCCATCATCCCTAGCTAACAGGACCAGTGGTCAGGGATGATGGGAACTGTAGTCCCAAAACAGCTGGCGGGCCGAGTTTGGGGATGCCTGCCCTAAGACATCCCTTTCCCCACCCCATTCTTTGGGAGCTTGTGCCCCCATGACTTTTCCCAAAGGGAATTTGGCCCTTAGGGAGGAGAAAGATTCTCCAACCCTGCCCAAAACATTCAACAAAGGTACTTCTAATCTCTCCCTCTGGCATGAAAAAGAAGAGGTGAAGGAGGAGAGTGACGTCAAGATTTGCTGCAGCCGTTCATTAAAAAAAGCAACAGCGGTTTTCCATTTCATCTTGACTCAGGCCACCAAATTCCTAAGCCAAGTTGAGGATGAGCCCAGATCTCTCAGATCCAAGCCCAACTCTCAAAAATCATATTTTCCCCTACCATATTGCATGCAAACATATTCCATAAGATTCCCTATTGCTTACCATGGATTGTGTTCCTCGTGTGGATGACGTAGTAACTGGAGTTATAGTGATGGTACTTGTCACTTTGCTTGCTCCAGGCCTTGAGGATATGTTATTCCTGGGGGAACGGAGGACAGTCCCAGTCATCACCTCCTTCTCTGCTGCTACATTCATAGGCCTGACCGTTATCACAGGGCTTGCTCCTTCTTGAGAAGTGCCAGGCGAGCGTTTAAACTGAGACCCTAAGTGGATGTGAATTTTGTTGTCCTCGGTCGTTATAATGTTCGTGTTGGCATTGTACTTTCGGACGGGAGTTGGGACAGTTTGTTTTTCCGGCGTCACTCTAAACACAGCCCTCCCCATGGTCATGTCCTGCGATTCTGGAGACATGGTAATGTCTGCAGGTGCTGCCGAGGTAGACACTGTCATTATCTGAATTGGTGATACGGGTCTTTCCATGAATGGAGACTTTGGGCTCTCTGAAGATTTCTCTCTGGAGAAAGTAGTTATAGTTACTGGAGACATGGCTCGCTCTGGGCCCGCTGGGCTCTCACCCCCTTTTCCTTTTGGGGACATGACGTTAGGAGAGGGAATGATGGTAATCCGTGGTTTCTGATTCCCCAAGGTGGGGATAACGGTGGTGCTGGAGAAGAAATCTTCAGCTGTTGGACTAGTAATCTCCAGAGTAGCTGTGCTGTTCTCGTGATCTGGAGTTACCCGAATGTGGAGAGGCTGCCCTTGCTTCGGAGAAAGGACAACCTCCCCAGGACGCTCTGGACTGGTTTGTATTCTGGCTCCTTTTTCAGGAGTCACTTGAGAGCCATTTTCTCTTTTTTTCATCCATGGGATCCAGGATTTTCTCATGGTAAGGTCATTTGCCGCAGGAGGATATCTGTCAAGCACAGATGACCTCTCGCTGGGCTTTTTGAGCCCAACCTGTCGAAGATTGCTCATAATATGGTTCTCCTCCTGGAAGGATTTCCTTATGAACACAGCAGGTGTCTCCTCTTCTGCTGTTTCACTGTTTACTGCATCAGTTTGTACTCCGGTGGATGTAACAGGCACATCTACCATCCTTCTCCCATTCATACTAGGTCTCAGGGCACGGCTGTAGCGTTTAGACAGCTCAAGCTCTTTCGTCAGATTCAGCACCTCCTGGCCCATGGCTTTGTTCTTATTTTCTTCTTCCAGAAACCTTTGCTGAAGGACTGAGTAATCCACTTGGAGCTGAGAAAGCTGGTCTTCTTTGTTCATCAGCTCATGAATTTTCTCTTTGAGAGCCTGCACTTCGGCTTTCAAGTCTCTGCTTTTCGCCTCTTCCAGTCGAAACCTTTGCCTCAGCTCTGCCTCCTGAGTCACTGCCTCTCCCTTCTCTATTGCTTTGTTTTTTGCAATCTGGAGCTTCATTTCTTCCAGCTGCTGAGAAAGACAGTTAGCTTTATCTTGCTCAGTCCTAAATTTTTGCTCCAGCTGATCATATTCATCCTCCGTCTTCATCAAGTCTCCTTCAACAACTTCCAATTGCTTGAGACGCTTCTTCAGTCTTTCAATTTCAACTGTTAGCTCTTTAATTTTGTTGTCCTCTTGTCCAGAAAGCCCAGTCCCTTTTTTAACGCGGCCTCTGGCTATTTCCCTTTCTACCTCCTCTATGCCATCAATCCTTTTCTTCAGCAGATCCACTTTGCAGTTCAGCTCAGCGGACTTTTCTTCCTCGCTCTTCAGCTTGCCAATTAACTCATCCCTTTCCTTTGTCAAGCTGGACACTTTCTCCTCCATTTCAGATTTCAACTTCAACAGTTTTTTGCTCTCATCTATTAGTTTCTCTGTCACTTCCATAACTTTGCCTTGCTCCACCTTGAAGTTCTTATTCAAGCTTTCAACTTTTCTCTCTTCCTGCTTTATCTTATCCACCATGTTCTTTCTCTCATCAACCAGCATGACAGTAAAAGACTTCAGCTTTGTCAGGTCATCTTTCAAGTTTAATTCAGCTTTCTCCAACTTACTCTCTGAAGACTCAAGATCCTTCACTCGCGTCTTCACCACTTCCAACTCATTGATCAAGTCTTTGGTTAAGTTCTTTTCTTTCTCCAGGTTCAAACGCAGGTGAGTGCATTCAGATTTGCTTTTGTTGAAAGCCTCCTCCAACCTTTCCAGTTCAGACATTCTCTTCTGCAGTTTCTCCACCTCAAGCCTCAGTTCTTTGCTGTGATGCTCCTCTTCTTGTAGTTTCTTTTTAAGCTCCTTACACTGAGATTCAGTCTTTGTGATCTCCTCGTCTTTGCCTTCCATCTCAAGCACCCGCTTGCGGAGGTTTTCCACCTCAGCCATCAAGCTGGAGTTCCCGCATTCCCCTTTGGCTATTTTGTCTCTCAGTTCCCGAAGCTCTTCTTCAGTCTTCTGAAGGTTTTTGTTGGTTTCTTCCAGCTCCTCAATTCTCCGGGTTAGACCAGCCAGTTTCAGCCTGAGCTGTTTATTGTGCGACTCTTGGCTAGCCAGTTTGGCAGTCATCTCCTCGTGCTCTTGGGAAAAGGAGGATGTCTTGTGTTCAAGTTCTGCCTCTAGCTTCATTAGCTTCTGCCCATCCTCTTTTCCTTTGGTACCCAGAATCTTAAGTTTCTCTTCTTCTTCCCTTAGTTTTTGAGTTAGATCTTGTATTTTCTGGGTTTGCTGATCCAGTTGTTCAATGTGCATCTGTCTTTCATCCACAAGCATGAGTGCAAATGACTTGAGTTTGACCAATTCTTCTCTTAGCTTGTTGAGCCTTTTTGCATGCTCTTTTTCCTTTCGGGCTTGGTAGATCTTTTCCTGTTCAAGAAGCTTCTTTAGTCTGAGGAAGGGGAAAACACACAGTGTTATAAGCTTCTTTTAAAAAGAACACAATAATAATTCCTACTACCTAAACTATGCATATCTCTAAGCAAGGGGGGTACATGTAGGGCTTCAGATATTGCTGGATTCCAACTCCCATCAGCACCAGGCAGCATGGCCAATGGTCAGGGATGATGGGAGTTGGAGTCAAGCAACAATTGGATGGCTATAGGTTCCCCATCCCTACAAGTTCCCCATCCCTTCTCTAGGTGCTTGTACATATGAGTACACCCAAAATTGCCAAAATGTGCAGCATGCTATTCCTTTAAGGGGTGAGTACATTAAGGGTTCTTTTAAAAGTACATTCCTTGGGAGCTGTTGTGCATAATGTTGCACAACTTTTAACAAGAAAGGTCAGGAAGGAAATTCTCCTTTTGATCCTCTCTTTCCCCAGCCACCAGATTTTTTTCACCAGAAAATTTCTCAACCAATGTACATACTGTCATTGAAACATGTACTACCTTCCCTATAGATGGCATCTATCTGTACTATATGTAAGTCATTGGTCTAGTCCAACCAGGATCCTCTTCTGTTCTAATGCTATCCAAAGCTTGGGTAACATTAGAACATAAAATCTCTTATGGATCAGACCAAAGGTTTACATTTACCCTTTTCCATCACTGTAAAGTTGAAACATTTTCTATGCCTCTCTGCCTCTTTAGAGACATCTTGTACCAATGATTACATGACTACACATCTGATGCCTGGTCTTCTATGTATTGAAAGCCAAGGCTTAAACTACAAAAAAACTGGGTTTGGTTAGAGTTCATGTTCATTAGCAGGCAGTTGTGTGTATATATAAGTGAAAACTCTGGCTTAGTTCCAGTTCAGACACTAACGTGGATCAGTAACTTCAAACCCAAAGAATACAAATTATTATCTCACTCTTACTATTGCAGTGTATCAATTCAAAGATACTTTACTAAATAATTTTTTAAAATAAAAAAATTCTAATATACCAGTTGCCCAAACTTCATCTATAACTATAAGTCATATTTGCTCACTACAACAGAATGAATTTCAGTCCCCAAATGTTCTTTCCACATTGATGAGCATAGTAGGAACAGTGGACAGAGGCTTAGCTCATCCTGCCCCCTGCCCCCCAGCTGTAAGAAACAGAGAAAGTATAATCCCATTATACAAATCTGTGCCCAGATTTAGAATACTGTGTGCAATTCTGGTTACCCAAACAGAATGCTGTAGAGCTGGAAAAGGCACAGAAAAGAAACTACAATGGTCAAAAGCTTGGAACAGTTTCCCTGGAAAGGCTCAAGAACATGGAGCTTCAGAGAGTGTGTGCTAAGAGGGAACATCACAGAGATTTATAAAAGTATGCATGATTAGAACAGGAATGGGAACCTGTGGCTCCCAGGGGTTGCTGGACTACAACTCCCATTATCTGTCACTACTACTGGTCATGTAGGCTGGGGCTGATGGGAGCCTGAGTCCAACATCATCTGAAGGGCCATCTCATGGACGTTCCCCATCCTTGAACTAGGAAGAACACATTTAGAGATGCTTGTGCAGCTGACAAACCATTGTGTTATCCGTCCTGGCGACCCTTAGCCAATCATGGCAGGGAGGAGAAATGGCCAATCAGGAGAGAGTGAGGATGGTAAAGGGATAATTTGACGGTTTAACCAGCAGGAAAGGGCATGGCAACGGAAGCAGCTTGTGGTGCAAAGGGGTTTATCAGGAAGGATAAACCTGATTAATTTCCTCAGGGGAAGGGGGGGGCTTACAAAGGGGCTAGGGGTGTTTTACAGGCAGAGTAAAAGCAGATAGCCATTCTGGGATGAAATAAGATTTCATAGAAGCAGCTCTCTTGCTGGGAATTTTAAAAAAATCTTGTTTAATAGTGAAACTATCAAGCTTTATCTTCCATTGAGTGTTTGTTCATAAAAATATAGTTTTCGTTTCCATTGTGCCCCAGCTTTAATTTATACCCAGTAAACTGTCACGGGAACCCCAATATTGATAGTTCTTGCTGCATATTTATATTATATGCTGCCACATTTTGAGAATTTCTGAATTCTCAGTTGTTAATAGACATGGAGTGACCGAGGTTAAGAAACAGACTCTGTCACCTTGCCCTGCACCCATCTTCCCTGAGGTAGTTTGTCACAATCTGTTCTCCTACCTGAGACTCAAGAGACATGCTATGGGGTTGATTGGCAGTAGGTTCAGGAAGCACATCATTATTTTGAAGAAGCAGAATAAGTGCCATTAGTAACAACCTTAAATGGGGTTTTAAGAGGGTTAGGCAAATTCATGGAGGATGTCTTCAATTTCACATGCAGCATTGGCACATCAGGCATCTCTGGCCCAGGATAATGTTGCACTGGCTTGCTAATGCTGTTCAATGGCTGAGAGCATAGCTTAAAGTAGAAGTCAGTGTATCAAATCCATATAGGCCAGTTATTTGTGCCTTGGTCATAATGTGACCTTGTGACAGTGGCAAAGACTGTCTAGGGAGGTAGAATGCTCTCCTTCACTGAAGGTATTAAGCTGAGATCAGCACCAGTTAGTGGAGTGGGGCAGGGAGTGTAGCGTTGCTCACTTGCCTTCTAAACACTGAGCATCACTGCTAGTTCCTGAGACAGAGAGAGTGCGGTGCAACTCAGTGGTGAAGCAAATCTGGCACTCCTGCCATCACACCTGCCCCATGCTGAACACAACCTTTCTCAAGAACCACCAGGGATGCTCAGTGTTCAGAAGGCCGGTGACAAACACCACCCTACTAGCAACTACTGGTTCAGACTAAAATATTTGTAAGCCTGGCTTGATCAAAGTGTTCCTTGCTTCTGGAATTCTAACACTCAGAGGTTATCTCAAGCTCAAAGTCTCAACTAGCCAGACCTTGTCATTTAATTAGAAGAATATAAAAAACCAAAAGAATCACACTTAATTTGGAATATTCAGAAATTTCCAGATTAGCCCAGAGTTTATCGCTTCTCTGAAATGAACTATAGATCGATATTTCTCTAGAGATCTGAGTTCCTTTTACCATGCTTTGAGTTGGTCAAGAATAAGGGTTCTGAAAAGGAGAACCCAAACGTAGAGCAATATTTTCACTAGTATAAACCTATATTATTGCAGGGAGAGAGCAGAATCAGTGCTGTTATTACTGTTCCGCTTGTATTAACCGCCATCAGTGGGTACGTCACTGCAGGCTTTAGAACATTCCAGATTCAATGAAGTTTTCTCCTTAAACAGCCAACTTTACTACTCTTTAGAGTAGAAGTAAATACTTCTCTATAAAGCTATTTAAAGTTCAAGTTCACATAATATTTTCATGTTTCCTCTTACCAGAAATATTTAAAGAAATTTCCAGAAAGTAATAAGATGTTTTTATAACTCTGCTTTTACAACCTACAAACCAAGCAGTCATGGATTTAAAAATAATAATAATTGACACATATCTAAAGCATGTCTAAAACTATTGCCTAAAGAATCACTGAGGAAACTGTTCAGCCGGTCCCCTTATTAAGGATTACACAAAGGTTACTATGAATTTTCAGACATGGAAAGCACTTTCATGGAGGCTAAGCATGCAAAACCCAAAATAATCTACTGGACTGTATGTATTTTCTTACAATGAAGTAAGGAACTCCTAGCTGCACAAGCACCCACCCTCTGGGTCCCCTCCTCAGCAACAGCTGCTCCCCAATGAACAGCTGAGAGGAGAAAGGGCTCTGATGTTGTGAAAAGTGTACAATTGCAGCTCTTTCCTCTGCAATTATCTGCTACAAGGAGATGAAAGCAGAGGGGAAAGTGTCTGTGCAAAGAGAGATTGGATTTCCTGCAGATATGCAAAAAGCCATCCATGCATTTTTGCAACTGAATGCCTGCAAGTTTGGGGGCTGCAGTTGGATTTTGAAGATGGAGGCACTGAATAGCAATGTGGCATAGCTTGCAATACAGCTGTGGTTTGCATTATTTGCATTCTTCTGTTGGGATTACAGAGTTCTTTTAGGCTCCCCCCCCCCAGACAAAGCAGTTCTATTGAAGAGCAGTCTTATCAATCAATCAATTAATTAATTTTAAAACTTTTCTATCTCTTTTCTTTTCCCAAAAAGTCAATAGAGAAAATGAAAGCTCAATACTGAGTAGAGTTTCCTCTTGGGAATCTGTTGTGAGGGGTTGTGGTGGATCTAGCCCGCTCACTACTGGAATACAGCCTCCAACAACTTTCAGAGTGATAATGCAGCCCTCACCTTGTCCCATATGGAAGAGTTCTCCATTTAAGAAAAACATGATGGCCCTCAACTCAGCCAGCCTTAAAGTTAGTAAACTTCCTCAGGGAGCTATCCAGCATTTGCTCTTAAGGGCTGTCTTGCTGAATGTAAATATATTTCAACAGCTTATTGTGAAATGCACAACAAACCCTGGTTGTGTCCTAGTTGCCTCTTGTTTCTGTGCAAAAGCTATCATATTTAGTAGCTGTGCATCATCAACATCATCTGTTACTTCAAGAGCTTTTAAGCAGTCGACCGTAAATAGGAATTCACAATCCTTGCTCATATGCTTATAATCTATGAAAAGGTTCAGGCCCACATTGTGTTTTTACAAAGGTGTAGATTTCTTCTCCCCACGCAAGGATAGTGTGGATTCCCTGAAAAACCACAATCTGGGATGAGGGCTCCACAAGAAAACAAGGGCTTGCATGATCTGCACACATGACTATGTGAACAAGTTTATTTCTGACACCATATGTAGGGGGGAATTCAGGTGCTCCGATCCAGCCATTGTCACGCTTTAAATAAGATAATGTTTGCATGACTATCTGTACCATAATGTGGACAGAGCTGCGCATCCAGCTGAAAGCAGCCTGGTGTGGATAGACTGCAGCCATACAAAGACATACAAAGACACAAATGCACATTCTAACATGCATGAGACCTTTGAGGAGACATGTTTGAGACTGCACAGCAAGTAAATGAAATGCACATAAGTATGAGAAATGGCAGTGGTGGGAAACCTGTGGCCCTCCAGATAATGATGAACTTCAGCTGCCGCCCTCTCTGGCCATTGGCTATTCTAGCTGGGGCTGATGGAACTTGTAGCCCAAAAACAAGGCTAAGGCATGCGGTTTTAGGCTAGCCCTCAACCTGAGCCCCCAGTAATCTATAACATGGAAATAACTGTATTGCTCTAACTTATGTAGTTGCTGTAAAGATTAAGATGGCTTATGTGACATCCTGTGACGTACGACATGCTACCTCTATCACGTGTGTGTGTGCATACATGTGTGTCTATATACACACACACACACACGCGCGCGCTAGGTAAGCAAGCATGATCTGCCCAATTCACCACTCAGGTTTTTTGACTGGTCAGATAAAGAAGGTAGCATTGAAAATAACCTTGTTTGTTAAAGTCTAAACCACAGAGCCTAGGGCTTGCTGATTGGAAGGTCGGCGTTTTGAATCCCCGCGACAGGATGAGCTGCTGTTGTTTGGTCCCAGCTCCTGCCCACCTAGGAGTTCAAAAGCATGTCAAAGTGCAAGTAGATAAATAGGTACCACTCTGGTGGGAAGGTAAACGGCGTTTCCGTGCGCTGCTCTGATTCGCCAGAAGCGGCTTAGTCATGCTGGCCACATGACCTGGAAGCTGTACACCGGCTCCCTCAGCCAGTAAAGCGAGATGAGCGCTGCAACCCCAGAGTCGGCCACGACTGGACTTAACGGTCAGGGGTCCCTTTACCTTTACTTATATGTCACCTTTCTTCCATTAATAAACTCAAGATGCAATAATGAGGTTCCAAGGTGGACTCTTATCCAGGCTATTGACCTTTTTAAGGTGGCTGCCACCACGTGCTTTCAGAACATGCCTTGGGATTTGCCCTATTAAAAATTATGCCAAATAAATAAACAATTCCTGCTCACTGGAACTAGAAAATCATTTTACAAAGTAGTTAAAGATTAATCCAGCATGAACACCAACTGCTTTTGTTGAATACAGTGCAAGACAAATTCCCCCTGTTTTAGAGCAGTGGGATATCTCACTTGTTTCAAGTGCCCTGAAGGCTTTCCCAACACACTGTTTTGTAGCAATCACATTAACAGCACAAGCCTACTCAGAAGTAAGACCCACTGAGCTCAGTGGGCCCTAATCCGAGGTAAGTAAACACAGGATTACAACCTAAAGAGTACTCACAACACAGAATGCTTATAGGACCAAACAATTCAATGTCTTGGTTACATAATAAGCAATTATCAGTACAGAGTTCAACAAAAAAAGATCTATGCCAATGTGAAGCAAAAGATTTAAAGCTCTGCCAAGGCTGTATTTGGTCTAGGTTATCCTTCCCTTAAGAACTTGTGAATTGTCTTCTGCACAATGAAATGAAAACCGAACCACAAAGTAACTCCAAGGAAAGATTCAGTTTCATAGCATCTCTCTATTTACAAGGTCAGAACATGCCATACCTTGAAAGTCAGGCTGTGTTTTGATGCAAGGTAGAGCTTTCCCTCCCCAAGTCAGTCAACAGGGAGATCCGAGCTGTTCTAGTTTTAAAAGCTGCAGTTAATTTGCCGCTGTAACGAAGCACATGTCTGTACTTCCCTGTTACATGCAACAGGCTCTTAGCAGAGTCTTCTTGCCAAGCAAATCCATTAGCGCAAGTACTGAAAAATGTGCATACACAAGAAGCAACATTTTGGAAACAAACAAAACAGCAGAGTGTGGTTTTCTTACCTTCTCCTAATGAGGAGCACTTTCGATTCCCCCTCCCTGCCTCTCTTTGCAAGAGTTTGCTAGTCTGCAGGCCCTGCTTAGCCCCTGCTCTACAGGGAATTAGCCATCACATTCCAGCCATGTCATCAGAACAATGAAAGGTGAATGTTGTGCAAAACAGCTTGGGACCACTCACTGATGATGTCATCCCTCCCTTATATGGTTCATTATTGTGCAGATTTAACTTTGGGCAGTGAGGGGGGGTGGAGCCTCACTACTTCAGAAAGCAAAGGAAAACAGTGGCTAGAGAAAGGCTTGGGGGGAAGTAGGGGGGAAGGTAGGTACAATAGAAGTGTATTCTCATCCTCCTCCCCAAAATCCCCCCCTCTTCCAAACTAATTGAACTCCAGCCAGTTCCATTCAAACATGTGTTCAAGCTGCAATTGCAATCCTTTCAGAATCAGCCTAAGGAGCTGAAATCACACAGCATGAAAGTAAAGTAAAACCATTATTTATCTATTATGGATTCCCATCCTAAATGCAGCACAAAGGACAATGGAAGCTGAAATGACTCCCTCCACCTAAAAATTACATGAAGGGTATGCTCTCTTCTACAGACTGTTTATTATAGTTGCTATACATCTCCTAAAGAGACACTAGGCTAACTATCTTAGGAATTTACATGCCCAAAGTCTGCTTGTAACTCAGGAAAAAAACTGGGTTGCAATTTTAAAAAACAACACTGAAACTCCAGTCTACAATTGTTGTGTATTTAAGAGACAGCTGTGACATAATGCTTCAAGGTATGAGACTGCTGTTGGACTAACAGCATCACTCTACAAACAAGTCCTGATTTATATAGAAGCAGCCACTTTATGAGTCTCCAGGGGGTCATCCTACAGCAGCTAAATCCGGGTTACACTGTCATTGAATTAAATGCCATTGGTGTACATTCACATGACCAGTGAAGAAAGACATGGTAATATGCATTTTCCCCAAGCTAGGCTGAAGGTGGGTATGCTACCTTTCTGGAAGTTTGGTAGCATCATCTGAAATCAAAATTTTCCACACACCCTTATTTATAACAGCTGCAATTTAGAAGATGAATCAGGCCAGCGCTTCCCCCCATCAATGCATCTTTATGCTAGCAAAAACTTCACGGAATCATAGAGTTGGAAGGGACCACAAGGGTCATCTAGTCCAACTCCCTACAATGCAGGAATATTTTGCCCAACATGGGACTTGAACCCACGACCTCAAGATCAAGAGTCCTGTGCTCTACTGAGTGAGCTATCAGTTTTCATCTGTTTAATTTCCGCCAGAGGTATTTTTCTTGACAGATTTGATTCTTTATTTTCCCCCTACCTTCCTGTGAGAACGCTAAGCAGATTGCAGTAGTAAAAACAAATCACGAATTACTGTATAAACAATAATTAAATAATTAGGAACTAGATCAGTAGCAACCAAACACCTATTTATCCACCTAAGCTGTATTTCATGCTGCTCAAAAGCTCAGACTTGGTTGGCCAAACCCAAGGACTTACTACTGCAACACTTAGGGCTTGTCCCCACTTCCACTTGTCCCATGACTAGAAGGAGTGAGTCCAAGCAGTTTTCCTCTTGACCCACTCCTTTCCCAGGGAAAACCCATTCTTCAATGCTAAATTAGAGCAAATGTCAGTATGGAAGATTGCTGTTTGCTCCGACTGAGTGCTAGAAAGTGGTTTTGTAATTCCCAGTTCTGCTAACTCTCAGCACCCTTAACAAACTACAGTTCCCATGATTCTTTGAGGGAAACCATGGCTGTTGAAGTAGCATCCGAGTACTTCAAATGTATGGTGTGGCTGTGATCTTGATAAGATCTTTTCAACTGTGTTTGACTGAAGCCAGGTGTTTTAGATCCACCCTCTCCATAAAACTACCTTGCTATCATATATGCCATTTGCTGCATTGTGCCTTATGGTCTGCATTAATTAAATGAGGAGATGACGGCCACCAGTTTTGGGTTCCATACTTACAAGCAGTAGCTTCTTCTTGCAACCATGCTGCTTATATTCCAGGATTCAGCCCCCTTTTAAACATAGATTTCAGGACTGTGCTTTTGCATCAATTAAACCCTGCTTTGGCTTCTCTTTTCATGCTTCTTATCTCATGCAATGGAACTCATGCAATGTAGTAAAGGTAACACCCACAGAACTCCTAGATTCCTTGGCTACATTACTTAAATCCTCTACAAACAAAGCCAGATGCTTGTTGCAAAAGAACAAACAACTATTCCCCAGGATTCCCGTTTACTTGCTGCCATGAAAAGTGCACTGCAAACAAGGAATCACCATCCTTAAAGAAGCCGTATCTTAATGACGCTCCAGGTTACTGTATGCTCAGAGGTGAGGCTTCTAGATAATGATCATATTTCTATGCAAACCTGCAGATTTCCACCTGTGCAGTGCTTAATGTATGTTAATGAGTTCCTAGAACCCATTTGGTGGAGGGAAGGGTGGGTTTTTTTAATCATGGGAAAAAGGAAAGCTGGCTGTTTTTAATATAAATATATTGCATTACTCATGTTGTGCCTCTTGGGAAAGTATTCAATAAAGAGAAATAAAACATATCCTTGAAAAAAGAATGCTGGAAGAGGGAAGAGGATTGCAAGCTGTGCTGATTCTGGGCTATACATTTTATATTACTTACATCATATTCCCTAAAAACCCCTCACTTAGTAAACTTAAGCTGAACAACTGGCTGTAGTCACCAGCCGTGCTTTTATTTAAAACAGGTCATTCCAGGCAGATGTTATAAAACATTATATTATTCTCTTGAGGCTTTTTTCTCCCTCTGAATTGATGGGCTGAGGCGCTGCTTTTTCTTCTTCTTTAAATCACGCCGTGAATTGTTCTATATCTCCCTGTTATGCATTTATTGCCTTTTATGGAGTATGATTCATGAACTAAACATAATGACCTTAGACACTTTTTATTTAAAAGCATTTCTGTTTGACTGGGGAGAATTCAGGCTTTTCTCAAAGCATATGACCAGATGGTGGTGTGGAAAGCCCTTGGGGGGGGGGTTGATCCTGTCCCATTCCTCTTCCTCCATCAATGCAAGGCTTCCATTTGATTGAATGATACAGTGCCGTTCTCTTTGAAATCATAGGTTGCAATACCAAACTCTACACAGTTACCTGAGAATACCTCACACTGAACCCAGTTGGGCTTACTTCTGTGTAGAGAACTGCACTGTCAGTCACATGCCTCACCCAAAAATTTCAGTTTCAAAAAGAGCAAACCATAAACTATAGCTTATGGCAGACATTTCATAGAATTGTAGAATTGAAAGGGACCCTGAGGGTCCAGTGGCGGAGCTTCAAGCTCCAGTGGGGGGTGGGGCAGAGAGCAGGCGGGGGCATGGCTGACGTGCGTCCCGGGGTGTGTGGCACGTGTCCCAGGGTGTGTGGCATGCCACCCGCATGGACGCGCCGCGCCACCGCAGGGGTGTGGCACGCTTCCTAGGGCATGGTGCACCGCCTGCAGGGGCGTGGCACCCAGCGCGCGGGGGGGGCAGCCGCGATGGCACCTCACCGGGATCGTGCCGCCAGGGGTGGTGCACTCCCCCCCGCACCCCTGTTCCTCCACCAGTGAGGGTCATTTAGTTTAGCCTCCTGCAATGTCCACAGCCGCCCCTGTTAGTTACAAATCATAATATGACAGAACCCTACCAATGTATTTATTTATTTTTGTAAGCTGTATGATCTGTCTGGTTCCAGATAAAATCAAAGCTGTTTTACCTTTTCAAATGTCAGCCACGCTGCATGCGCTTTTATGTTACTTGGCACTAAATCAACCCTTATGCTAAACACACAGAGAAATAATTGTGGTGTTCTGAAACTGCCTAAATCCATTTCCTTTTTATACTTATTTTGCAGAATCATACATCACACTCTTACCAGGCAATCTTGGGCATGTTTACTCAGAAGCACCGGTAAGTCATACTGAGGTCAATGGAACTTGTAGTGCAATATCCTTGGGCTACTCTCAGCTCCTGTTAAAGCCATCAACTCACTCTCCACTAGAGAAATGTTCACAACATTCACAATATTAGATGAATCAGCTGTAATTTATAACCCAATGGAAGCTCAATAGATTTTATTTTCAGCATGAGAACAGTATCAGGCAGGCCATAATTCTCACTACACAAGAAGCTGACTTATACCAAATCAGACATTTGTCCACCTAGACTAATATTGTACTCTCTGACTGGCAGCAGCTCTCCAAGTTCTTAGATGAGAGTATTTCCCATCACTTTATCCTTTTATCTGGAGATGCCTGCCATTGAACCTGGCAACTGGGAATTCTTAATGCAAAGAATGTGCTGTCCTGCTGAGTTGTGGTCCCTTCCTGCAAAACTATTTTGAGGCAGTGTCCTGACATCCTCCTTTCTCCCTGTCTAGTTATCATGTGGCTACAATTATCTAGTTATCCCTCCTTAATCTTAAAAGCTGTTCAACCCATACAGAAGCTCGAAACCGTTTCCATCCAGTCTTAGTAGCATCTATAAACTGCTGTCTTAAAGATCAGCTGGAAGTAAGAACAACTGGATTAGGAGCTGTTGTTTTCCTTTCATTTACCAGTTTCTAAATATTCATTATGGAAATTAGAAAACATTTGAATGAAATTAGTGGGTGTCTTTTCCAAGATCATCCCTTTCATTGAAATTATTGTCTTTGAATTCAAGAAATTCAACATATCGACGGTATCCCTGAGAAAAGTAGAAATATATATATCAGTGTTGTAGATATAACAGTGATATGCAGCAGTTATGAAAGAGGGTTTGTTATGCCAGAACTCTCAGAATATTACACTGATTCTCCTGCTCTTTTGTTCTTGCAGATTTTAATCACTGTACAGTGAGAGGAGTAATAATTGAAATGCTATAAATTCCCACAACACCCAATAGTGCTGTCCTGCTCACCCTCACCCCCCACCGCTGCTCTGGATAATAGCTTTAGAATCAAGGGAGAAAAACTAATGAACAGAACGTATGAAACCTTCAGAAGATACGGGCAGAAAATGTATCTGAACATTAAAAAAACACCACCTTGCACAATTAAAGTGACAGATTTTATGTTTACATATAATCTATCATGTTGTATGAGATGAAAATTCTGGATTGTATCCAAATTACTAGGTTGTACTCAGAGTAAGGTAAAGGTAAAGGTACCCCTGCCCGTACGGGCCAGTCTTGACAGACTCTAGGGTTCTGCGCTCATCTCACTCTAGAGGCCGGGAGCCAGCGCTGTCCGCAGACACTTCCTGGTCACGTGGCCAGCGTGACGAAGCTGCTCTGGCGAACCGGCACCAGAGCAACACATGGAAACGCCGTTTACCTTCCCGCTATAAAGCGGTACCTATTTATCTACTTGCACTTAAGGGTGCTTTCGAACTGCTAGGTGGGCAGGAGCTGGGACCGAACGACGGGAGCTCACCCCGCCGCGGGGATTTGAACCGCCGACCATGCGATCAGCAAGTCCTAGGCGCTGAGTGGTCCCGTACTCAGAGTAGACCACTGAAATAAATGGACCCAAGTTAGTCACATCCATTAAAGCCAATGGGTTTACTCTGAGTAGGCCTAATATAAGAAACCACCTTCTGGCTTTTGGTCTTCAAATATTGTTATAGGTGTATTGCTATTAGAAATTACCAATTATGATCAGATTACAAAAAACCATAAAATTAGCTTCTTGGGCCCAAGGGGACTCTATACTTGTTTTTCTTGAAGAACAGCCCCTTCTGCCTCTATTGCCTCCCAGCAATGCTTTTAAAAAGCAGTGGAGGCACTAGCAAAAAGGGAGCAACAGAAAGGGGCAAGTGTATTATGTGAAGGTGAATTTTGCCCCACTTTAGGTTTCTCTAAAGTAAATCCAGTTGGTTTGACTCACAGGCCAGGTGTGTGGTTCCTGCAACAGAGGAGGGGGTGTAGGCCAAGGTGGAAGCCCCCCAAAAGGGGCTACAAGGTGAGAGCCAAAGACAAGTGTTAGGGAGGAACTGCTACAGAACCCTCCCCAGAAAAGGAGGAGAGAGCGGAACTCTAGTGGCTTGGAAGGAAGCCTTCAGCCCACACAGGACGGCATTTCTCTATCTGTATGAAACAATCCTATGAAAAACGGCTTTCTGTCAAGAAGCAACATGAGTCTGGCAATGGGGTGTGGGGAGCTGTTTGTATGAGGAGCTACCTTCCCCCCGCTAGGCACTGCCTATGTGGAACCAAACTTTCAAAAGCTGCTTGATCAGGGATCAGGGTCAGCAACTGTTGGCCGTGCTGTCTGGGGCTGATGGGAGTTGGCACCCCCTCCATCTGGGCTAACACACAATCTGTCTCTGTTCCTGGGTTAACACACTTGCGCGAGTCTAAGCAGTGGTTTATATCTCGGCCTACATGCTCTGACAAAGCTTCAACTAGTCGACAGCAAAATGACACTAGTATAGCCCTTTTATTCTCTGTTGCTGTAATTTTTTTAAAGCAACCGTTCTGTTTAACACACAAACCCAGAGAGAGAAGTCTGCAGATTTTAAGCCCATCATAGGAGAAGGCCTTTCTCTGAATTTAGACCTCCACAGTCGCTCTGCATCTCATGTATATGAAATAAAGTGGAGCAAAATGAAAACATTTTGGGAAGAAAGGCTTGGGGCTGGCTTCTCATGGGAAAGGGAAGAGAAGGAAACCTGAATAACAAAAGCACAAAGGGGGGGTGGGGGTACGAGAGAGATGTTTGAAATCCGCTAACATCAGTGCTCCCGTTTCTGATTCAAGAGGCCTGCACTCTTTATTAGATGCAGATCAGTTTCCTTTGCAGGTGATGCGGTCCCAGCATTACATCACCAGAAGAGCAGCCAAAGAGCATCTCAGTGCCAGGATGACTGAAGCAGAGAGGAATGTATTATCACAGGCTACTGAGAAACTCGCCAGTTCTTTCTTTGCTGGGGGTGCTGGGATGGAGAGCAGAAAATGTCATTAGAAGAGCGAAAGTTTTCATAGGAGGAAGATCCGGGGGTCCGAGGATCCCCTGCGTATATCTACAATTATAGCCGTGCATTTTCAGAGGGGGTGGAACCAGGAGCATTAACAAAGACCATATTTGTGACGCTAGCACTGAAGCAGGATAACGTGTGTGTGTGTGTACTCTGTATTGGAATAAATTAATCAGCGTTTCTCTATACCTGGGCCCTACTGTTTCAACTGGAGAAAAGAACTTTGAGGATACTGAGCTAAGAAAATTCAAACATCCAATCACTATCAGCGGTTTAACCTACAAAGAAGCCTTACGTAAAAGCTAACTGATTACGCTAGGCTAAATAACTCCAGCAGTTCGTATACAGGGAAATATAAGGAAGAGTGTTGCTCCATTGGTTTTGTTTTCCAAGGCCTCCGAAACAGCGGCTCCAAGAACTGCAAGCCAGTGTTTCCACTTTCAGGCCCTTTGGGGACATTCTCTCACAACTGCGAGGCTGGAGAGTGAGCATTGTGCATTTGTTCCTCCCTAGCCATCACATCCTCACTGGCCCTGCACATTTAAAGCACATGACTTCCCTTGAAGAATTATGGGAACTGTAGTTTACACAGGAAAATTGATGTCATATATTTCATCAATTGCCTATATTTTCAGTGATTTGCTTTAACCAATCAGGACAGTCCCTCTGTAAGAGACTATGAAAAAATCAAACGTTGAATATGTGAACACAGAGAAACACTTGCTAGCTTAGTTCCACTTGAACTCTGCACGTACTTTGGAATTATGTGTCTGTTTTTGCTTTGTCCCCGACCCATAATCTTGGTGCCACTGCAAAGCAATTAGAGAAAGCCGTGGTAGTTCAAGCTAAGTAGACTCCCAACAGGGGAGACTCTAATGGAAACTGATATAAAAGCACTGCTATTTGGAATTGGGAAAGATAAAAGCAATAGAGATGATTCCTAGAGAGGAGAGACAGATCTCAGAGGAGAGAATCTCTAGAACAATTTATACAGGCTACAACCAACCCAAACATGTGGACAGCTGTCTGATTGGTCATCTATGCCTGGGGAAAGTGTGCAGCTGTCCTATTGTCTTCAAAAAAGTAAAATCCTCTGAGCTATGGATGGGGAATAGAGGCTGAACAGGGAAAACATAGGAGAAGGATGTTTTTCTCATGATGTCATGAAGATGCCCCATAAAATGTTCAGTAGTTCATCGCAATACAATTCTCAGCATTCTTTAGGTGAAACCATGACTGACTGTGCTATAAAACTGATATAAGTCTATTGGGTTATATATTCCCTATGGAGTACCATCACCACTACCAAAACAGCAGATAAACTAGGATAAACCAGTCAGTTTCTTTTACTGGTTATCCTAGAGATTATTCAGATTGCTGCTCTTTATATATTGAAATTGACATTGCTTGATGTTTCCAGTGTGCATCCTGAACAATTTTTTTCAATGACTAAACATATGTCCAGATCATGATTTAGCACATACCAATCCAAACTATTTCTCCAAGGGTATCTTTGCATGTTGAAACATTCACACTGAAATCACAGAGCGAATCAGTGAGGATTGGATTCATTATATAAAAATGTGTGTAGGGCCGGTCCTAATATTAGGCAAAGTGAGGCAGCTGCTTCAGGCATCTGATTTTGGGTATCATGAAAGGGCACCAAGTTGTTAGTTCTTTAATTTATTATTGTAGTTTTATTGTCAGATGGGTGGGGAAGAGGCATATGTGGGATTTTCTTTTCTTGGGTGCCAAAATAATTTGGCTGGCTGTGGAAACTATTGAAGAAGTAGGGGGTGCCATTTGCCACTCTGCTTCAGATGTGAAAAAGTGTTGGACTATGTGGTCCACTTTTATTTCATTTGAAACAAAGAAAGAACATGCATATAGACCACCCCAGACCCACAGGAAACTGGTACACTTCTTAAATGGGCAGCGGTTGAATTAATGTTATAGTTTATTACTACTAATACAGCTGGGCATATGGTTTGTGTGGCAGCAACAGAGAGGAACTGTAATTGATTGTATATTTGTTCCCAAATTATTATTATTTTTTTAAGTCTTAGACTAGCTCTGCAGCCTTGAATGAATTATTCCCATATCTGTAATACGGATTCAACAGTACAAGAGAACTGACAATAGGTTTTGGTTGGGCAAAAAAGTTCAATAAGTGGTGAGAAACAGTATATTAAAAATGTTAATTCCCTCTCTACAATATCTCTGATATCTGGGATTCTGCAGTTCTGCTGAAAAATGTATTTGAAAAACCCGTTGTTTCCCATCAGAATAACCCCCGAAATGCAGAGTTTATTCAACAGGCTGTCTCTTAATGCTCACCTTTCACGCTCCTGCTCCAAGAGATTGGTAAAGTCATCGCTCTTATTCATGTAATCTGTATGTTTATGCTTCTCATTTTCCAGCTCGTAAACTGTGCGCCGATGGCATTTCTCTGCCAGGAGGAGCTGCTCGAGCATGCGCCGGTATGTTTCCTTCTGCTTCTCTTCCAGTCTGTCCAGCTGGTTGGTTGAAATATAAAATGGACTGTGTTAAATACATTGTTGGCTGACATTGGTACATCTGCTGAACAAGGATGTTGCATTACTGTAAACGTGGCATGGCCTCTTTCATTGCCTATAAGCAGTCACTAGTAATAAACACCACTGATACCCATTAGCTTTGCCCATGACAGATCAAATGTAGAGGACGACAGTTAAAATTGTAGCCATACCAAGCTGCTTCAGCAATGAGCTACTGACATTTTGATTTTGATGAGAGCTTAGATTGAAGGAAGGGACTGATTATTCGACTCACTATTTCAGATTTCATTGGAAGGAGAAAAGAGATTTCAGTGTGAAGGAAGGGAAGATTCTCAGTGAGGTTTAAAGGCTCACTCTTAAATCTCTTCAGAATTAAACTGTACAGAGCAGTTTAAGAAGATTAGTTGTGATTGCCCTTTTATACTTCATGATCACTATGGCAATGTTCTCAATGACAGCTAACAGTTACCCCTCTCTTTAAAAAAAAAAATATGGAGAAAAAGTCTTCCTTTGGCATCTATGCCTAGCACAGAGACCCATTCTGTAATAATAGTCATCCATTATATAGAGTCAGCAAGTTAATCAGAAGTCTAGAAGTTTCTGTGGAATAACTAAATGGGATTTGGAACACAGGGTGATTCACACACCCCAAACCCCACAATATCCCTGGGGCTTATGCTTTCAAGGCCAACAGGCCACATTTGGCTCCTGGGCTTAGTGTTCTCCATCCCTGTTTGAGAGCAAACACAGTCAACTTCACAGGACTATATACAGATATCACAGTGGTTTGGTCACTGGTGTGCTGTGCTGCTGTGGAATTTGCAAATGGTAACATACTGTTGCCCTTGGTTCCACATTCAGAACATGCATGTTTCCTCAGAGGTAATTCTCACAGTGTTCCCTTACTCAAAGGCATGTGTTTCTCCAATCACAGTCTCAAAGTCTGCTTTCTAGAATTTTAATTCTCGGAAACTTTGCAAACATGCAATGTGTTGAGCGCTAACACACTATCACTGTAGAGGATCAGATTAGGTATCTATGTACGCAAGTGTTGCCACTGCCACATGTTGTGCAAGAGAGGAAAACAGAGACATGCAAGGTTGGGGATGTGCTCATGCCTTCAGTCGTGGTATTTTGTGAAGCAAATCGCAAATGCAAGTCAAAATGAAAAGGACACCCTGACTGAAGGTTCCTAAAGTAATTTGCTTACCTCTGAAATTGGCTTCTCATAGACATCTTCCCCTGTTGATTTCTCATGGGCAAGGGTCGCATCCCTGTGCAATATCCTGAGGACATTCTCTGGAGCTGAAGAGCCATAGTGCGCCTCCAGAATTTCAGGCTTTATTTTCTCTGTTTTCAGCATATGGATCACGTCTTCTCGAGCCTGCAAATTGACAATATGATTAATATTACTACTACTATTATTTAATTACTTAAACAATGAAATAGCAGCATTTTCGACTGCTGACGTACTATGGGCTGTATCCAATGGTGTCCATGCATAAGCTGGGCACTTTGGGGGCAGTTCTGAATTCCTCATCTGAGGCCCTGTGGGTGGTAGCCAGGCATCTGAGAGCCCTCTAGGAACCAAGGCAGCTTCTGTGGGGACCTCCAGTGAAGGTGCAGGGATGTCCAGTTCCAATAGGATCATTAGTGTGGGAAGGGTCCCACTCCTTTCATTCATTCATTTTATTTCAACAATTTGTATAAAGCTTAATGACAGCAGTCTCTAAGCAGTTTACACAGGAGACCCCATACAATGAGACACCCCCCCCCCATTCTTGCTCCTCATCTGAGAAGCCTGCAGACCCAAGGGCTGATCACTGATGCCAGCTTCAAGGCTTTGAAAAACGGGATTTAACATATTTGTAGTGGAGATATCTACTGACTGCCATAATAGCTGTATGAAACCTCCATGTTTGGATGCAGTTTACCTCAGAAAAGCAGAAGCTGGGAACAAGCAACAAGGAATGGCTATCATCGTTTTGCCATGCTGTGGGGGAAGAAGCTGTTAAACTCATGGCTTACTCATGAGTAGCCCTGTCAGCCAGGATTGGTTTCAGCTAAGTAAGGGTGGGGCTTGGAAGATGTTTCAAGCCTCCAGACTCAGGCTGATGTCTTTTAAGTCTCAGAAGGCCCCAGAGAAAGAGGAAGCCTAGGGGAGATCAGCAACCAGTAGAGCTCATAAAGAACTGAAATTATATACTCCTTGTAGCTATTTATCCAGCTGCTGAATTCTGAACTACCGTATTTTTCGCCCTATAGGGCGCACTGGCACATAGGGCGCACCTAGTTTTTTTGGGGGGAAAATAAAGGAAAAAAATGATTTCCCCCCCCCAGCCGCGGGGCTGGGGCTGGGGGGGGAGCCCGAGCTTCCCCCGACCCCAGAACAGGCTTGCGGACATCTGCCCGAAGCCCGGGGTGCGCTGCGGAGCTGCAGGCTGCTGTCCGCAAGCCTTGGGAGCCCGGCGGGGTGTGCTCTTGTACTCGCGTGAGAGAAAGCCTCCAGCAAGGATAGCAAAAAAAGAGAACAAGATAGATCTTTCCTGTTCCACCACTTGGATGCAGAAGAGGGGGAAAGAACAACAGAGGATATCCCACGCTTGTTATTCGGGGGCTTGGCGGGGTGGGGGAGGCAGCATATGTGGAAGGGGAGGGAATAATTCCAGGGCGATGAGCCCCTCCCATTCCCTCCTCCTTGGAAATGGTTGCGGGCGATCTGTGGCTGTCAATGCTCTGTGATGCGCCGCCAGCCCTTGTATTTCACCCGTCCCGCAAGCGAGGAGAAAAGCCTGCGTTCCTAAAGCCCAATACATACACACACACATGAAAACAAAAGGGAGCTGCCTCCTGGAAAAGACCTCCTCGAAAGATCTCCAGATCAAGGGGAGGGGCGTCGGAGGGGCAGCCAATGTCCACCCATCCCCGCCAAGGGCACACGATCAGAGTGGCGGGGCCTCCCATGGTCGCCTGTCCAGTTGTCTCCAGGGTCCGTCCGGCTTCCCCTCCCTGATCTCTCTCTCCGCCAGGCTGCGATCGAGGCAGGAGAGATCCCTGGGGACTGCAGGTCTGCCTGTGCCCGAGCTCTGAGCCCTCCAGCCCCCATTTCTCCAGAGGCACAGACGCCAAGATACCCTCCTTCCTCTGCGTAAAGACCCATACCCAATGCGTGCTTTCCCCCCCACAACGCGCGCCGGGCCCGCGCTCCCTTGGCGCGCTCCACTCTCCCAGCCTCAAGAGGTGCGCCTTCTCCCGCTTGGGCGCAAAGCACCAGCCTGAGAGCTAGCCAGCATGGAGCTCAGCCCGGTGGCAGTGGATAAGGGAGCCGCCTCCTCCAGTTGTGCGCCGCAAGCCCCGCACTTCACCTACCACTGCCTCCGGATCGCCCCGATCGCCCCGGGGTGCACTCCGCTGCGCTCCCCAGGTTTCGGGCTGCAGGCTGCTGCCCGCAAGCTTGTGAGCCCACGGGAACTCCGGCCGGGCGTGCAAGGCTTGCGGATAGCTTCCAGAAGCCTGGAGAGCGAGAGGGGTCGGTGCGCACCGACCCCTCTCACTCTCCAGGCTTCAGCGAAAGCCTATATTCGCCCCATAGGACGCACACACATTTCCCCTTCATTTTTGGAGGGGAAAAGTGCGTCCAATAGGGTGAAAAATACGGTAATTGTGCCTTCCAAACAGCTTTCAAGAGCAGCCCCACACTGAACACATGATAGTAGGCTAGTTGAAAGAACCTGGGCATGCTGGGCTTCCAGAAAAGGTCTACTGATTGTTGTTAGAAAGAGAATGTTGGATTAGATGGGTCTCTGGTCTGATCCAGGAAAGCAAATACTTCTGGGGCATTCCTAGTCCCTAGCATGTTGTCTTCAAAGCTCTGGCATACCTGCTTTGCATAGGATGCTGTTGTAGTAATTATTTGGGTTAAAAGTACTGATTTGCAACACATACATAATTGTTTAACCATTAGCAATCTGAGCATTCCCTGGGTGGAAGCAGCAGCCCATTAGCTAGTTAATTTTAGGTTCAGTATAAGATGGTCATGAAGCCCAACTGTTTCTTTGCTTAAAAGCATCATTGCCTTTTAGCCACCAACAACTTTGTTTCCTAGCTGACTGATGAGCCGTGTAAGATAATAATTGAACTCTGCTGTTAAAAGAGATCTGTTACTTCAATTATATAATGACCATTGCACATGGAAGGAGCCTAGCAATGCTAAAGACAAATAGCACCACTCATAAATAAAGTTCTTCATGAAATCATTCAAGATTTATTGGATATTATTAACTTCCCAAGATGGCTCTTCGAGCCTTTATGGTGCACAGCTTGGGGTACATGACTACAGGCACCATGAAACAGGGGATCAAAGTTTACTAAGTCCAGACTTTTTCTTCTGATTATGCTACACCCGTAACTGTCAAACTCTGGACATGAGCACTCTGTAGTCCTCATTCAGTTTATTAATAGTGCAACAGCTGCTGCGTACTAGGATCAGAAATAAGATAAGGTCATGGATCCCCAATGCAGTGTTGTGGTCATACCAGTGGTACATTTTCTAAATTTTAAAGGACTCTGTGCACTGGGCCTGACAAAGAACGTAAATAAAAACTCACAAGGTAGCCCTCTAAAGGATTTCAGGTGCCTGTTCTCAGGCAGCTGCAAACGTTATCTCTCACAGCCAAAAGAAAAGTTCTCTTCAGTTTCTGGCAATTTAGGCTAGTATGGCATGTGTCTTTCAGATGTTCATCATCCATGTTGACAACATATCTACATGCAATACAGGCCCAGCATCAGCATCCTGGGGCAGCTGCTAGAGCCTCTGGACTCCCCACAGGGTCGCCCACCAATAAAACCTGTCCTAGACACTTCACAATGGGAAACTGGGACCATGAGTCTCCATTTTAATTTCTCACAATACACTGAAATGACAATATATTGGGTATCCCAGGGCTTTGTGGGAAATTTAAGTGGCAGCTTCCACCTTTGGAGTGCTGCCGCCACCAAGAAAATCCAAGGAGCCCATCAACACAACAGAAGGCCCACTAGATGATGCTTTGCCCAGGCACCCCTCAAATTTTGAGCCGGCCCTGATGCAATACAGGGGTAGGAAACCTTTTTCAACCTGAGGGCTGTATTTGCTTCTGAGCAACTTTCTGGGGTCTGCCAGCAGCAAATGCAGGCAGAGAAAAACATGCAAATGTTCCTTTTCTACAGTATGTGAGTTTCCACACACACTCACAAAGGCCGCTTTCCATCCTCCATCTAGTCATGAGGCATTATAAGGCCTCAAGGACAGCCAATTCTAGGTATGGAGCAAGGCCTGTGAGGGATGTGACCCGGGGAGAGTTTCAAGGGGCAGATGAAAAGGTCTCGTGGCTCACATTCAGCCCCTAGGCTCGAGGTTCTCCACTTGCATCTACAGTGGTACCTCGGGTTAAGTACTGTACTATATATTTGGAAAGTGGTTTGCTTGTCTGTCCACCCACCTCTCGAGATGACAATGCCAAGTTTGGCATCAAGGTTTCTGAGGTGGGGGTGGCAGGCTTTGTCACTGTTTGGTATCTGGGTGCCATTTTGAATCAAGACAGTGGACAAAAATGTGACTTTGTCCATTTGTTGGGCGCCTCTCAAGATATTGTCACCAAACTCAGCATGAGGGTTCACGAGGTGCAGGGGTCATAGTCTTCATCAAAGTTTGGGTGCTGGGCACCATTTTTAATCAAGATGGAGGACCTAACTGTGTTGTGACTTTGCCCGGTTTTTGGTGTGACATATCCAAACTCACGAATTACACAATCCATTTTAAAAAAATAGTTTCTACAGATTCCCAGGCAGCACCAGGCACACCCCACTACTTAGATGTCTTTTTAAAAGATAAAATATACAGCTAAAACTTTTTCCCATGTATCAGCAACACAACAACATCCCTGTTGCTTATTCAGGAGAGACAAATGAATAGCCCAGTGAAGTACCAGTTATACCAATTCAATGAATGGACTAACTCTGTTACATAATAATGCTGTGCTGGCTTGCACACACCCTCAAGCAACTAGTAAAGTCTGATGTCAAAGGCAGGATATTGGGCCAGACAGACCTCTGATCTAAACCAGTGAGCCTATTATATTATTCTCTCTCTCTCTCTCTCTCTCTCTCTGTGTGTGTGTGTGTGTGTGTGCATGTGCATGCAACTATATATATAAACTGCACTTCCAATGGGGCTGGGGGCTTTGCCTCCAAATGTTCAGAAGACAAAATGAGGAGGCGAGAACTGCGGCGCTGCAGCAGAGCCCCACTTTGTTACTTCTTACATCAGGCTTTGAAACAGATCAAATGCACCCTGGAAGACATCTGTCTGTTATTTCCTGCCATATAGCTTTTGGTTCGGCTTTATTGCCAGAGAGCTGCACAGATGATGTCACTTTTTCTGTGAAAAGAACCGGCCACCAGAGCCTTTTCACTGACATAATTCATTATCTGTAGTCTGGCCTGGGGACAGCAAATTCCCATGACCAGGAATTAACTATATACACTGCTTGATGTTGTCAGACTTTTTAAGGGCTGAAAGATATCATTTCTTGTTTTGTTGACACTGAAAAGGAGCCTTGTTCTCTATTATCACACCAAAGGGGAAGGTTAGTCGCAAGCCTACGGTTCCGTGATCCTTGGCATTACAAGAAGCAAAATCAAAAGGTCAATGTAGATTATGTACACAGATCAAAGTGTGTTGCGATATGTCTTACATGCTTCAGGAATTAAGGCATCACAATGGACAAACCAGCTGACTCGCGGTTTGCCCTCGCCGGTTATTATAAATGCTCTCATGGCCAAATTTAGCCATCTGCAGATATTGTGTCCATCAGGTTTATCAGTGGCTGGAGTTGCTGAGGGGAACCAGAGCAGTGTTATTCTCTTCTCCAGCGATTGCTGGAGGCTCTCAGGAAAACGAAAGGACGCCCATGGGCATCTGTTGGTTGTGCTCAAGTCGAGTAACTGTGTTATGATGCTGAGTAAAGCCTGCAGCCATTTGACCAAGACCAAAGAAAGAAGAAGAACAAGGCTCTGGGGCAATCCTATAATCGTCAGTTTCCAATCCCAGGGAACTGGCATTGTTAAAAGAAGAAAAACACTACACATTGAAAGCTTAATATATTGCCTGTTTTGCCCTTCAGATGATCCAGTGTCCTGCAGCAGTGCAGCTTCTTTGCCATCCCATTGGGTTGGGGGGAGGACACAATTCCAACGGTGAACATGGAAAACTGGGTGGGGAAACAACTACTGCAGCTGTGAAGTTCAGGAGGTGTGGATAGAGCAAGGATGGGGAAGATTACGCAGCTTGAGGGCCACCTTCCCTTCTGAGCAACTGATTTACATGTATGAATCCCCTGAATTTCTGTTTTAGTTGCTGTTATATGCTGTTACACTGTTTCCTTGGTGTTAAGCTGTACTTTAGTTTTAAAAGGCATCATTTTTATATTGTACATAGAACTTACTATTTAGAAATTTTGAAATATTAAGTGGTTTGGAAATGCTTTAAACAAAATAAATTTGCAATGGGAGAAAAGCTCCCATTGGCACCAGAAGCTTTCCTCCCTTTGTGACCTGCAAGTGTGTGTGTTGATTCCAACCAGGACTGCAGCAGGGGCAAAGGGATAACCTCCCCCCCTCCTCCACACTCTGGTCGCATTTCACCTCAGGGCCCCTTGTGTTGGGATGGTGGAAAAAATCGATTCATCTCTCACTGAAAGGTGAATCTACCTAACTCATACTTCCCAAAACCACATGGGAACCATAATGCAACCCTCCTTTCAAAATTTGCACATCTCTGAATTTTGCAATACATTTCTGCAGCCAAGGCATGCTCAAAAAAGCATGTACTGGGGGTAAAGTATGCATTTTTAAAAAATCACATATTACTGAAAATAAGATACAAAAATGCATTGCAAAAAAATGTGTATTGGGGAAACTGAATGCAAATGTGTTTATAAGGAGAAATTTGTGCTAAAATGCTGGTGAATTTTCACAAAGACATTAAAATAAAAAGAGGTGGATAACGGAACTTCAGACTGAGAAACTGAGAGAAACTGATATTGACAGATTCACCATCCCTGCTTACATTTTTGCTAACCAAAAATCACAGACGTGCCTTGTCAAACTGATCACATCTAGCATAGTCAGGTCTAGCTTTCCCCTTAGATTAAGAATCAAATTTCTCACAGAGAGGTGTAGAGCCTGGGAACTGTGAGTTCTGCTCTGCTCATGGAAAGAGGCTTTCCTGCAGCCTCATCCCCTCCCCGCCACCCGAAAAAGAAGCTTCTCTTGAGAGTCAGGGGCATACTCCAGAATAGCATTTGATGTGGCCTGGGGGCTGCAGCTGTGTGGAGGAAACGGCAGAAATCCAAGACCACCACCCCTTTGTGCAAGTGAAAGCGCCATCCACTCTCTCAAATGCTTCCTTGGATCCAAGCCAGTGTTACCTAAATGAATCACTGAATAAACACACACAGGAGACAGGAAAAAAGGCAAGCTTTGGGTGGTCCATGTCTTGCTTGGATACAGATACCAGAGTAGAAGACACAAATAGTGTACAAGTACCAAGAGGTCATACTGAGTTGCAAAAAAGTAGTAACCACGAAAGGATTGGGCCTGTTGTATTTTGAAACATAGAATTGTAGAGTTGGAAGAGACCACGAGGGTCATCTAGCCCGACCCCCTGCAACACAGAACTCTTTTGCCCAACGTGGGGCTCAAACCCATGACCCTGATATTAAGAGTCTCATGCTCTACCAACTGAGTTATTCCACTGTTTATATGTGCAAGGAACGTTCACAAGTCATAGCGTAGTGAAGCCCACTTCAAGGCCTAGCTCCCCATAAAACTGGCTGTGCTTTCTTGGCTCTACAACCTCTGGCTGAGGCTTGCTGCTCGCATTGTGGTGTCATGTGAGAGAGCCTTCTCAGTGCGGGAGCCTTCCCCTTTGTAAAATCTCTCCCCTCCACACCATCCAGGCCTAGTTTCATCTACAGCAGGAATGGCAAATTGTGGTCCTCCAGATGTTGTTAATTTACAGGTCCCATTATTCCGGATTATTGCCCATGCTAGTTGGGGCTGACAGGAATTGGGAGTTCAAGAACATCCAGAGGCTTACAGGTTTCCTATGCCTGAGCTATTGTAAAGCCCTGACTGATCACTTAAGAAGAGCAGCACAAGTATCTATTTTGTGGTAAACAGATGCGTCAGTAAAATGGGTTTTGGACTTAATTTAGTTCCCACATAATTTTGGTGGCAGTATCATAACTAAGAATGCAAATTGTCCCTCATTTTTTATTGCCACATATTTAATTTGCAAAGTTCTTTGCAAAGTGTTGATATCTGATGGGAATATGCCCAACAACACACTTGTTTGGCAAGAATCTAATGGCATTTTTAAAGATGTCAATTGTTATTTTTTAAAAAAGAAAATCAAGTTAAATGCCTACTGAGCAAAAGACAGGAACAGCAGTACTTTGATGTACAGCGCTTGTTCCATTTGAGCTGGCCAACAGGTGGAGCCTTTAAACCAGATACACACAAAACTAGAAAGGCAAATCCTTTTGAAGTTGGCTGTTTTGCATTTGTTCTCATTAAGAAGGCATATATTTTGCGAAAGCCGTGTGGCCTGCACCTGAAAAGAAGACCAAGAGATCCCAGCCTATTGATCATCTATTGATATCTATTGATAGGCAATGCAAGAACACAGAGGTATGTGATGAATGGCATTATTGTGTCAGATTTCCTTTATTCTGAGCACACACACAGACACGCGTTCCCTCACACAGCAAAGGAAGCAGAGGTGCTCCACTATGGCATAGCAATTATACCGTAGGAAAGGGCCATAGGCCAATGGAATAGCGTTAAATCGCTGGCATTACCAGGTAGGGCTGCGAGAAACCACCACAGAACTTTGAAGAGGCCTGGCCACTTCATTTAAAATATTTGGGGGGCTGTCCCCTACCCCCCTTACCAGGCACCCCTGCTTATGACTAAATCAGTCACATCGTGTGCATTGCCCTAGCAAGTGCTTCTGTTGTGACATGATGGCTGTTTAATGCAAAACTATCCTTCCATTTGTAGCTGCTAGCAAAGAAAAATCCCTGCTGTCGATTAGCCTGGTTTTGTTTATTTTGGAAGGGGAATGAGGTAGCTAGTTCAACCAGATGCTGCTGGACTGCTATTGGTTGTGCTGGCTGGGGCTGATGGGAATTGGAGCCCTATGATATCTGAAGAGGTATCTGGGTGGCGCTTGTGTTGTTAGCAGGAGGTTCCTCTCCTATCTCATGCCTCATGTGTTTGAAAGGTCCTTTCCTTATGTATTTTGGTCAGGTGGTGCTTCTTCCTGCTTCCTACCTCCCCTCACCCAGTCTGTCAAACATTTCAGTGAATTTTCCAACCACGTTATAAAAATCCAGCTGCCTTCTTCCACAACAGGATAAACTCTGATAGCAAAGCTAGTCCCTCCCTGTTTCATCACTGCAAAATGTATAAAGATTCGTTTGCAGATGCCTGGCATTAGTGTAACACTAAAAACAGCTGCAGGGCTAGTCAGCCGTTGGCTCTTCGTATAGGAAGACCCAGAGAGAAAAGACTATGGTTAAAGCTCCATAATTCAAAACACCGAGCAAGGAGTTGACTGCATACAGCAAAGGAAAAGAAAAGCATATATAACATGCTACAATGTACAGTGGTACCTTGGGTTACAAACGCTTCGGGTTATAAACACTTCGGGTTACAGACTCCGCTAACCTGGAAGTAGTACCTCGGTTAAGAACTTTACCTCAGGATGAGAACAGAAATTGCTTGCTGGTGGTGCAGTGGCAGCAGGAGGCCCCATTAGCTAAACTGGTACCTCAGGTTAAGAATGGTTTCAGGTTAAGAACGGACCTCCGGAACGAATTAAGTTTGTAACCCGAGGTACCACTGTATTAGGTCACTGCAATAGCTGGGCAGTCCTGCCAGACTCTTCACCTTTTGCTTATTATCATCTGGGCCTCTCTATCCATTGATTTGACATCATGGAGTCATCATGGGGGGGGGAGGTTTGGGGGGCAATAGTTTCTTTAAAACAAACACACAACCACCCTGTGGATCATTCAGTCTATTCATTTCAATAGCTCCTTCCCCCTGAGAATATCAACAAATGCTGGTATAATAGGTGCTGAGTTTCAGTACTGCTTTTGTTGGGCGGAGAAGTATTATATGTTTCTGTGTATTTTCTGGCAAAAGGCTTCCCTGTTCTGTTTGTGTGATGCTGTCTTGTACAATGGGATTTTTTCTTTCTTTCCTAATTAGTGATTTTTGGATGCTGTTATGAGACAGATGGAGTCATACAGACTTAGATGCTGACTAACTGGGCTCTCATTTCCTTTACAGAGATCACAGGGATGTAGTTTGGCCTTCAATCTTTCTTGACCTCAGAGAGGAGACTCAGCTTCTCCTTTCTTCCAAGTCAACTGGGACTTTATGCCTTTGAAGGAGAGTCCAAGTGTTCTCCCTAAGATCATTCATTCATTCATTATTAATTTTTTATAAGGCCTTCCTACCAAAGGAGCCCAGACATATGTCTTCAAAATGGTTGGGTTATATGGCACATGTACACACGAACTCTGTGTTATGTATGTCAAGGCACAAATGTTTTCTATAGCATAGAAGCAAAAAATATTTCAAAAAAATAGAGGGGCAGAGAATTTCTGATATACCTGCAGTTCTCCTTCCATTATACTAAGGAGACGAATCAGATCCTCTTTAGAAAGATCTATTGATTTCTTGCTTTTCCGCTCACTAGGACCTGGCAGTCTGCTGTGCTGCTTGACGTTGCTGGAGTCTGAGCCTTCATCTTCTTTCCGGTTAGATTTGTTCTTTTTCTTTGCATCTTCCGGAAGGTTTTGGTTTTCTGTGTTGCTTATAATGGGCTTTGACTTGGAGAAATGCCCGTTGGATGAGCTTTCTCCACCTTGATTTCGGGATCTCATCCTGACCTGGATAAAACAAAACCAAAAATAAAATAAAATTGAATGCTAGGACTTTTAGTTTTATTTGAAAATTTGAAAACATGTGGGAAAATGTTTGTTTATTTTTACGCCATCTGCACAGGAACTTCCAAACCAGTAACAATGTATTATTCTTTTTTTTTTTTAAGTAAGATACTTTCATAATAATTATAAACAACACCTTTTTCAATGAAATTCTGCAGAAAGTACTTTGATATCTCATTTAAGCATCCAGGCAGGTTCACTGCAGTTGTCAGTCAGCCATACACAATGAAACAGAACTTTGCCAAACTTTATGAGAGGCAACCATTTTAAAAGTGAAGGAGGAAGATGGCAAAACTATTGCTGCAGTCCTAAGTCCTCAGATGTAAGCCCCATTAAGTTTGGTGTAACTTCCTCCCAGGTAAGTTGGTACCAGATTGCAGCCTCCAATAACAGGGCCATATTCAGTTTTAGCAACAATTAAAATGCTTAGCTCTTCAACAAGTTCCTTAGTCACTTAAAGGACTTGGCAAGACCATACAAAACTGTAGCTTCCCCCCAAGTTTCCCACTGCAGAATATTTTATATTTTTGTCCATACAAATATTTTCGATTTCTGGCTTTAATTCTCACATGCAACATTTGTCACAATTTCATATTTCTCTCCTTCCCTCCCTTCATAATTTCCATTTTCCTATGTAGCTTTCCTACCCTCAGAAAAGGCTTTCATCCACCTAATCATTACCAGTTTCTCTCCAACTGCACCTCTCAGCCTCTCCTAAACTATTGTAAGATGTAGAAGCTCCTCTCTTGAACTAATCAGTAAAGACCATTATCCTCTGTGGCTTAAAATCTCACCATGTTATCCTCTTCTGTCTCTGTTCTTGCAACGTTTTTCGCAAGGGGGAAAAAAACCCTCTGTCTGTAATATTAATTAGGCACTTAATCTAATTACAGTGATTATGAAGACCAAAAACATGCAAATGCATAGTGAAAATAATATTATTTTGATCTTTTCTTAATAACCTCTTCCTCTGAATTTAATGTTCAGTTTGATGCTTGCAATCTTATCTGACTTGTCAACCATACACAGGACAACATGTGCAACTGACCATCTAGTCTCCATGAGGAATTTAATAAGGCCAGATTAATAGTGTCATTGTAAATCCTAAGGCACTTTAACAAATCTGTTTGGGGGAAACTACAGAGCAGAGATGTGATGTATGGAAGTGAGAGCTGGACCATAAAGAAGGCTGATCGCCGAAGAATTGATGCTTTTGAATTATGGTGCTGGAGGAGACTCTTGAGAATCCCATGGACTGCAAGAAGATCAGACTTATCCATTCTGAAGGAAATCAGCCCTGAGTGCTCACTGGAAGGACAGATCGTGAAGCTGAGGCTCCAATACTTTGGCCACCTCATGAGAAGAGAAGACTCCCTGTAAAAGACCCTGATGTTGGGAAAGATTGAGGGCACAAGGAGAAGGGGACGACAGAGGACGAGATGGTTGGACAGTGTTCTTGAAGCTACAAACATGAGTCTGACCAAACTGCGGGAGGCAGTGGAAGACAGGAGTGCCTGGCGCGCTCTGGTCCATGGGGTCATGAAGAGTCGGACACGACTAAACGACTAAACAACAACAGAGCAGAGAAGGGCTTGCAGTTAGCCAGTGCTATGCTTGTCTCCTAAACATAGGTCTTATTACTTCTCAAATTTCCATCATTATCACAGTGCTGTAGTTTCAATGAATTCAGTAAGCTTTCCCCAGTAGAAGTAGCTGTGAGCCACAGAAAACCACTCTTTCTCCATCCTGAGCCTCACATCTGCAATACAAGGCTAATGCTGTTGTCTTTCCTAACAGAGCTGTTTGAATAAGGATTACGGATATAAAGCATGTGCGTAGCACTTTGAGCTCTCAGTATGTGCCATGCAACTGTGAAGCATTATTGCTGGAAGGGCTTTAACTCAGTGGCAGAACAGATGCTTTGCATGCAGAAGGTTCTGGATCAATCCCCACCCTGCATCTCCAGAGGCAGCTAAAAAAGACCTCACCTGAAACTAGTTTGTGGCCATTTATTATACACAATACTGAGATAGCCTGCATGGACCAAGGTCTAACTTGCGATAAGGCAGCTTACCATGTACTATTGTAGTTTCCAATACCCTGGTTCCTTCTCCATTGCCATCCTTAAGCTCTGTAGCTGCTTCACCATTTTATTTGCCCCAGTTGAAGGAGAAAAATCAAGCACAGAGTTCTTCTTTGTAGCCTTATTTCCATTAGGGAAATGATCATATGAAAGTTTATGGGTTCAGACTAAGTTGGTCCCACTGAAATCCAACCCACTGGCTCCTAGGCTCTTGAATACCTAAGCAGAATATCCTCACTCAACCAGTGGCATTTTTCTCTCTTAGAAGATCTGTGCCCCCACTCTAAAAATAAATATCTATTATGAACGTGAACAATACCTGTGGGGTTTAGGAAACACTTGGTGTCTCAGGATTGTGGTGGAAAAATAAACATTGGCCAATGTTTCCTTTCAGGCCAATTCAATTTGCTACTGAACTGTAATGGGTCATGAGCATTTCAGCCTACTTCCTTTTCAGGAAAAAGTACTTGGCTCTCATGGTGACTCAGATGTTTTGTGGGATCTCACTCCACCCCATCAGTAAGTGACATGAACATCACATAATAACCTATTTGGAGATTTCACATAGTTTAAGGGTGGGTCAGCCAATTACTTAATGATTGTAGAACATGCTTTTTATTGATGAGCAGTACATTTTTATTGGTGAGCAGTTCTTGGGGGAAGGCTGAGCAGGATCTCCTAGTATAAAGATTGCCAACTTGCTTGGGCCTGATGGCACATTTGCAAACAGGAGAAATTGTTATGGGCACCACACGCTCCCAGCATGACCAATAGCTCTATTCCGTTGACTACAACAGAATGAATGCTCTAACACAAAAAAGCTTGGGGATAAAACCAGGAGTGGGTTTATGTAATGAATGTCTTTGAGCTTCATTTTGTAACTGGGCCCAATTCCTGAACTGAGCATGCGCTCAGAGGCAGCCTGTCTCTTAATCCTACGAGGAGGTCCACCCTCCAGAGCCACTAGAGTGCACCTGGCTCTGAACAGTGGTATTTGGGGTGTAATGGGCGAACGCTTGACCTGACTTTTGTCTGGTTTGCACATACTCAGGCAAATACTTTTGCACTTCCATGCATGCTATTTCACATGCATATCATAATCAAAAGCTTCAACAGTCTCTCCAAGCACAGGAGATTGCACTTTGCGATCTTTCTCTGTTTTCTAGGAATTTCATAATTCCACTGCTTTATTTATATTGGAGATTAGCATCTCTGATTTCTTTAGACTGGGAGTATAAATGTGTTAAGTTGTGAGTTTAAATGCACCTGTGATTTTATGTTTATGCTGCACCATATTAGCCAACATGTGACTTATGATTCTTTTTGTTTTATTTTGTTATAAATGGATGCTTTATTGGTTGTCCCAAATAAATCATTGGTGTGATGTGAACAACCTGTTTAGGCACACAATAGGATGATGCTTGACTGCTTCTCTGGGAAAGTTTTCACCTCTCATAATCATGTTTTAGAGTACACACACTCTCCTAAATACATGTACCACAGGGTTCCTAGTAGAAAAGCAAAGTAGATCCTACAAGCCTGAAATCTTCCCATCTCTGTTCCACATTATTTAATTGAGAGTTCAAAAATTATGGTAGATTGTGCTAACTTGGTAACAAAAGATGAGAGGGAAAACAACATAGCAAACTTGCTATTTTAGATATTTGCATACGAGTGAAATGAAAGAAGTATGAGAAATAAACAAATGGAATTTGCTGGTTTGGCACACAGAATGGATTTTTGACTTGCACTGCTTCAAATTCTTCATTCCCCCACAAGGAAATCTGTGCAGAATTCCAGTAAAGTGGAACCAGGAGAGATTAGATGCAAAAAGGGGGCGAGGGGAAATATTACAAGAACACTGATTTCATGGTGTTCCAAGCATGAAAACAGAACAGGACAAACAAAACCTGGTTTCTTCATTGATGTGGCTAATAAAAGTTGTTCCAGAACAAAACATATACCCAACCAGCATTATTAACAGTAAGCAGTTCGCACTTTTTTTTAAGTAGCCAAATAACTACATTGCTTTAAAGCATCTCATTTGGTAAATGCTGCAAATTCATGAGTGAATGAGCCTGGCAATAATAATTTTACCACAACCACACTACCTCAGGATCCTTTTGCATGCCTTTTGCATACAATATGCACAAACCACCAAAAGCCACTCTCATATGTAAAATTGGATATATATCGTACACCCAAGATGTTAAAAGTAAAGGGGAAAATTAAAAAGTTAGTGTTTACGTTGTTTTCAACAGTATGAAGAAAACATTGCGTAACTCTTCAAGGCAGTGAATTTTTGTCTCATTTTATGTGGTAGGTACATGAGTGTTCTGGTTATTTACTTAAACCTTTGTTGTTCTGGGAAACAGTGCTTCAATTTTCAATAATTATCAACATGTGTGCTTTTAATTACATGACTTCTACATTGGTTTTGCGGAGATCAGAAAGAAATCTTTCCATGGAATTTGCTGACACGGAGGATGTCAGAAGAGGATCAACCTAATCTTGTTTTCTTTCATCTAGTGTAAGATATATACTCATCAGAGCTCTTGGGAAAACAGGCCAAATCAGATAATGCTGTGGCATCAGTAATACTTGTAGAATCAGATAAAGAGGCTGGTCGGAATTACATATAGATAGGAAACCAGTGGAGAGGCACATGTCAGTTAGACAAGCTGGCTTTGACTAACACCTCATTTCTACGAATTGGCTTAACCTAACAGTGGTGTAAGTAATAACCCCTTGTTCCCATCTCCTGTTTTCATTGACATTGAAATAGCTACCAATTCTACTGCTTTAATAGAATGCAAATATGCTCATATGAGAGAAGTTGAAGTGTCCATAGCTGAAATTGATTTCAGATGAAATTGATCAGATGAAAAAATCTGTACCAATTCACCAGTGTTAGCACATTTTTCCTACAGATCAACAGAGGCTGAAGTCTTATTTTTTAAATTTTATTGTTACCAGGGCTTTTTTTTTTCCAGCTGAAGCTCTCTGAAATTCAGTTCTAGCAACTCTCAAGTGAGCACCATTGCCATTATAAGGGAACAAGTTCATGATGAGTCCCGGCACCTATTTTTCTAGAAAAATAGTACTGATTGTTACATTTACAGTGGTACCTCGGGTTACAGACACTTCAGGTTACAGACTCCACTAACCCAGAAATAGTACCTTGGGTTAAAAATTTTACCTCAGGATGAGAACAGAAATCGTGTGGCGGTGGCGCGAGACCCCATTAGCTAAAGTGGTACCTCAGGTTAAGAACAGTTTCAGGTTACGAACGGACCTCTGAAACAAATTAAGTTCTTAACCCGAGGTACCACTGTATATCCCATCTTTCCGCCAAGGAGCTCGTGGTTCTCCTCCTCCCCATTTTATCCTCACAACAACCCTGTGAGGTAGGTTAGGCTGAGAGACTGACTTGTCCAAGGTTACCCACGGAGTGAACGCTGGACTCTCAGGTCTTAGTCCAACATTTTCCAGGCTGTGTCTTACAGTATCATGGCAGCATGGTACCCACTGAAAAGCACAATTCCTGCCTGGCAAGGAATGTTCAAGTCACATGCAATCAGCTTAACTGACAACCATTTGGTCACTGATGCAGGAATGAATGACAGACATGGTTAGGGCTATCCTGATAATTCAAGTTTCCACACTCTACTAAAGAGGCATGGAGCAGAACAACAGGAAAGCCACTTTAACGTAGCTCCGCATATGTAAGATGTTTCTTAGTTTTTCTCTCCTTTATGTCATCACATTCATCTGTGAGCACAGCTCCTGAAGTTTAGCTTCAAATGAACAAACTGTATCTTGCTCCAAAATTTGCTTCATCGTCAGCAAAGAAGGGTGATAGCAGCAGGAATGTATCTGGCAAGTTACCAGATAGATTAGCTTGCCTACAAAAGGCTTCCTTTGCTCTTGAAATGGCTAATCCTCAGTATTAGGAAACGTTTGCCATTTTTTCTATTGTCAGTAGGAAACTGACTCTGTGTGCCATGCATTTGTTCACTGTACTCTCAAACAGCTTTTAATGGTCATTACTCTTCCCACAGTAATGTCTTGTCTTGGTTCAATATGGCAAGAACTTGCTGATGTCACCTTATGTGGTCAGCACAACATGCTGGTAATATACACAGCTGTTGGCTCAAATTTCTGGCTCCAATGCCCTATCCTTCAACTTCCCCATCAAAATATTATATCATTGCCACACTTTGTGCAGAAACTTAATTCTAATTCTCCAACCCCAGTAAGGTAATGTTCAACACCTCTTGCAGAGACCCATCTTCTTCCACAGGCAATAACTGTATTCCTCTGTGAGAACTGATACATAGAGTGTTACACCAGCACTTGTTTAAGCTGAGAAGGGTAAGACAGAGGCAAAGACATGAGATCAGGATGCTGGACCAGATGGGACGTTGACCTGATGCAACAGGCCCTTCTCGTGGTTTTTATTTACCGTAGGTCAGAGCCTGGTAATAGCATTGTTGTTTGATTGTTTAGTCATGTCCGACTCTTCGTCACCCCATGGACGCCAGGCACTCCTGTCTTCCACTGCCTCCCACAGTTTGATCAAACTCATGGCTAAATCCTTTCCAGTAGTCTGCCAGGTTTTGGGTTCAGGATCTGCAGTGGATGTGAGGCCTGACATAGGGCTTATCCATACCTGTTTGTCCCACCACTTTCCCCCAGCAGAACCCAATCTTTAATGATGAATTGGAGCAAACAGTAATTGGGTTTTATGCGGATTGCTATTTGTTCCAATTTAGCGCTAAAGAGCATGTTTTCTGGGGGGGAGCAGCAGGGCAAGTGGAAAACGGCTAGGACCTGTGTCTAGCAGAAGTGTGGGTGAGCCCACACTGCCAAATAGATACCAATCATACAACGAGAACATCCTACCTTCTAGAGAAAACTTGCGATAAATCTGTGGACAGGACACAAACTTATATTTCCTAGTAACTGCAGTTAGTGTTCAGGTTACTGAGAAGGACTGAATTCATGCGGGGCACTTTCCAACAAATAATTCCTTATCTGAAAAGCTGTAGTAGTACAAACCAACACAAGGGCAAAGCCAGGTGTCTTTGAGTTGGCCTTTAGTGAACATTGCTAGACTTCATTATACAGTGGTACCTTGGGTTACAGATGCTTCAGGTTACAGACTCCGCTAACTCAGAAATAGTACCTTGGGTTAAGAACTTTACTTCAGGATGAGAACAGTAATCACATGGCAGCGGCATGGCAGCAGCGGGAGGCCCCATTAACTAAAGTGGTACCTCAGGTTAAGAACAGTTTCAGGTTAAGAAAGGACCTCCGGAACAAATTAAGTTCTTAACCCGAGGTACCACTGCATATCTGGCCTCTTATAGTGAAGAAGTGTGTCATGGGCTGGGTGGATGCAAAGGAATGGTACAGCATGAGACTCTTCTTAATCTCAGGGATGTGGGTTCGAGTCCTTGTTGGGTAAAAAAAATTCCTGCACTGCAGGAGGTTGTCCTTGTGCTCCTTTCCAACTCTACCATTCTGTGATTCTGCGAATGGTGGAAGGCAGCAATGGGGGAACCCCCAAGGGAAGAAGGAAATTGGGAGGGGGGGAGGCGTCAGAAGCTGAAGCGGTAATAGGACTTGGTGAGCAGGGAGAGTTTGTGGCAGAGAGAAGTCCAGAAGCAGAAGCAGGAGAGGAGGGAGGCCCACAGGCATGGATGAATCAGGCTGGTGAAAAAGCCAGGGTGTCTTGCCCTCTTGCTACAACAAGTTCCCCTTCCCCCTTGGTCTCCCAGGACCAGGAGAGGAATGAAGAAGGAGGAGCAAAGACAGGCATGCCGGCATAGTTTCAGATTGCTTGGGGGAGGAGGAGACTTAGGCAGTGGTGGAAAGCTGTGGAGACCTTCAGTCTCCACAATTGCTTCATAGGGGCAGGACCTACCGAGAAGAGCTCCCGCGCTCTTTGGGCCGGGCACTACCTTGTTACGTCTAATAAAGAGTTAACTTACTCCGTGTGGTTTATTGCTGACCTGCTCCTGACAAATTCATAGGGGTCTGCCTAGGAAGGGACATTCCCCAGCACAGGTGCCAATACCAAACATGCCCTTCAGTCTATGGGCAGACCCAGAACAGGCCTTCTGATATTCAGCAGACCATGTGGGCTAGAGTATATACTGGAGAAGGCAGTTCATCAGATAGTCTAGTGTAGACCATGAGGAGCTTTGAAGATAAGAACTAGCACTTCCAACGGTACTCAGAAATGAATAAGCCACCAACAAAGATAAAACAAAACTGGCTTCCAGGCATGAAAATAATGAAGAAACATTACACAGCACAATGATCCAGGCACCATGTACACATGCTAGTTTGTTTTCAATCTTATAAACAAGGGTATGTTTCTTTCATTCCCTGGCATATGGTTTGGTCTTGTTGTTTTTTTAAAAAAATAATGTTTTATCAGAACTAATTATACTCCTAAATTATGAAAAGCATTAGTGGAACCTGCTACAAAGTGGATGCAGTTGTTACAAAACCATATGCCCTATTAGCACGCCCAAGCAAACCACAAATGTATCAGCATTCTGTATGACAGATAAAAAAGCAGGAAGTGGGAATAACACTTTTAGAGCCAAATTCTCGACAGCACACAGCTCTTACTGAAATGGCTAAACGAGAGCCAGATTTCCAATCGCATAACATTACTTCTTAACTTATCATTTCTATAGCAGAGTTCCAAGCATATCCCACACTGTAGCTCAGTAAACCTGGTAACACGTCAGTATTATCTGCATACTGCAGATGTGAGGATGAAACTAAGCTTATTGTTACAGATCTAGGGTAACAGAGTTTGGAGGGGGGGTGCAAAGGCACCCATAACTGCTAGGGTTAGTGAATGTTAGAAAATAATAAATGGTAGAATTTAGTTAATATCTGGAGTATTGAAGGGAAGATCCCAAGCCAGTGAAAAAATACAGGCTAAGCTTCTCTTTCAAGCCAGGGTGAGGACCTGAGACAGAAGTCCTTAAGAAAAGGTTCTGGAAACAATTCATTAAGCCATCAATAGAAACTGTCAACCAGGCAGGAGGCTCTGCAGGTGAGAGGAAGAGGTTGCCTAGGTGACGGGAGAGGGCAGGATGTCACACAGAAAAAATGCCGTCCTTTTTGAAACCAGAGGTCTGGATGAAGGAGGCGAGAAGACAGATGGGGAGGAGTTGCTTGGAGCAGGGGTTTTTGGGAAGATGAAAGGAAGCGGGCAGGACTTCATGAGCTGCTGTGGAGGCCGGAACCAGTTTGGCAGGCTGGGGCAGAGTCAGATATGGCGGTCAGGATGGCTCAACAATCCAGGGCTGGAATCCAGGGCTGGAACAAGCCCCTCTTGAGATGCAGTGCTCTGAACTCCAAAGTAGACCCAGGTGTAAATATGTGTACAATATACCATATTTCTTAAAAGACACTAGCCTCTGCTGTGCCTTGATTTCCCAACGGAAAAATAATCCTGGGTGAGCAACTGGAACCCCACCTGAATTTTGATACCTCTTGGCAGAGGTTGGGAGTAGCGTGCAACCTTTGTAACACTCTACATCACACCTTGCTGATGTGTGCAACAACCTGAAAATGTGGTTTGAAACGCAGCGATAAAAGAACAACCTCGCTGCTTTTTAAGTTGGGAATGTTTACATAGCATAAGAAACAGTGATTTGTCTCAAGCCATTTACTGAGGTCATGGCAGAAGTGAGACATGAGCCAGAGAATTCTTAATTCATAACTCAGCCATTCAGTTGCTGCAGAGTTCCAGCCCTTCTTAGGACACATTGAAATAGGTTAACACGCTAATCAGTGCTAATCACATTTTGACATAATGGTTCTGTATTAATGTCTTCTTAAAGAAACTGATCCTCAAGATTGGTCCATGGAGCCATAGTTTATTAGATGTTATATTTGTAACTGCTATATTTCTTAAACTACCAGGAGAGCAAGAACTCCTATGAGGTTCCCTCTTTTTGAGTCCCTTCACAGATTTTGTGGTTTCAAATGTCCATATCTTGTAGGAAGCGTAATGTCAATGCAAATTTCTGGACTGTGTTCAAACCTTGGCACATGCTCTGTTTTTACATTTTTCCTTTTCCATCTGGTCACCTATTGCACATACGTAATGCAGCTTATCAAAGTCTATATTTTAAAATTCAAGACTCGCTCATCTCTTACCGGCTCAACTAATTACAGCAGTATTTTACTGATGTGTGCCTGAAGTCAATTAATTGTACAATTGTACAAATGAAATGTACCCCAAAGGTTCCAAAGCTGGAAGGCTGGGTGGCCTTCCCCTACCTACTTGTCAGCCGCTCATCCTACTCTTGAGTAGGACCCTGGCAGAGAAACATGCCCGACTGGCATGTTCTCTCCCTCCTGGTCGATCGTTCGGAAGCTTCCTGTCTCCGTCACTTCCCACTTTGTGGAGTCAAATATGCACTGTCATGTGATAGACAAAAATCCCATGACTACAATCATGGAGCAGGAATTCTAACACTACTGTCCTTCAGAGGGCTTGGGCTACAACTCCCATTGGTCCCAGCCAGCATGGCCAATTGTCAAGGATCATGGGAGTTGTAGACAATGGGCCATATTTGATTAACTTGCTGCACTAGCAGAAGCCTGCACAATGAGTCACACTGCAGTAATGGGACTTTACCCCCTCTTCTCCCCCTACACACCCTCTGCATCCTCCCCAAATCTGTTCCAGGGGTTCGGGAGAACCCCCAGAACAACATGGGTTGTGAGAAGGAGAGGGGGGATCTCATCCTATCTGGAAGCAGAAATGCTTGCCCGATGAAACAATCTCCATGGTGCTACTTTGAATACAACCCCAAAACATTCTGAGGGCACCAGACTGGGGAAGGCTGACATAAGGTAAATTATGGATGCATTCACAAATTCCACATGCAACCATTGTGATAATCTGCATGTGCTGAAACAGTGATCACTCAGCAACCACTATAAACAGAGCTTTCATATCACCTAGGTCAACTGAGCCTGGGGGCCAAGATGAAATATCATGAATTTGGGCTCAGCTAAGGAGGAAGGTTTTGACCAAACTGCGGGAGGCAGTGGAAGACAGGAGTGCCTGGCGTGCTCTGGTCCATGGAGTCACGAAGAGTCGGACACGACTAAACGACTAAACAATAACAACAAAGGAGGAAGGTAGCTGGAAGCAAACCCTTTCGGGTATATTGTTAATTACTAACTGCAAAACTGACATTTGGTATTTCCCCGATAAGGATTTTGGAATTTTCCTTATGGGCCAGCACAGCTACCTTTACTTTTGAAGCAATTGTCAAGTGTGTCAGTGAAAGAAGGAATCCCTATCTGCTCAGATAGGAATGTTCTTTAAAGATCCCCAATTTGCTAGATATTGATAAAGCTGGTTGCCTTATCATGCTGGTAGGAAGTGCTTTTGGTCTGAAGGGGCAAATGAGTATGAGACAGGCATCCCCAGGGCACAATTGCTGTTCCTTGGAATGTGACTAATCCACTATGTTTTCTGCAACATGGGGTCATTTTAATTCACAGAAGAGGACTTCACCACCACGCTGATTCTGGCATGAGCTGAGTCTTCTGCAAACATCTGTATGAACATCCAAGCCACATTTTGTATGAATATCCAGTCCAAGCAACCTTGCCTCCAGTGAACTTATGAATTGCAAGGCAGATTCTGGAGGGCTGCTCGGAAAAACAGACTAATCCCTACGTAACAGGGAACTGTAGCTCTGTGGGGATTTGAGCTATGGTTATTTGGGTTCTTTGGGGGGATGCACTTTAAATGTGCTTTAAGCATAGCATGTATGCAGCCTTGGATTCAGCAACACCTTCTGAAACCCTGGCGAGCTACTGCTCCTCATAGAATAGTAGAATTGCAGGCTTAGAAGGGATTCTAAGGGTCCAACCTCCTACATTGCAGGAATCATAGCAAAAGAATCCCTGACAGATGGCTATCCAACCTCTGCTCAGAAACCCACAATGAAGAAGAGTCAACCACCTTTTGGAGGCAGCCCGTTCCACTGTTGAGCAGCTCTTACCACCAGAAAGTTATCCCTAATATTTAGAAGCTCCTTTCTTGTCATTTGAATCCATTGGTTCAGGTCTTAACCTCTGGAGAAGCAAAAAACAAGCTGGTTCCATCTTCCATGTGAGGCATCTTCAGTTATTTGAAGAAGTCTACCAAATCACCTCTTCCTCAACACACCCAGCTCCCTCAACTGTTCCTCATAGGGCTTGGTTTCCAGACCTGTTTGTCATCTTGGTTGCCCTCATCTGCACATGTTCCAGCCAAGGTAAACAATACTGAGCTAGATGGACTAAAGGCAACGTCCTAGGCTCCGTGATACACAATATACATTAACATGCAATGAGAGATGAGTGTTAATAGGGAAAACGCATGCATTCTCCCCAAGAGGCCTCTCTGTTCTAGTGCATGAAGTGGCTTCTTCTCCTTGCTTTAAAAAAAAAAAATTAAGGAGGTGCCCTCCACCCCTTCAGGGCTGTGCCCACATCTAGTGTGAGCGGACATTTCCTGGAGAAGAACAAGGCAAGCCCCTTTGGCAGCCTTCTGTCTCCATTTTGTCTGAACAGTTGTCTCACTAATGCTACCCAACCAGGCTTGATACAATAACAGCAGTGCTAAAAATGAATGTACACAAGCCCTCAAGATTAACTTTCTTGGATGGTGACTGGCTCCAGACATTCTGCCTGGAAGCATAACGAGAGTCAAGTCCATTGACTCCAATCGCAAACTCAGTGCCAGCTGTCTCTGCACTGGCTAACAGGACCTGCACTGTTTGTTCACCTCTAGAGAATGTTATTTTGCTTAACAGTGGCAGGGTCATATCAAATGAAGTCACCATTTAAGTAATAGCCCTGGGGATAATGGATAGCCACCCAGGGTAGTAGCAGTTATAATAGCACAAGACACATTTCCCCCATGTCCTTTCTAAATGAATTGTTTGTGCATCCTTGCAACAAAACAAAACAAAAAAGGAAAGGAAAGAGGAGGGGCTGGGGAAAGCTGTATAGTGCTAGGAAAGAGCACGTTGAAAAACAACTTGACATTTACAGTCAACACAATCAACATGTAATCTAAGAGCACGCTCAAAAAAGTCTGTGTTGAAGGGTAATTGAAAAGCGGAGGGGTGGGGGAGAGAGAGAGCCATGGTAAAATCCAAGCCAAACTCAAGATTTACTGAAACCAGAAGGCTTGCAACACTGTAAGAAAGAGGAAGATATTGGCCGCGGATGAAAGCAGAGCATTTCACAGATAATGAAATAAAAATTTTCATTTTGGAACGTTTAAGCAGGAAACTTCAATCCTGCACGACCAGTTCCAGAATAAAACGGTGCTATATTTCATAAAAGACACCATTTCCCCCCCGCCAAGTCCATATATTACTTTAAAGGTATAACTCAAAATCTGCCTTCAGCTGAATGTGATGGTTTAAAAGAGACAGTACAGGAGACGGATAATGTGAGTACCTAGGGAATGAACTCTTGGGTGGTTTTGTAATACGTTTTGGTTTTCAGAGTCTGCTTGATATCTAACCTCATAAGGAACAAAATCGAGGCATAATTTATTTAAAAGCTTCCAGAACCCTGTTTCTAAATAAAAACAACAGTTGTGTGGCAGTCTAAAGACTGGACATAGTTGACAGTGGTGAACTATTCAACAGGAAGATTTGACTTAGAACTGTAGTACTTGTAAAATCCATTTGCTGGTCTTTAGGGTGTCACAAAATTCTTCGCCATTTTTAACCACAACAGGCTAACAGCTTCCCTCCCCACTCCCTGGAATATGAGTCCTTTGTTACAAGTCTTGGTCTTAGACCCACACCAGCAGCAGCTGGAGTTGCTATTCCACAAGGCTGTCCCATGCATGTTTACTCGGAAGCAGGCCCCAGTGTCTTGGGATGGGCTATTATTTTTTAAAAGGGAGCCTTTTAGGCCTAGCAGTTTCCTTTAGCTAGGCCAGGGGTCTGCAACCCGTGGCTCCGGAGCCGCATGTGGCTCTTTTACACCTTTGCCGTGCCTCCGGGGCGGATACTAGCGAGGGGAGGAGGCGCATTGTGCGCCCCGACACTCCCCACTGTGGCGGGCACTGTACTGGCTGTGACATCGCATGGGGACGGTGCGTGCATTACGATCCTGTATATATAGCATTAAGGTAAGAAACAATATATGCAGTGTTATATTTGTTTTAAATGTCGCAGTGGTTTTGCGGCTCCCAGTTTTTTTTTCTTCGGAAACGGGTCCAAGTGGCTCTTTTTGTCTTAAAGGTTGCAGACTCCTGAGCTAGGCTAAAGAGGATCACTGTCCACTTCAGAATCTGCAGTCCAGCAGATTCCTTTGCAAGGTGGTGTGGGGGCTGTATGCTGCCTTGGTCCCTCCTCCCCATGATCCCCTATAAAGCTTCAAAAGCAAAATATTGTTGGAAAATTCCATTCCACCTTTAGTTGCAGACATGGAACTGTTGCATGTCACATGTCTGTTTACATACCAGCACAGCTTGCTGGGAACTTCCGTTGTGTGTATAGCCTTTGCTTTTGACGGTCTCTCTGAGGAGAAGAAAGTGAGACGACATGTTTCTTTTGTCCTGATTTATGCTTAATAAATCCGTAGCTTGTTAGTATGTTTCCACAAGCCTCATGCCTGTTCTGTTTGTGCAGTATGTTCTGCTGATATAGCGTGCTCAGGCTTTTGAAGTCTGAGTTGCTGATTTACATGGCACCAGAGGTTGGGGGTTCATCACGGCTGGAAGGGCATGATCCAGATGGGGGCTAGCCAGCTGGAATCTCGGCCCCTGAAGGATGCCGGCATATATCTGGCTGAGTGGCTAGTGCATGGGCTGCCTATTCTCACCAGCACACCCCCAGAACCTCCCCCCCCCTTTTGGCCCTTGGTCAGTTGGGCCAATGGTTTGGGAATGGGACTCAGATCTCCTTCAGATTCCCTGATAATATCCTATGGCTTTGGGGATACTTCTCCAGGGAACATAGGACTGCAGCCTCAATCACTAGGAAGTGATAAAGGAAATCTACACATTTAAATTTTGCATGTGTGTGTGTGTTACTTTCTCTCCAAATATACATTTTGGTTCATTTTTTTTAAGCCAAGAAATACATTGGAGCATTCAGGAAGTATGAAAATTGATGGAGAGCAGAAGTCTAACCTGCTGGACTAGGAGATACAGATCAGATTGATTTATACTGGAATTGGCAAAGATCAAATTCCATAGTTTGCAGAGACCCCCCTGGAGTTCTTTGCAGTTTGCTTTGGATTTTACCATCATAAATACATTAGTATCCACAAACCTGACTACCTCAGTGCTCACTCCAGACCCCAGGGCACCAATCCAAATATAGATCTTTCAAGGACCCCAGTGCATACCTTACTCCACTGTGAAAACTTTCCATTTATTCCTATTCCCAGCTTCCTGTTCCTTAACTAGTTACCAGTTCATTAGAGGACCTATGCTATTGGTGTCTATGCTTGTGAGGTATAGAAAGTTATTTTGAAAACCACTTTGGGCTTTTCATTTGCCTGGCAGATGTGGTACAGTAAATGCAAAATATGCCTTTTGGAACCCAATCCTATCTGTATCTCCTTGTTGCAATTCCCACTGAGTTGTGCATTCTTTTCATTTGGGAAAGTACTCTGAGTAACGGACTTCATAACCCTTACAAACTGAACTTGGGTCTCTTATCTTGCTCACTGTCTATTGAACTAGATATTTAAATGTTCACTGTTTCCAGGAAGGGATCTCTCTGCCATAATTCCGAGGAAGGGAGATACAAAGGCAGAGACTGGTTTGCAAATTCCTTTGCCTGACACAGGCTGTATATGAATGTACATCTGGATGTATTACCAAACACATCTAGTGCAGTGCTCTTTAGCACATTAGAGTTTGCAAAGAAAATGGCAAACCACCCTAGGCATTGTTTCAAGCTTGCATTATTGTGCGAAACTATGTCTGGAGTGGGAACACTGTTGTTAACATACATTGTGCGTGTTCTGGGCATGCTTAACAGTGGAAGAACCAGGGGGGAAAGCACATCATACTTTAAAAGAAAACATATACATCTCTGAAATACATCCCAGAAGTACTGTTCTATACCACCATGTGAGCACTCCAGAGAGTACACGGATACTCTGATTGAACAGCAATGGAAATAGTGCAAAATCTGATCTCAGAGCAATTTTAACTTGGCACAATGCTCCACAGAAACTCCTTTGGATCTGGGAATATATGTATAAAAAATATTTGTTACTACTATGTCCAAGGATAAATGGTAAGGAACTGTGATTTTTTTTTTTAATGCATTGGGTTATAGCCAATGCTAAGCCTACTCAGAGTAGATCCATTGAAATTAATTGGCATGACTACGTAACTTAGGTCCATTCATTACAGAGGGTCTAGTCCGAATAGAACTTAGTTGGATACAACCCATATTTTCCATCTCACCATAGTTCAGTTTTGGCCATTATGTTTCAGATACCTCTGAGATCATACAATGGCTATTACATATCTTGCCATATGCTTTTTATTAAAATTTTGATGAAATGTAAACCTCAAACTCAGCTGATCAAACTTGATTATGATGATTTCATCAATAGCAGAACAATAAGATTGTGTCCAGGGCAGGGGCAACCTATGGCCCTCCAAATGTTGGATTACAACTCCCATCATCCTTGATCATGGGCTGTGCTGGCTGGGACTGATGGGGCTGGAGTCCAGCATACTCGGTGGGGCAGTTGCCATTGCTGCAAGGACCAGTTATGCCAGAGACATTGGCTTGCATCTGAGGGCAGGGGAGAGAGAGCACAGTGGTGGAGCAAGCAGAAAGGCATTGGTTCAACCCCAAGCATCTTCAGATAAAAGGACCGGATAGCAGGTGATGAGGAAAAGCACTGCCTAAGATCATGCCAAACCACTTGCAGAGCAGACAACACTAGCCTAGATGGGCAAATGGTCCGAGCGGTTATAAGGGGATTGTGATGGGCTAAGCCAGGCCGTGATCTTAAAAAAACCCATTTAGGTACACGCAAGGATTTGTACTAATGCAGCGACATTTTCTTTCACGCCCCACCCATTGCATTTCTGAAACTTCATAACAGCTTGTCCAGAGGCGCAGAGATATTTTAAGAAGTGGGTGGTCCTCTTTTCCACCTATGAAGGTAATTTCAAGGAATATTCTCTTCCTTCCCTCCTCCATTTTCCCACATCCTCTAGTGAAGAGAAGAAGCAGCAACACACAGTCTTACAAAGGCAAGTCAGTATAAGAACAGAAGTGATAAGGGAACCCCAAATCCCTTTTCTTCACAGTGTAAAGGATGCAGCGTATTTTGTACGCACCGAGAATAATGCTCAGGGTCACACACACACAAAAATGCATTAATTAAAACCTGTCACAGACATTTACGTAAAGGCCCACAATACAAACAAGCAGGTTCCATGGGGATGTGAGCTGGCCAAAAATACCATGATGATGTAATGATATTTTACTCACTCTCTGGCACTCCACAGTCTTGTTCAGCAGATCCATAGGCCCTGCTTTTCATTAAGTTTACCCCTGTGCAAAATGAACTAGAAGAGAGACTAACTTTTTATTCTGTGCATTTTGGTGAAAAGATTCAGGCATCAGTCACAGCTGCTATGACATTTTTGTTTTCTGCAACACCATTGCTGTTTATGCCAAATATATATCTTGTGATAGAATCTGGCAAAAAGACAGACCCTCCAAGTGTCCCTATTTTCCAGAGATGTCCCTGATTTAGAGAAGTTGTCCTGTTTCTGATTTGATCCCAGAATGTCCCAATTTTCCTCAGGGTGTCCCTATTTTCATTGGAAAAATGTTGGAGGGTATGGAGTTATCCGACACCAGAGCCAACTGAAGGCAATTCTGTACAGGGAAGGGTTTTTTAAATGTTTAATTATGTTATTATATATGTTGAAAGCTGCCCAGAGTGGCTGGGAGAACCCAGTAAGATGTGTGGGGCATAAATAGTAAAATTATCATTATGGAATGGGACATCCCTATTTTCATCGGAGAAATGTTGGAAGGTATGAAAAGGTCAATATTGGGTTTGTCTGCCATCCTAAGACTCCAGATTGGCCTAAGGATATGTCTGCCTCACAAATGAAGTTGTTGTTTTAATTCATTAAACATTATGGTGGAACCTGTGTTCCATCGATTAACACATGCATGTGATATGCATATGGCTCTTGATAAAGTTATCTTGCCTAGAAACTCTTCAGTTCACTATTTTCACCAAAAATTATTTCCAAAACTGTTTTCCACAAGTCATAAGTTTTTCTCAGTTTGCTTAACAAATGGGGTGTGGGTGTTACTTAATTATATATTATTAATTGCGGCTATTTATCACTGCATGTCTCTGTAGCCACTTCAGCCTGCGTTGTTATGGTCTCTCATCCTCAAGTATGAAGTATCAGGCCTCTTTCTATGTTGCCAGCCCAAGAGACCTGACGTAGCAGAATGAGACTGACAGAAAGAAAAGAGGAATCAAACAAATTTTTCTCTCACACACATCCCCTTGCAGAGCCAAAACACTTTCTCCGTAAGCTTTTGCTCTTCAGGATATGAAACAACATGAACAAGAATTATTAATGTTGCTCCCGCTGCGCTGCGAAGCAAACCAGTTAAAGCAGTCAATGTCACTTGTGGCAGGGAAATGGGGGAAATATGGTCATGTGGTTTAGAAGTCCCCAAAATCCCAAGTTTCAATTCCTCTTGCCACCACAGGGCAGTAGATATTTGGAGCTGCTTTCCTGGCACATGAAGTAGCAGCTGCTCTGCTTCTGAAAGATTTCTAGCATGGCTCTTGGTGTTGTCTGACTACAGCAGACAACACCACTGGATAATAGAAACCTGCAGCAACAGGAAACCAAGGGGAACCACTTCAGACCTTTGACTTCCTGCCATTATTTGGATCCAAAAGCTGCTCCGTCTACTTTTAAACAATACATTGCCTGGTCTCTAATTGTCCAGTTCTGAAGCTTTTCTTTCTATGCTCTTTCATCACCCAATACCTGCCTCACAGAGCAGTCATGCAACCACATTGTGCCAAGATTGGAGATATAAGCCACTGACAAAATGGCTGAAATACCCAAGGTGTGCCCAGTACCAGGATGGGGGGTGGGGTGGGGCTGGAGGGAGGCACACAACAGCAAAAAATACAAAAATAAACAAAATAAAATTTGAAAGACACATCCAAGTCGTCCCAGGGAATGCCATCACATTTCACCCCAAAGGGACTGTGTCGTTGTGACTCTCAGTGCAGTGTGGACATGGAGGGAGCCAGCAACACACAGGCTGAGCCACGACAATGTTTGTCGTCATCATCACATTACCCAATGCCCACCCTTCAACAGCAGGTCCCAGGGTGGGTTGAAATGGGTCATATCATTGTGCCTCAACTTCTGTTAAACAGAGAGGAAGAGCTGTTTCACGATTCTGAAATATTTAGCGAAATGAACATTGTGAGGCGCTTCACTCATTAGAAATTATACGTATGCAATTTCTGTATCTGGGACTATACACAACTAAGGGCTGACCCTACCATTAGGTAAAGGGAGGGAGGCAACCTCAGGTACCTGATTTCAGATGTCATGAAAAGGCCACCAATGGTTAGTTAGTTAATACATTATTGTTGCTGTTATTTGTTTTTTTCCATGTATTTTATTTGTTTGTCTTTTGCTGATAGAAAGAAGGAGTGGTACCCTACAAAAGAGAATACTATTCACTGGTCTGCCTGAAGGCCTGCTCTGCACTCTCTCTCTCTCTCTCTCTCTCTCTCTCTCACACACACACACACACACATTTATGGCACACACTTCACTTTTTTATCTACCATATTTTTCCATGTATAACACGCCCCTATGTATAAGACGACCCCTAATTTATGGGACCCCAAATTAAGGTAATGGGGGGAGATTGCCCAAAGTTGTTAAGCTTTTTGGGGGGCGTTGCAAACAATCGCTCACCTGCCTGACCGCCACTGCCAATCACACACTTCACCAAAGCCACCAATTGTCTGCCCGCTGGCCGCCAGCAGCAGCCAATCACCAGCAGGGCTTGTTGAAGCCACCAATCACCCGCCCAATTGCTGCCACTATAGCAGCCAAACACCAGCAGGCCTTGCCACAGCCACCACTCACCCGCCCAATCGCAGCTGACGAACTTCTAAAAAAAAAAAACAACAAACAAACTCCTGCTCGCGGCAGCTACCAATTGCCCGCCCCCCCTGCACTATCCGTGTATAAGACGACCCCCAATTTTTAACATTTTAAAAAAATAAAAAAGCATTGTCTTATACACGGAAAAATACGGTATCTATCTATCTATCTATCTATCTATCATCAGATAGATGATGGATCTATCTATCTATCTATCATCATCATCTATCTATCATTTTTTAAACTGTCTACAACATTCCCCTAGAATTTCTTATGAATATTATAGTCCATGGATCTTTATTTTTGCATATGGCCTGGACTGGGTACCAGAAAAGTAAACCTGTGTCTTATTACGTGAGATGAAATAGCATGCTAAATAAATACTTTCTCAATTCCATGATCAAAGAGAGAGCTTGAATAAAATTATGCTGTCATTAAAGCCGCGATCCATTAAAGGCTTAGCCTGTGTCACGAACCGTCTATTTTATTGGGCCAAGATGTGGTAAAGGCTGTATCTGGGCCACACTCAATTTTTCTTTTGTTTTCAAGGTTATAAAGCAACAGCAAGACATGTTTGCCTGTCTCCTTCATTCTATACACCAAGTATCTTGAACATACTAATGTAATTATTAAACGATGACTAAAAATAAAATAAAAATGAACTTCTGCATTGAACCTGCAGTAGGTGAATCAGAACGAAGTAGACATCAATATATTGTATTACAAGGCATGTAACCTCCATCCATTGCATTCTTCCAGATAACCCAGGTAATGACTAGAGTAAATTAAACACATCAGGTGGAATTTAACTAAGTTTTACTCAAAGTAAACCTGTTGAAATGAATGGTCCTAACTTAGCCATGTTCATTAATTTGAAGTTGCCTACTCTCAGCGAAGGGACGCAGGTGGTGCTGTGGGTTAAACCACAGAGCCTAGGACTTGCTGATCAGAAGGTTGGCGGTTCGAATCCCTACGACGGGGTGAGCTCCCGTTGCTCGGTCCTGCTCCTGCCCACCTAGCAGTTCAAAAGCACGTCAAACTGCAAGTAGATAAATAGGTACCACTCTGGCGGGAAGGTAAATGGTGTTTCCGTGCGCTGCTCTAGTTCGCCAGAAGCGGCTTAGTCATGCTGGCCACATGACCCGGAAGCTGTACGCCGGCTCCCTTGACCAGTAAAGCGAGATGAGCACCGCAACCCCAGAGTCAGTCACGACTGGACCTAATGGTCAGGGGTCCCTTAACTTTTACCTTTACTCTCAGCGAAACTTCATTGAATACTACCCAACATTCTGTATTTTACAAATTATGCTGTTTCTTTGTTTACTATATTTGCATGTTTCACCCCCACCATTCAAGGCATTGTACATTGATTGCCTTGTAGAAAGTGGTAATTGAACCACACAGAACCAACTCTGCAAGTGTTTCCTTAAAGCCCGCTGAGCAAGGTAACAAAAGAAAAGGCAGCAGGGCAAATGGTTCTTCCTCTTAATCAAGCCATGCTTAATCAATAATCAATCAATCAATCAATCAATCAGAATGTCGGCCACAGCGGTGACTCAGTTCTTAAGGGGAAGTGTGGGGAAACCCATCATGTATCCTGTATGGATTGTGGCCTCTCCTTTATCAACTGCCACAAATATTCCTCACATTCCAAGACAGTGAGCAACTTCTTACAGTGTTAACTATTTAGTGGTTCCATTGTGGGTGTATACATTATTTGCACCGATTAGGCAGCATATTTAGCACACATTTTATGTTTAAATTTACATGCATATAGCCTCTTTTTTTAAAGAATTGGCCTCTCTCTGCTGCAAATTTCTTGGGGGCAATATGCAGATGACTGTTTGCAGAGTGGGTGCAAGGGATGTTTGAGGAATTTAAACTGGCCTGATCTGTATGCCTGCAAGCGCACAAAAACTCCTTCTTGTAAATACTTGTCACTTTTGAAGTTTTAAGTGTTTACAAGAAGAAGGAGTGGGAATAAGAGGTGTTTGTCGGTTCTTTAACTTAAACATCAAGGCTGCTGATTCTGCATGAGCAAATGGGCAATAACAATGTCACTGAGAATTCAAATCAGCCTCATGCTAGAATGTCACAACACTTTACAGTGAAGACCTGAAGCTCTCTGTGCATAAAACAAGACTCTGTAGCTTTCCAAGCTATTATGCATAAAGTTCAGTTTTAGTGTTACTTATTCTAATTTACCTTTATACTCTGAAGCTATTGTCTGCTGTGAAGTTGTCCATTACCTTCTCTTCATGACACTTACAATGGCTAATTTATAAAAAGAAAGGTTGAGAACCTCACGTCCTGTCAAAAGATAGATTTCCACTTTAAGCCAAAACATACCCAGACATTGCTTGAATTTGGCCCCTTTCTTAACCTCCAAAGAATTCATTTTGGCAGCGTGCTGGAAACATATAAGAACAATGTAACAGCTACAGTTTGTTTTCCTTCCTGTAATGTTTTATGATAGCATTTTAAAATATGTGTTTATTTGACACTTAGCCACTGTTATCTTCTATATCTTCTGGAATTTTAGCCCTGTTTCAGCCACACAGAAAGATCAAGAAAAGCTATTTTCACAATCATATATATTAAATGTTGTTTTAACTCAAGGAACTATAGGGGGGTGTAAATCTGTTCTACCAATTTGCAGTTCACACAATTCACCCACACACGGTGTGGGATTTTCCAGAGGCCTAGCTTTGCGTTGCCTTAAGCCCAGCTCCGATATCCCATTGTCTAAAGTTGGATTTCATAAACTACCTTCTAGATCAGGAGTTCCTCAACTGTTTTTGGCCCAGGGGCACATTTGAAAATCTGAGAAACTGTTATGGGTACCACTAAATATCCATTTCATGGAAGAATGACTAGCAATGCTTGGAACTCCCTCAAAACAGGCAAAACATCTACACACATCTAAACAAATAAAAGACAGACAAAAGGGTGTGTGTGGAATTAGGCAATCCTTTAAAACAACATTATTTTTATGTCAGGGGTGCCTGAGATGCCCGGGTGTCAATGAGCCCCACAGTGGGGACCCCAGTTTTAGATACATTTCTTAACTGCTACAGGAGTTTAGTAGGAAAAGAAGTGCTTGCTGGGACAGACTGTCATGACCTCTGTGACCAGCAATGATCTGGACACAGAGATGTAGGCCAGGGGTCAGCAAACTTTTTCAGCAGGGGGCCGGTCCACTGTCCCTCAGACCTTGTGGGGGGCCGGACTATATTTTTTTGGGGGGGGGAAATATGAACGAATTCCTATGCCCCACAACTAACCCAGAGATGCATTTTAAATAAAAGCACACATTCTACTCATGTAAAAACACGCTGATTCCAGGACTGTCCACAGGCCAGATTTAGAAGGCGATTGGGCCAGATCCAGCCCCCAGGCTTTAGTTTGCCTACCCATGCTGTAGGCTGCAGGGGAACCAGATAGGGAGCAGAATTTGGGTCAGGACTCAGAGATAAGACTGCGGAAGATAGGGAGACCATTGTGCCCAAGGTGGTTGGACCAGAACTCCCAGAGGAACCTCCCAGACCACCAGGGCCTACAGGCCAGAGCCTAGCCCCTCACAGACACCTTCCCCTGAGCCCCCAAAACTAGATGCCTCTCACTGCACACCACCAGTCCAGCAGTGTGGGGAGCACACCAGGAGGGAGGCTATGGAAAGGAGGAGGAGGAGGAGGAGGTGTACCCATCTACAGGCCAGAGGATTGACCAGTCGAGGCTCCAAAGCTCTCTTAAGGTGGTGGAGTCTGGAGACAGAGGCATAAAATGCCTTAGTCTGTTTCCAATCTTTGTAACAGACAAGCAATCTCATTGGTTTCCCTGTGGGTTTTGGCATCAGACCAGAACACAACAGAGCTACAAAATTCACTTCACTGGCAGGACTGCAGATGCAGCCAGGACAAAATGACACATGTGATAGCTCGTATCATCCTGAACTTCATGCTTCTGCATCCACTCATTGCTACCATATTATTTCAGGAGGGCACTCCCCTTGGGCCCCTGCTGGCAATCTCTTTGCCCATTTCTTGCTTCTCCTGGACATTCAAGGGAGGAATGGGTGGGTGAATTGACTAGATAGGGAGGATCAGTGGCTTACCTGCCTGTGCACTCTCTCCATCTCTCTCTCTCAGTCTCTCTCTCTCTCTCATTGTTTCTGTTTTCATGGCAAGGTGAAGGTGGGGGAGAGCCAATAAAGTGAAAGAAGATGTATGCAGATTAGTGAGCAATAAGAACTCTCCTGTTTTATCTACACCGTCTCAATAATTTCAGGGGCTCTATCTGATGGTTGCTCATCTTCCTGTCACTTGGTCCTTGGCACACTGGTGACGGGAGGAATGTGTAGTGGGATGATCTCCATCTCTCCCATTAATACAGTCTGTTAAAACTGCCTGGGCATATTTATGAGTCCAAATAGCCCTAGGGCCATCTTAGATTGATCTCAATGGGAATAACTTCTAAGTAAGCATTCATAGGATTGTGCTGCGTATCCTGTAGTTGAGGCCTCAACATGAAGTCTAGTTGAAGAGGGCAGGATATAGACTGAGATTATTCAGTTTCATCTGCTATATGGTAACAGATGTGGCATTTAGTCCTTACAGTGTAAAATTTATATGGATGGAGGATGAAGTTTTGTTTTCTGAACAGCCACAGATCAACATGTTTCCCGCTGCAAATGTCAGCACTGCACAGAGACAGGCTCTTTCGCCGCCTTTCACCAAACGGCCTTTCTTGGAATGCTTATAGCTCGTATCATTTTCAATCAGCATCATTCTCTATTGATTCCCACACGACAAACCCTTTAAGTGAATCCACTGTCCACGCTGCACTGGACTGTTATTTTGATCAAGATTACAATCCTAATCTGCTTTAAATGAAAGGCAGTTTAATTGAAATCAGCACAATTATTTCCAAAGACATGACTATCAGCACTAGGGAATTGTAGCACCATTATCTTGGGAAGGAAGGGGATTCATGCAGAGTTTGCAGGAATGTGTTATGAGAGGAATTAAACACTTATAATCAAAGCAACAGCTTGAAGGCAGGGTTTATACTGCGGTTCACCAAGATGTAGCTGTCAGCTGTAGCTGTCAGCAGAAACGTTGAAGAAACATTAGCTGCTTCATACCACCAGTAGGGGAGTGGAGCAAGCCTAGCTTCAAAACAGATTTGAAAGTCAGACAGTGTTTGCTTTTAGTGTGCCCCATTAAGAACTAAGGCCTGTTCATTCTACTTTCTTTCACTTGGGTGATAAGAAATGTTGAACAGAGTGACACAAGTCAGATCTATTCTTAAGGCAGAAGTTATCGTGACTGCCAAGCAGTGTGGTGTAGTGGATAGTGTTGAAGACCCGAGGTCAAATCCCCATTTGGCTACGAAGCTCACAAGGTGACTTTGGGTCAGTCACAATCTCTCAGCCTAAACTGACCTCACATAGTTACTGTAAGGATAAAATGGGAAGAGGGGGACTCAGATACATTACTTTGAGCTCCAATAAAATAAACAGGCATTTCCCACCAATCTTACCGGTGAAAGCTTAGTTAGGATAACCACTGTATTTGCACTCTGATTATAGAATCTGTAGTTTGCAGGTATTTTACTTTAGGGGTTGGACTAGATGACCCCTGTGGTCCCTTCCAAGTCTATGATTCTGTGATACTTCCATGATCAGGAGGTGGCTCAGTGTGGTGGGTGAGAAATCTCATATATCTCTTCTTTTTAATTCTTTTAATAGATACTTCCTGCCAACTGTTTCAAAATTCCCTCCACATCCATGAGACCTAGACACTTGATTTTTTTTTATAAAAAAGGTATGGTAAAAGTAGCAGTGTTTTTAGAATAATAATAATAATAATAATGGTGAAAGCAGCTGCTCTCAGAATCCTGAAAGCCACAAGACTGTAGAACCTGCAGTTGGAAATGGCCGTTCTCTTACCTAAACACTGCGTTGCTAGGGTTAGCACTCAGGTGTCAACAGACAGCACAACTGCTACCCTTCCAAAACGACTTGAATAAACAACCTAATTCAGTCCTTGCAACGGAGGTAATAATAACACCATGTGAGCTATATTGTCAGGTATGCAAAAGGGCTTAAGAGAAAATTCTGTCTGCCGGACTCAAAGGCTTTGAACGGAGTCAGGAATGATGTATGAGGGTTTGGGGGAGGGGAAGGGGGGAGTATATGTTTGTTGTCACAGTAACTGCAAATATAATAAACGGGCATTGCTTCATTTCCTTAAACACTCAGGTTGCTGTGCTGAAATAGTTCGTCATGAAGTCTACAATGCTTCTTTCCTTCTCTCAGCCTGTATCTTACTCAGTTACCGGAACTCAGCCCATTACAAGGTTACTTTTAGCCTAAGTGCATTAGAAGCAGAGAGGGAAATGGGAATGGAAAAACAAAAGTAAAGACTACTTAGCCCCATTGCTTCTCATCTGGGCGTAGAAAAGACCTTATTTTCACAAAGATCTCATCAATAAACAAAGCAAGCTGGCAGCAGTTTAAAAGGATGACGTCAGTTCGCTACTGCTTTCAATCACATCCTTGTTTATTTTGCATGTTTCTTCTGTTGTTGTTTTAAGGGGGGGAATTTAATATGTCTGATAAACTGTAATGGCAACTACCGTGAGAGCAAGGCGAGAACGCCACCCACATACAATAAGAGTTCACAAAAATACAGCAGTAGAAACCATTTAACCAAATGCAACTAACATTGCTACTTTTACCATTCTTTCAAGGTCAGGATCCTTTGCTTATGAAGAAAAGATCATTTTCTTCCCATGTGCCACAGAAGAATTAGGCTAATAAACCCTGAAACATTTAATTCCCATGGGCCTGAAAGAATTCACATATCTTTCTGTACAAAAACAAAACAAAAACTGACCGTACTTTTAGAATATAATTTTATCTGTCTCTGTAGTACAAAGTTTCAGAATAGTGTTAACTGCGTATGTAATAATTTGCCCCAAAAAGGAAAGACAAGCGGTTTCTCTCAACCCTGGAGACATTTAAATCATACTCAGGCCTGTTCACACATACAGGTCATCTTCACAAGCTATATTTAAATGGTGTTTTTGCATTTCCTGTGTCTGTGTCATTAAAACTTGCATTGTCGCACAATGCTACTTTCTGCCCCACATTGAAAAGCAACCACAAGCGACCTTGCAGAGGCTGGATGGCCATCTGTCATGGATGCTTTAGCTGAGATTCCTGCGTTGCAGGGGACTGGACTAGATGACCCGTGGGGTACCTCCCAACTCTACGATTCTATGACAGATTCCAGCCTAAAAAACCTGGCCTCATGGATAGTTCTGTGCGCTTCCACCTCACCACCACCATCTAATTGCTCGGTCACGTGGCTGAATTGATTTTCAGCCTGTGCTGAAGTTGAGGAGAAAGATTATTCACGTCCCAACAAACTGGCTCCATCATGGAGAAATCAGATTACCACTTTGCCACATGGCCAACTGTAATGAGCACCATACACTACTTACTGCATGAAAAGGGCTGGGTTTTGATCTCATCAACTAATCATTGACCAAGACAGCCTCTTGTTTGGGATTCTACAGTGATGTGCAGAGTTTGTTTCAATATCCTACACAGCATGATTTCAATGATTTCCTGACATCAACAAGTCTACCACACTTTTACTAGTTATGTCTACTTTATACATGATCTCCTCGTTGGGATTCCCCGTCCTCGATTATAGTTCTATTTTAAAGATGGCAAAATCTGATTTGTACCACTAGTGAATTCCTACAGTTGAAAAAGGAAAGGCAAAGGAATCCTATTCTCCACTTACACTGGGAGTGGAAGATTTATGACTGCTACACTGACACAAAGGCTCCTGTATGTTGTATCTGCTCAGCCCAGGAGGAGAGAAGGATTTACATCTTGGAACATCTCCAAATGGCAAAAAAGGGTACAGATGCTCCTCTCCCTCCCACATCCCCAGAAACAACTAACCAAAGCCCACCAATCAGGGACTATGCCAGCACCCTGAACACATGCCACTCGTACATGGTGGTCGCCATGGATAGGCATGCGCAGGATAGTTGTGCATTTTTTGTGTTTTTATGCTGTAAACTGCCCTGTGATCCTCGGAAGAAGGGTGGTGTGTGGGGGGGGGTGTAACATAAATGGCAGCAAGAATTCTAAAGCAGTAATGCGATGTATGTGCCTAGGTAAAGGTAAAGGTACCCCTGACCGTTAGGCAGTGCCAGATTTATGTATAGGCTAAGTAGGCTGAAGCCTAGGGCCTCTAAATCTAGGGGGCCTCCCCAGAGGCAGTCTCCCCTCTCCCAAAATTGCAAACCCAAGACTTCATGCCAGGGCAGGACAACTTGGGCCTCTAAGTCTAGGGGGCCTCGCCAGCCTGCCCGCTCCCCAGTGCCACAGTCTCCCCTCTCCCAAAATTGCAAACCCAAGACTTCATGCAAGGGCAGGGCAACTCAGGCCCAGCAACTATTAGACTCAGGACTAGCCAGTGGGGCCCAATTTGAAGCAGTGGGGTGCAACTTGATTTTTTTTTTGTAGGGCCCCAGTTCACAGCCAAAGTCTGCAAAATCTTATAGATATAAATAAAATCCATCTAGATTGCCCTGGTGCAGCGGGCCCATTAGGAGTAGCCCGCGGGGCCCAATTTGGCCCAATTACTCCAATTGCCTTAAGGTCAGCCCTGATGAGACCATGCAGGGGTTGGACTGACAAGCCCTGCACCTTCTAGGTCCCTGATGTCACCATTCAGAGTACAGACTCAAGGAATTGTTATGGAAATAAAGGGGGGCACTTATTGGAAATCAGTTTTGTCACCTCTCCCCCCCCCACAAACCCCAAGACAATGAGCCCAGCCACCTTTTATTCACAGTCGCATAAGCACTACACTACAGAATGTCCATAAACTTGTACGTTCAACCACTGAAATATACACCCAATATGTAACAATGGAGATTTATGTTACTGCTTTATGAATGAACACTGTGTTTTATGAATGGACTCTGTATTTGGTGAATTACCTAAGAGCCACCAATAGGGAGCTCTAGAATCTGACAGCTAACCAATTGGGTGCTACCAAACAGCGACCCCTATTGCTGAATGCAGGTAACCAGCAGGGAATGCTTTAGCTCAGCCTTTGCACTGTTGACTGAACACCCCCTGCTGAGCAGATAATGGAGAAAGCTCATAAACTGTATCCCTTCTGGCATCCTGGCCAACTCTATTACGCTAGTGTAAACCCTGGTGCACCAGAAGCACAGAATAGCAGCAAATAAAATCCGCCCATACGTCAGCAACTGATAACTCTTGTCAACCAGTTCTTCCAAAGTCTTCTTAAATTGTAAAGCTCCAAAATACAGGCCAAAAGAGAGCAGGTCTTTGAAGAGTGAGGCATACCATGGGCACCACCAGTGAAAAGGCCCTGCTCCATGTAACTCCTGCCCTGTCATTTGATAGAGTGCCCACTTGCCCTCCTTCTTGACATGGAGTCTCGAGGTCCAGTACAAAGACCATAAGAAGGGAGAGCAGGGACCTTGAAGTTCCCAACAGCTGTTAATCAATCAAGCAAGCACACAGGTCACCTTTGTCACAGTCAGGGCACCTATGTCCTGGCCAGGCCTGCACCTAATCTTGTTTTTGTACAATCTTGTTTGTCCTCAGTAACCAAAATTATATTATCAACATATACAAGCAGAAAAGTTGTTTTCCTTCATTTGCAAGGAATTGAACAAAACAAAGTGGCACTAATAAAGAAAAGTTCCAGAGTGGCAACAGAAAGCAAACTAAAAATGCTTTTGCAGTTCATCAAAACTATCCAGCAATATCAGGTTATAGGAAAACTGGTGATATTAACAGTAATCCTTCTAGTTAGTTAATTGGTTCGGCAACTTCCATGCACATGACGTGTGATGCTAATTATTTCCCCTAAGAGTTAAATGATAACTAATCAGTTCTAGGCCTGCCCATGCCACAAAAGGTTTACAAAGTTCAGTTATTGCAAAAGTTTTTCAGTGTTAATTTTATGCATTTTTTAAAATCACCATGGTATTTAACAATAATATCTAATGTCCTTTAGAGGAGGAATCGTGAATTGTAGAATTTTAAATACCTGTCATCATCCTTGGCTTCACTCAATTTTGTTTATAACACTCTTCCATTTTCTTCTAGTTGTGAGGGTGGGGGATGGGGAGGGGCCTCACAAGTGGAGTAGCCTAGGGCCTCTCTTCATCTAAATCTGGCCCTGCCGTTAGGTCCAGTCACGGATGACTCTGGGGTTGCGTGCTCATCTTGCTCTATAGACCAAGGGAGCCAGCGTTTGTCCACAGACAGCTTCTGGGTCATGTGGCTACTCAGAAGTAAATCTCAGCAAGTTTAATGGTGCTTACTCTCGGATATGTGGGTATAGGATTGTAGCCTTATAAGTTTTGGGGTTTTTTTTGGCAAATGCAAGGTTTTCTGTTTGCTGCCATCCTCTAGCTATTTCTTAAATTAACTGGATTCTGTGCTCCCTTATCCAAAGAGGTCAGGTTACAGTATCTTTGGAACAAAAGCAATTCAAAACTCTCAAACTATGATCCATAAAAGCTTGATAGAGTCACACCTAAAAATCCATGAAATGTAGCAATGGAATAGTTTATGTCTATCTCAGAAAGAATTCAGATTTAGGGGAAAACTTGAGAGTGGGGAAACCCTGGAGACTCTGATGTCTACATCATTCTCCATGCACAAACCCAGCAACTGACAAACCCTTGGAAGACTTTGCGGTGATTCAGTAAATATGCATTGAAAAATCAGGAAGCTTCTCCTTATCACCCTTTCCAAAAAATAAAGTAGTCATCTTTGTCCCCTGTGATCCCTTTTGCTGCAGCCGCTGATCTGTGTGGTTCCTTATCCTCCTTTCAGTTCTGGAGGCTTGATGTAAACTAGTCACATAACTGCTATGTTGCTCATACAAATTTGGCTCGCATTCCAGAAATCCACATTTTAAGTGCACTTTTGGGGGTCATAGGAATTTATCCTGGATCAGGGTCTGGGCACTTCAGTGAGTTCAGCCTTATATATTTAATAGCCGATGGCAATCTAATCTCTGTTGTGTTATTTCCTACAAAACTCTTCCACAGCCTTCCTCTAGTGTATATAAGCAACCTGACCTTCAGCACAAGAAGAAATCACTGTAACTTTAGAACATGTTGTAAGAAAAAGCAATATGGAAGAAGCTGAGGAAAAAGCACTGAAGAAAGAAACTTCTTGTGTATCCTAATGGCTGACTATGGTTTTTAGGAAATTTGAGTGAATAAGTATTTTGTAACACATTAGACAGAATGAATGAGAGAGGGGGAACCCTAAAATGAAACGACTAATATTCCTATGTTCTTAAAAGGAAATAGGTAAGATCCCAAATTGGTGAACAGGGCGGGTAGGTTAAAAAGAGGAGAGGGCTATTGTCCTGTGCCATCAATACTTGTGCAGAATATGTGATTTCAGCAGGTTAGCTTACACCTGCCAAAATTCTATCTCCTCCACAACTATCAATGCCACCTTTTTCACATGGCAATCCCTCATTCCACATGTAACTCTCAATCTGGATAAAATTACAATCCTACCCATGTTTAGATAGAATTGCCACTTTGATCAGTTGGAATTGCTGACTTTAATCCAGCTAAAATCAGTGTGACAAATTCAGTCCCATCCATTTCAGTGGAACTCAAGCATAAATAACATTATCTGAATTGGGGCCACAGTTGCAAATGTGCCATTTGGGAATCAAAGTTGCTAGTTGCAAATGTCCCATCTGAGAACCAACCTTACAGAAAGCCAATAACTAGCTAGATTTGTATTAGTTTTAAGAACACTTTCTGTGTGCCGTTCATAATTTTATAAATGTCTGTCATGTCACCTCTTGCCTGGCATTTCTCTAAACTAAAATGTCCCAAACGTTGCAAGATTTTCTTCATTGGGGAGTTGCTCCATCTGCTCGAACATTTTGGTTGAACCTTGTCAACTACACAGTATCCTTTTCGAGGTGAGGTGAGCAGAACTGGACATATTATTCCAAATGTGGTTGCACCATAGATTTGTATACTGTATCAGCAGTTTTCTAATCAATTTCTTTACTAATGATTCCTAACATGGAATTTGCTTTTTCATAGGCTTGCCATATGTTAGGAAAATCCCCGACATGCCCTAGTTTTCGGGTGTAAAAATGGTGTTGGGGGGGATTTTATTGGCAAAATGTCAGGGAAAACACAATGGAAAAGGCAGCAGAAGCAGCTCAAAAAGCTGAAAATCACTATTTTGGGGGTTAGGTTCCCTCAATTTGGGTTTGTTCCCCCCAAAAAAGCTTAACAATTTTGTGGGTTTCAGGAATTTTACTTTTTGAAATATGGCAACCCTACCTTTTCACCATTGGGTTGACATCTTCATCAAGCTATCTACTATGACCCCAAGGTTTCATCCCTGGTCCATCACTGCCAGTTCAGACCCCACAAGGAGGCCTTCACCGTCTCTCTTTGTTTTGGTGGCCATGAACTATTTAGGGTTTTTTTTGTTTTTGTTTTTAGAACTTCTAAAAAAAACAAACCCATATCAAAGCATAGCTGAAAATTACTAATATTTTATGTAGCAAAAGAAAATGCTTGTTCCAGGAGTAGAAACCATCTGTTGGCATAAGAAAATAAGGCCACAGCAAGGAAATGAAAGAGAAAGATATAGGCTGCCTTTCCCATGGGAAGGGAGAGGAGCTGGAAATGGCAACTGGAATACAAGACAAAAGCATGCTGAGCTTTGAAGGAGAAAGGAAGGGCTCACAAAGTTGATGGGTTAAGGAGCAGAAAGCTTAGTGGACAATGGGAAAATAGGGAACAACACAGAAGAGGAGGCCAGCAAAAGGCTTATTCATAGATGACAAAGATTGCTTTATTTGTTCTTTGGAACGGATGATAAGGAGAGGTAACCAGTGAGTGATGTGTTTAGATGATAGCCTTGACAGAGGATTCCACACAGTTAGCAGATTGCATCTACATCCCCAACACAGTGTGCTCTTGTGCCTAAAATGGTGAAGCAGGCATTTGTGAGCAGGTGTGGACAGTTGCCAAGGGGCTGTGGTCGGGACAAGTTTCTCTCTGAACCTATGGAATGTGCCTTGATCAGGCCAGGACAACAGCTACATGGGCAGCTGTGGGAGCTCTGAGTTAACAGCCTTTCCATATGTTAGCTGATGACACAGAAGGCCAAAGCAGCACCTGCCTTTACATGTTTGTTTGGTCCCAAACTCCAGAAGCAGTTTGGGACCAGGCTACCTGAACTATAACCACCTAGCCAAAACTGTTCTGGGGCCTGTTCTGGGTGCCCCACCAGATGAAGAGAAGCAGTCAACCCCTTAAGGCAGAAGACCTTTTTAGTAGTGGCACCCCAGATAAGGAATAATAGCCTTCTGAGGTAAGCTTGGCTGCTGCCATCCTTGTGTCCATTTTTGCACCAAGTTCATCCAGGCCTTTTGAATAAATTTACTTTAAAAATCATGCATGATGTAGAAAAAGTGGACAGGGAAAAGTTTTTGAGGCAGAACTCAGGGCCATTCAACGAAGCAGAATATCAGAAGATTCGGGACAGGCAAAAGGAAATAGTTCATCACATAGCGCATAGTTTAACAACGGAATTTTATCCCATGAGATGAGTAATGGCCCCTAGTTGGGATGTCTTTAAAAGAGGATTAGACAAATTCACGAGGGGTAAGACTGTCAATGGTGACTAGCCATGATGGCAGTGAGCAAGATTCAAATAATGAGTCCCAGTAGCAGAGCCCACACAAGGATTTCCACATAGGGCAGTAGGGTTTCCCCACTCTCCTCCCGCTGTTTGCCCCCCAAAACTGGTTCAGGGGGTGTTGGAAGAAGGAGGAGGGAGGAAAGAACATGCGTTTAGGTCAATATATTTTCCTGGGATGAAAATCTACATCAAAAACAGTCCAGCTATTAACAATCCCTGTGGCCCAGCTGTTGTAAAGTCCATGTTCCATATTTCACAGATTTGATAGGAAACCCTCAGAGTCCCTTTGTGGGCACCTGTTTAGAAGGGTAATTTTAGACAGTGTGCCCACTTTAGAAAGAAGGGGAAGGGAACACACAGAGGTGACTAGGTCATTACACTGTTTTGCTCCTTACACATATCAGCTGGTGAATTTTATTCAGACAGACTCCTGTTTGAAAACTATTAAGACGAAGCCATCAAAAATGCCAGCACACATTAAGCTATTTGCTGTGACAAGGGGAAACAAATGATCCCTCCCACAAAGTGAGAAGGTTAACTCCACAAGGCTCTTCGTTTATGGTGCTTCACTAACTTCTCCCCCTCTTTTTATTATAAAGAGGTAAATGGTTGAACAAATTAGTTTCTAGCACCCAAGCTATTCCAGGACTATGCAAACCTTTCTCTTGTTTTGAGTTATAGTTCTTTAGCCCACAGGATAAGACCTTGCTGCTTTCTTTACATGAAACTTTGTGGGTCTGCTAGTCAATTCAGCTCAGTTCAGTGTGATTTATTGTGTTTAGCAAGCAGCCATTACACACCTAAAAATAATAACAACAAAAATGCTGCTAATTATAGTGATTTACATTCAAAGAGTTATACTAAGGGACTCTTCTCATGACAGCCATCACGGTTGATATTTGCTAGCATGGGCGTAGCCAGGATTTGGGGGGGGGGCAGCCAAAGTTAAGATTTTTTTAGGAAATCAAAGTTGTTGACCTTTCATTAGGAAATCCTTTAAAAAGCTCCACAGGAGTACAGGAGATGCATAGAAAGAGGACGGGTGTCCTTCAGTTTGTTAAACCTCCTTGACATCATCCTCTTTCTATGCTCCTCCCAATGGAAACATGCAGATGAGAAAAGGCTACAGTCTGCCTTTCCCCACAATCAGCTTCTAAGGCACATTTATGGTATTTCAATTTTTACAATTAAAACAGCTCTTTTGCAGAGAAATGCATTCACACAAAAGAGCAGTATTGAAAAGAAAAAGTTTCCCTTGCAGGTGCTAGCCAGTATTCTTTAAGGAATAGATACATATCAACATGGCTGACCTGTTCCATATGGATGGATGAAAGTTTTGTTCCTGGTGCTGAAGGGTGGAAGTTGATTATTTATTGGGTTGGGAGTAGGTGTGTCATAGTTCCTATTAGGGCAGGCCTAAGGCATGCACTAGAAGAAAGAGACAGACAGCTGCATGCGTTCCTAAACATACTGACAAGAAGAGAAACCAAGACCATGAATAGGCACTGTAGATCATCTTGGTTCTAAATATTCAATTGATACATCTCTGGAAAATAAATAATGCACAGTACTTTTCTCATGACTCTTTGGAAATGTGTCTCATTCTTACTGTTTCATTTCCACTGTTTTCTTAGCAGTTACATTATCAGCCATAATTTATACCCATAAACAAAAATAACCACTTTTGAATCGTAACTTAGTGTCATGATCCTAAGTCTACTTACTAGAAACTTCCCAGTAAGAGAATTTAGGATCATGGCACTAAGATGTCATTTAATTGCTGGGATGGAATTCAGACTAGATGTGTTAATGATTGAAATATCAGATTGTCATTTTATTTCTTTAGATAGTTAAATAAAGCAACAAATTATATATTCTTAGGACTGAACAAATGATCTGCATTGGGCACACAACAGAAAATTCTGTTACTGCATTCTTTTATTACTAGAAAAATCTTTTTTAAGAAACAGGAAGTATTTCAGGTAAATGTCAACACTTTCCAACAAGTTATGAATTATTCTTGCATTTATTTGTTTGCCTGATTTTTCTGTTGTTAGCTGGTTTTAGGCAGTTAATAGTTAGATAGGTGTGGTCATATGGGTATACAATCCTATCAAGTTGCGGTTCTTAAACACAATTGTTCCATTACTTATTTCCAGGGTTTATATGCTTCAACTAAGTTTTCAGTGTGGTTTACAAAAAGAAGATAAAATGCAAAAACACAAAATAAAATATGATAAACATATTTTTACAGAGTACTATCAGTTGCATGGAAGTAAGTTCCATGTACTCTGGAAGTAAATGTTTTTATAACTGGATTATTTTTTGTCATAGTAAAAAATAGAATGTGGGTTCTAGCAACGTGGTAACATTTTGAATGGTCAGTTCTCTGTAAAGATATATTTATACTTAAATAAATCCTGACATTGTTATGTCCAAAAATATCCTGTTTATGAATGCTCATGGAGTTATTCACAGAGAGTAAACATTCGGACTGTGATTTAATAAGATAGATATTCTCGATAGCAGCAGCAAGACTTAGGACTATTGTCAAAAGGGCAGAACAAAATGTACCAGGTGTACAAAAGCACTTACAGGCTTGTGAAAAATAGATAGGTGAGCTAGAAAGCATCAGACAAGAGCCTCACAATTAATTCAGAATATCACAGCATGCCTACTTCATCCTGCTGACCAGCCAGTCTTCATTACTAGGTTTTATAGCTGTTGTGATACTAGCCCCAGCCAGTCTTCTTAAAATAAAACCCCAATCTTAATGTGCCTTCTGACAGCATGTGCTTACACAAACATAGCTGATGCCTTTGTTATATTCCATGCCTCCATATCCCATCTCCTGTCCTATTATGGTTTTAGAATGTTGCTATTAGCCTTGCTAGTTTGACAGATAGCGTAAAAGAACGTGACAATTTTCCTGTACTGATAAAAGCAAAAAAAGACAGTCTTTTTATCTTCTCTTTTTTTTGTAAAGAGAGTGTCTCTCTTCTCAACTTTCCATATTAAGCAGAATGTGAAGCACAGAAGGCACACACACACACACACACACACACACACACACACAAAAGAACCAAGGGAACATTCACAAACAAGAAGCAAAAACAATCATTCTCAATGAAAAACTCCACTGGAGAAGTCAATTCAGTCTTACCTGCCAAGTGGAAGAGAAGACCGAGTTGCCTTCCTTTTACAAAGACACTGTGCTCTTGGAAGGCTTCAGGAATCTAGCTTGCATGACCAAGACTGAAGGTATTAATCAGGCCCAGAAGAACACAAAGACAGAAGCTTCCCCTTGCTTGCTTTCTAGATCTATCAGTGACTGAAGTAATGCAGGAAATAGGGAAGAGAGCAGAAGAGGAACGTAGTTCCTGTTAAGAGAAATACCACGCAGAAGAAACAGGAGGTACAGCCTCTCAGTTATGTTTCTCCCCCCCCCCCCACCCCGCCAGGCTTTTGTCTGAAAGCCTCTTTTGCTGTTGTTTTGCCCCCACCCACAACTGTTGCTCTGTGGTGCTAAGCTTTGGCAGTCAAGTTCTGAGATTGCATTTCCCCTCTCCTGGTCTCCTCTCACACACTGTTCAGAGAGCAATGACTTTGTTGAGCTGAGCTCGTTCGTGCTATATTTAACCAGTGTTCTCAGCAAGTCAAGCCTGTCAACAGCTGAGAAGTTTGAAGCAGGCTTTGCCGAGTTCCTCAGCTGCTGAGTTATCAGTGGATATAGAGCTGCACTCTATAGCTACCTCTGTATGTACATATGAAGGAACCTCACATTTTGCAGGAAGAGTCTTCTCGTGACTATAAACATGATCAAACACAAACAGGGTGTGCAATTCCTTTTATCCCTCAAAAAAGAATTGTGGCGAAGGGTCAGCAGGTCAACGTCATTTTAAAAATTATTTTGAGATTATTTTATTTTTTTAAATAAAAAACATTTACAGGAAAATCGTCATGTGAAAAGCCAACAGTATTCATTAGAAAGCTATCACAAACCAGGACCTTTTAAGTAATCTGTCGCCAATTTTGAAGCAATTTAAACTATTTTGGTGTGTGGAATGCTAACAAGGCTCACATTAGGCACTTTGGCATTCTAGCATCCTGTTTACAGAATCCACTATCCTGGGATACAGTGCAGTGAATCAACTTCAATCCTTGGTTTGTTTACATTTGAAGGGTGAAGCGCAGGTCAGGGTGAGCTTAGGGAGAGACAGCACCCTTGGCAGAACCAGTTCTTGACTCGGCTTACTTTCAGCCTGCGATAAAGTGATCCCGTAAACAAACTGCAGGGTGTGTTGTTGTTTTTAGCTCTGGTGGTTGGGGGTCATATTTGCACAGAACATTTGCAACGAACAGTGAATGACCCAAGAAAATCAGCACAGTCTTTTGTTCTGTCCTGGGAATTACCGTATTTTTCGCTCTATAAGATGCACCAGACCATAAGACGCACCTAGTTTTTGGAGGAGGAAAACAAGAAAGAAAATATTCTGAATCTCAGAAGCCAGAACAAGAGAAATCGCTGCGCAGCAAAAGCAGTGATCCCTCTTGCTGTTCTGGCTTCTGGGATAACTGTGCAGCTTGCATTCGCTCCATAAGACGCACACACATTTCCCCTTACTTTTTAGGAGGGAAAAAGTGAGTCTTATAGAGCAAAAAATATGGTACTTATCCATTTAGCTAGAAGGAGATGCTATCCTAAGGAGGATAACCTGAGGTAACAACATCTGAATCTTGATTGGGTGAACAAGCCTTAGCCCAGAGGTGAGGTCATAGTGGCCCTCCAGATGTTATTAAGATTACACCTCCCATCATCCCAGGTCCATTGTCCATGCCAGATGAGGCTGATGTTGGTTGCAATCCAATATCATCTGAAGGGCTACAGATTCTCAACAGCTGCCCCAACTGAAATAATACTAGAACAATGCTGTGTACCACTTGGGACAAGGTAGGGGCTTATGAATGAATGCATCTCCCTACCTGCTGCCTCAGGTTCTCTCCAAATGGAAAAATTAAATCTCAGGGAGAAAGGTTCTTACCAAACTTTAAGACTTGTCAGCTTTCCATGCACTGGAATATCCACTCACCAGGTCAGATGGTGGGCGAGGTTTCCGCCCCCGATGGTTGCTGTGGAGTTTTTTGTCTGGATTCCCACCAGAATCCATTTTTAAACTGGTGTATCCCTATCCATTGCAGCCGTGGCATCACTCACCCACCCAGCCCCCCTGTACTTCTATCTTTTCTTTCAGACTAACTGCTTCCTTTCTAGGTTCATGGGCGTTGCTACGGTAGGACGATGGCTGCTGTTTTTCAGAGCTGGGAAGGATTTCCCCCTGCTCTGCAGGTCTTGCCTTCCCTGTAGCAATTGTCACAACTTTGGTGGTTTTAGGCTTTGGGTGGAATCCATTTGTCCAATATTCAGTGAGCAGGTGATGCGGTGACTCGCTCCTTCTGCAGCGGCGATATCAGGGTTACCCGTTAAAGGGGTCTTGAGGGGGAGTCTCTGGCCACAAGCGCACAGTGCTGGGCCATAGTACTCTCCTCAGCTGTGTGGATAAAGGGGGCCAGCTGTGTGAACACACATTTTGCAGTGTCCCCGAATTCCTGACCCTGTCTAGCCTCAGATCTCCAGCAGGGGGCTGAGAGGGATACACGCCCAATGCCTAAGCCAAGGTTTCCTACATCTAACTCTGATACAACTTCTGCTTCATAGCTTCCAACCTACCTACAGCTCAGTCCTGGCAGTTGCCTTTGCCTTGATGGACCTTGTTGACAGACTTTTTTGTTGGAAAAGAACAAAGAATTACATAGTTGCTGATTGTTTAGTATTCCAGCCCACTGCTCAGCGCAGGATCTGCAGTGAAGGATACCACTAGATATCTTCCAAGACTCAGCTTAAATGCCTCTCAGGAAGGAGCGTCCACCACCACCCAAGTCTATTTCATTGTTGAGCAGCCCTTACTCTTAGAACATTTCTCTAATGCTGAGCTGAAATCTTTCCTGTATCTTCCAACCTCTGGAGCAACAGAGAACACAAGCCCCTCACTCCCAATCTCCTGTATTGGAAGACCTCTATTGTGTTGTTCTCCCTTCTTCATTTCCTCTTCTCTAGGCTAAACATCCCTTACGTTGCTTTCTGAAATAGATGATGATGGTCCTTCTTCAAATCCTTAATGTGATCTGATATTCCATTTACCTTTCACATCCTGCTGTTTCTGGGAAAAGAATGTCCCTTCCATCTGCCAGTGAAACAAAACAGCTGCCTATTATAGCATGCTGCCTCATAATTAGCCTCCTTGCTTTGTCCAGTGATAAGGCTAGTCTTGAATAAATCACTACTAGCAGGGAGATTGTCTAAAATACTGCAAACCACAACTGACTCATTCTGGGACAGGTGCCCCTCCAAATGCATGGGCTACTCAGATTAAATATTTTGTGGACGGCAGCCATAGGCTTAGCTACGAATATTTCAATGGGAGATGAGAAATAAATAGCTTGGTGCCAATGTCCTTTACCTCAGAAGGTATGTTGTTATGATCGCACTCGGGTTACCTCACGTTGCAGTACTGCAGCGCTTGGCAAGGGCTGAAAATTTAGGCTGCTCTTAAAGTTTTGTATGAAACACAGTTCAATATCTGTAGAGGAACAGGACTGCTCAAAAGGGAACATATTTGGTGCACTTTCTCTCCATTTGCTTCTGTTATTCATTGACTATCCTCATTCCTAATCTATAATTACTTATGACCTGGCTGTGACATGAATATCTTGATATCCACTGACAAAACTGAATTGTTCAAAGGCAGTGCAGTCAGCTGATGCCAGTGCAAGGTTCTAACGGGGAACAGAGAAGAATGGCCTTTAGATTACTCTTAGGAGCAAAATCTATTTTGCACAGGTATTTGTTTACTTATTTAAGAAATAGCAATAGATGGACTGCTGAATTCTGGGCAAACAAAAATTTCAGGGTTTTTTTCTTTTTTAACTTTTTTTATTAGAAATTTCAGCACAATAGTTTTAACAAAAATACATCATCCACATTGTTTTCCCCCTCCATTTTTTCCCTCCCCCTCCCCCCTAAACAGAAAACCCAACCTCCCACCCCACCCTCCGACTTCCCTCAGCTCCTTTCTCTGGTTTCTCAACACATATTTCTCTCTGCATGTTATAAAATTGTAAAGATCCTCAAATTATCTATCTATATATTACAATAAAGAGTTTGTGAATGTTTATTCATCAGGGCTTTTTTTTCCCAAGGAAACCCCATGTATACTGCTGTGCAGAATGCCGATTCCTTCAGAAGTCTCAGCCCTCAAATAAGGATGGATAAATCTGACCATTTTTATTTCTCTTGGTTTCTTGTTTTCTCGATCTTCAGTTCAACCCATTTCCACATTAGTCTGTGATTTTATTAAAGATCTGCACAAAACTTACATTTCCATGTACATTCATCCTAATAATTCTGCAAGCAATTCTCCACCATATCATGCATTTTCTGTGCGCTTCCCCCATTACGTTTTTTGGGTGGAGAACTGCATTGCAAAATTTGGAGAAGTGCAAATTTTGAAAGTTTGAGCTTATCCACATTTACCTTTTGCCCCATGCTTAACAAACACAGGTCCACGCTTTAAAGCTCAATGTCCCGGTGCTCTGTTTTTCACCCTGGAGTGTTCCCCGTGAAAACCTGCTCTTTAAAGCTGAAGTGCAACAAATGGCAATTCAGGTTATCCATGGATTTGCTGTTTGCTCCAATTTAGGTTTTCATGGTGAAAAGCTTTGGGGCAAAAAATAGAGCTTTAAACATGGAACTTTAAAGTGCAGACCATACCTGGAAAGCACAGAGGAAAGGTAAGTGTGGATAAACCCATAGTTGCATTTTGGTTTGTGTCCATGGGCGTAGCCAAGGGGGAGCAGGGAGGGACAGCTGCCCCCCTAAATCAATAAAATTCAATAAAGATACATAGGTAACTGTTATGTACTGAGTTGAATAGGATCCAAAATGCAGCAGTCTGATTGGCCCTAGAACAATAGGATTCAGAATGCAGCAGTCTGATTGGTCCTAGAACAATAGGCTCCAGAATGCAGCAGTCTGATTGGTCCACAGGAGCCACCCAATCCAGCTCCAGGTGGAAGTGAATCCGCAACCTGATTGGCCTACAGGTGAATCCCGGAATTAGCCAATCATGTGGGGCCCATTATGTAAATAATGTATATAAAGCAGACATTCTGGGGGAACTTCCATTCCTCCTCACCACTATGAGCTGAATAAAGAGCATGAAATCCACTCTCGACTCCGAGTATATTTCACTAACTCAGGTTCTGCCCTCCTAGGAAAATGCTTCCCCCCCCCCGAACAAAAATCCTGGCTACACCCATGTTTGTGTCTGAGCACAGATTAGGTAGGTTCACTTCAGTGCAATTCTTCTAGAAAAAGAGGTGCTGGAACTCACCAAGAACACCTCCCTTGTTCTCTTATAATGGCAATGGCACACACCTGAGAGGTGCCAGAACTGAGTTCCAGCGAGTTCCAGCTGAAAAAAAAGCCTTGGTTCACAGTAAAGTGCAAACTCAATTAATTTATCCCCTACCCTCTGCCAAGTGCAGATGATAAACCACACTCCCGAG